GTGGGTTCGCGAGGGGATTTGTGAGTTTGTCACCATGGCCTTTTCCTCCTTGTGCTAACCAGATGTAGGCTGCGCAAAGAGACCTGAAGGGTCAAGATGATTCTGATGACGATCTTCAGAATGGCTTGCGCACGATGAAACTTTCAGAGCAGAAGATCGTCTACAATTTTGACTGCGAGCACTCGGACGATGAAGATGCCATGTGATTTGGGATTCGAGAGCTGAAGGGAGCACGGCACATCGTATGAGGCTCAGACGGTGGCGAGTAAAGATATGGCAGTTCAATGCCGAAAACCGCCAGGCATGAGTGATTCTGACTGCGAAGCCCTACAGCCTCGAGTGATTTGCTAGCTATGAAGAACGAAGACTGATCGTCCCTGGAGTGGAAGGGGAAATTGACACGGCGGTTATTGAAGGCAAAGCAAAACATCTTCGATTGCACACGACAGCAGCATTGGCAATGTGATACAAATGACTGGAATTGCAAAAACGCCACACTCCATGAACGAACATCGTCGTGACGATGCTCGAGAACCCCGTACAGCAACTTCCGACGGTGCGTTGTCCTCTCCCACCTATCCTGTTCTTTTCTGTTGCCAATGACATCGCCGTGGCAGCCATCAGCGATCGGCCTTTCAGCTCCGGTCGTCCGGAGCGTTTCCATGCTCAACATTGTAGTATTGGCAGCCAATCAGGCCACCTTCAAATCTCCTCCTTTAACCCTCGAGCCGCGAGGTTCTGTTCAGTGTAAAAGCAGTCGTGCGCGTTCCCCCTCCCCTCCGCCCTTGATAATCGGCAGTGTTGCTGCTTCTCTCCTCCCCCGTTCGCCCCCAGTTCCCCTGAGCCCCCCTGTTGCGTTGCACTGTTTATGGTATAAAAGTGACATGACGTTTTCATGATGTAATATAACCCCGGTGCAGGGATGTTAGCTGTCGCCCTCGTTCCCCCGCGCGCGCCGCCGCCGCCGGCCCCAAACCAGCCCCATGTAACCGTATGCGAGGTTCTATCATGACCCTGAGGTAAAGAAGGAGACGCAATTAATTTTCTTTGACACCCGGATTCTTTTTTAATAAAAAAAGGGAACAAGCCCCGGATTCACCGCGCCAGACCAAAACGAGCAAGGCATTATTGGTACAGCGTACGGGATGATTGCTGCCGTCATGTCTCCCCTCCCTTTCTTTGCCCATCTAGGCGAGAGTGACCCTAGGGGGAAGGGGCAGGGGAGCTTTACAGCTCCGAGGCGTCGCTTCTAAAGTATCCAAAGTCGCCGCTGCTGGTGGAGGCGTCGCTGTGGCGGTTGAGCAGGTCCTGGGCGTCGCCGACCTGGCGGCGCTCGGTGATCTCAAGATCCTTGAGTCTCTTGTGGATGCGGTACCGGGCGAGCAGCGGCAGCGTCAATCCTCGGGAGGCGGCGGAGGGGCGGCCATCCCTCATGACTGCTGATTGCTATTGGAGGGGCTCCGAGGAGGAAGAGAGGCGGTTCAGGTGGAGGTAGACGTCTGTGCCGTATCTGTGGGAGAGTTAGCTCACAGGCCTGATGCAGAAAGGACGATAGAGGAACTGTCGGACGGAGAGGAGAGAAAGAAGAAGAGGAGAGAGAGAAGAAGAGGGAAAAAAAAAGAAGACGTACCCCTCCATGCTGATCAGCTTAAGGTCACCGCCAAAGTAGCGAGCGTAGAGACGCGATATGGGCAGGCCATAGCCGAAACCGGCCATGGGGGCCTTGAAGTCGTTTTTATCAAAGTCCGGGTCGAGGTTGGGCGTGCTGTCAACCGTGGTGTACATGTAGGTCCAGACGAGGGGGATGGCGCTGCGAGGGATGCCGCCGCCTTCGTCGGTGATCTTGATGGTGATGTCCTCCTTGCCCTCGGCGACAATGACCTTTGTCACCGGGAATTCCTGCTTGTCCTGGCCGTGTGTCTCGACGACGGCACGCAGCGAGTTCTTGAGGGTCTCGAAGAGCATGTGTGAAAGATGTCCGGGGACATACATAAAGTTGATGTTGGGGTTGCAAACGAGCTGAATCTTTGGGGCTTCGAAGAGGCCATAGTGATCCTCACAGACGAACCGGGCGTTCTCGATGGCTTCCTGCGCGAGATCCTGGATGTTGCATTTCGTGCAGATGATGCCGACGTAGGTGGGGTCGCGATAGTGGCTCTGGTCCGTCAGAGCAATATGCTGGCCGATGAGCATGCGGATACCAATTCGGGACATGTAGAAGCGATCTAGGAAAGACTGAATGTTGTGGTCGATTTGCATGCGCTGTCGCTTGCGCTTGTACTCGAGGATACCCTGGGCCATGGTCGTCACGACACCATCGTGACGCCTCTTGATGTTGTGCAGCGTCTTGGCGAACCGTTCGTTGTACAGGCGAAGCTCGGCGGGCCAGTTGCCCGAGTCGTCGACCATGGCAAAGTATCTCCGCGCGGCGGCGGACGCCTTCTTCCCGTTGCCATTCCCGTTGCCGTTGCCGTTGGAGTGTGAAATGGAGCTGTACTGGCCGTCTTCAATGCTGGGGTTTCTCGTTGTCTCGGAGAGCATGGCGGATGTCCTGCCAAACTTTTTGCCGGGCTTCATGAGCCGTTCTCGCACTTCTTTGCCGAGATCGGGTCGCGCGAGAGTTGTGAGCTCCTGAAGGAAGGGAAGAGGCAAGTTAGTTCCTGGTTTCTTCAGACATCTTCGGATCGGGCCAGCGCAGCATACCTCGAACGACTGCGCGTACCAGTCGTGAACCTTTCGGACGGATGGCATCTCGTTGAGGCCATCGGGAAGCTCGTCGAGTTCTTGCACACGATGGGCGAGGCGAATGGGGAGTTCCTCCGCTAGGAACTGCGAGGCGCGGAAGAGGGTACCTGCATGCGACGGAACAGCGATCAGCCATGGGCGACGGCTGAGAGGTGTTGTGGATGGGGGAGGGGAGAGCTGCGAGGCGCATGAGGCTCGGGGCAGACGCACCGGTAGAGGGCTTCTCGCCAAATTGAACCATCTGGCGCAAGCTGACGCCGGTAGCAGGAAAGCTGGCATAGTGCTTGATGGTGTTCATCAACCCCTCGGTCTTCTTCCACGACATGATGGGCGGTTCAGGGCTGGCCCAGCGAAATGCGAGGATGGCGCGTGCTCATGAACTTTTTCGGGTTGGCGGCGGCGGCAGTGGTTGCGGCCCGCCAGGTGGGACGACGCGATCAATTGACGGCTCGAGTGGTGTCTGTGACGAATCTGACACAAGGCCTTGGTCGTCTGGAAAACAGCGGTGGTAATGTGGTGCGGTGCGAGGTGGTACGAGGCGTGGATGCTTGGTCGGGCTGACCCCGCGGTTCGGTCAAGAGGACGGGCGCCTTTACCGAGGCTTTATGACGCAGGACATGGAACGAGGCTCCGAGGCGCGTCACAGGCGGGCGGGCGGGCGAGGGCAAGACAAATGATGGAGAGAGTGGGGGATAAGAGATCAGCAACAGGACAGCAAAACCAATTGGGAAAACCGGACACGAGTCGCACAATGTGAAGGAGAGGAGCAATGTTGATGATGATGGAGCAGGTTGAAGTGCAGGAAAGACGGTCTGGAGGTCTGGTCCGGCTGGATGGTGACTATGACTGGGTTTAGGGTGGACTTTGTCTGGTGACCACCACAGCTGCAGGAGCTTCGGCCATGGGCCTTGGGTCTTTGGCCTTGGGGGGGATCTTGGGGTGCGCCAGGCTCCATGTCATGCCCGAGAGAGTGGGGTTTTGCCCGGATGGAGAGGAGAGGGGAGTGCCGAGCTTGGGGGTGCTGCTGGTGCTGGAGCAGGCTAGCTGCTGGCTGTTTGGCTGCGCTACCATTTCCTGCGCTGTGAGGTCAGGTCGGTCCACTATACTGGACCGAAGCCCCCTGTACATGCACCTACCCAAGGTAGGTACCTACCTTACCTTAGGTAAGGTAGCTTGCAGAATGGACCTTGACGTGTGACGGCATGCGACCGTCGTTGTCGAGCGCATGCGGCGGTCAAACAAAAGGGAACAAGTACCCAGCCTCACTCCATGGGCCAGCCGGCGAGCCATTCTCCTTTGCCTGTCTACCTTGTCTCTATGGAGGACATACGCGACAACCCTTCTGGTCAGGTCTCCTGCGCGTGCCTGTTTGCCGGATGCAGATACAGATGGCACGCTCGCGCAAGTTTCGCCCGAGGGAGGGTACATCGACGTGAAGTTGGACCATGGCCTCTGCCCTTGGGAACGAGCAACGCGCATCAGAGACGGAACAACTCGGAGCAGCACCAGGATGGTACTCTGGATGGAATCCTCATGCAGGCTGATGCCATCACTTCGAAAAAGCCGAGGATCAGACAGCTAGTAGTAGCCAGCAGCCAGCCAAAAGGCGAGCAGGAGATGCAGAAAAAGGTACTTGAGCTCAGGCCGGACTGGGGAAGCACTGGAGAAGCACTAGCCACAGAGAGAGGGGCACCTGGGACCTGTCCATAATAACCAATGGGAAGCTCTCCATTGGCCGTGCATCACATGCAACTCTGCCACGACACAAGGGTCAAGGGTCACAGATACAGTAGCAAGCAGTAGTAGCAGCAGCAGCAGCAGCAGCAGCAGCAGCAGCAGCAGAGGCACGCGCCACACTTTGCGCCCCAGCCTTCTGCTTCCTTTCCTTCCAGCCTCCCTCCCCCCCTCTCTCTCTGTGAGAACGTCACCCACCGCTCTTGTGAGAAAAAAAGCCTAGAACAACGACAACGACGGACGGGTATTTTCAACCGACGGAACCCCTTCACATCACTCCACCGGGACATTTCGGATCCTACAAAGCAAAGAGCTGTTCCATACCCATCCAACACCCACTTCCCTCGGCTCCGCGTCCTGAAGCCGACGCCAACGCCAACGCCAACGTCTTACCCCCCCAGATCCCATACCCAGCAAAAAGCGGGAACCACCAAGCAAATCCGAACGGTGCCGGGCGCCCTAGCACCTCCACGGCCGATGCGCCGTCCCATCCATCACCCCCTTCTCGGGCACACTCGGACATGTTGTCGGATACTACCATCTCCGACACGGGACTCGGGCTGGGCCTACGCTACCTCGACCTCAAGGAGGTTGATGACCACGACGACGTTCCGCTTGGTGTTCACGTCGTCGACGATGAGAATGATGAAGAGACGACGCTGGGCAACCCCCCTCGAAGAAAAGATGCCTCCACACCGCCACCTCACATCTCATCGCCTTCCATCCCTTCGCCCATGAGCCTGGGTCATCTCGGCATCGTGCCACTGACGCCACTGGGGAAGCAGCTCGCCGCCTCGCTGGGCAGGACCCCAGAGACGCCACTGAGAGGTTCTGACAGGGATGCATCGAGTGATCACGGCAGCGGCCCACGGGGTTTGGCCGACGAGGAGCTCACTCAGGGATCCAAGGTGCAGCTCATCCAGCGCCTCACCGCGCTCACCCAGAAGCTCGCCCAGGGCAGTGATGTTCCTGACCAGATCACCCTCGACCTCCTGCTTCGACGCGTGGACGAGATTGATCGTGTCGTGGATGGCCATCCTCCCAGCGCGCCCTTCCGACCGCACCTCACATGCCGGCCCACTGGTAGTATCGACGAACGAGGCAGCTTCTTCGGTTCGCCCTCCTCGTCGTGGATGCACTCTCGCTATTCGAGCCTCTCTCTGTCCGTGAGAGCTGAGCGCCCCAAAACGCCCGAACCTGTCGTGAAGAAGCCAGACGTCGACTCATTCAAGATTGCCTCAGAGGCCGAGAAGCTCACCGCCGAACTTGACACACTCGTGGCGAACCTCAAGGCTCGGCAGGAAGAATCAGAGGTGAGCAGGCCGTCCTACCTCTATACCTCGGCCCACATGCTAACAGAACCCCAAAAGCACATCCATGACCTCCTCGTCACCCGCGCCGAGCGTGCCGCCCAGCGCATCATCTTCCTCCAGTCCCGTGTCCAGGACCTCGAGGCCGAGCTGCACGACTCTGACACTGATCTCTCACACCTCCGTCTCGGCCTAAAGGCCATCGAGGTCCAGTGCCCGCGCGATTTCCTCGCCACCCACGCCGCCGTCGAGCTCGCTCAAAGTATTGCCAACTGGAAGGCCGACTATGCCGCCCTCAAGCAGCGACGCGCCGCCCGCCGCATCGCCGCCACGCCTGGTGCGTCTTCCACCCTCGTGACGCCGGCGCGGGATTACATTTCCCACCATGCTGCCACGCCGTCGTATCAGAGTTCGATTGCGCCGTCGTACCAGACGTCCATCGCACCATCGTACGAGAGCCCCATCGCGCTCTCGCCCTACCAGAGCGCCGCCGGCCCCTCCCCCCTCTCCCACACCTCTGCCTCCCTTGTCACCCCTACCCGTGACACCTTTAGTCGCTCTAGTAGTGGCGGCGGCGGCGGCTTTCCTTTCGGCACCGCCTTCACACCCCCACACCCGGCCGCCGCAGAAGCGCCGCCCGAGACGCCGAGGAGCGACGCCTCGTCGACCGCCACGCCAGAGAGCTACACCCCCAGCGTAGCCGCCTCCTCGTCGCGCACCTCAGCGCGCTCGGTGCGCGTGCGCAAGCTGTCGAGGCTCAACGGGACGCCGAGACGGAAGCTGGAGTATGGGGGCCACGGCGGCGGCTACCGCGAGCGGTACTGACCGCTCGATGACCCCCATCTCCTGCGAGCGGGCTGTGATTGATGCTTCGAACCTTGCGAGGCACCAGTGTAATCCGCTCCTCAAAGTGTACCCTTGCCGTCGATTGTACGGCCCTCACCCAAACTCTGTCGAGAAAAGGCGCAGCACATGTATGAATGATCGAAGGGGCTTGGGGGACCGCAGACGAGAATCTCCCTCCAGGCTTGCACGACGTAATGACCCGGGCCGCGAAAAGAGTACGACGAATATTGATGACGATGATACCTCTCTGCATGGCGGTTTTTTGTACACCCACTCTATGTTTGCAACCTGCTTTTCTTGTCCTTGAATAGCCTTGGTCCTTTCTTTTTTCTATTTTTCTTCTTGGCATCGCGTAAGCAGCTGTAGTGAGCGAGCCAGACGGCGCCCTGCAAGTTTGGCACAATCGACATCCATGGGAGGTTGAACCAGGTGTTGCGTTCCTGTCACATGTGTTGGTCACCAGTTTGAGCATCAGGACAACCGGAGTAGCGACTAAAAATTAGATTAAGCATTAAACAAAGGGAACACGATGTTACAGATCGCTGATAAATCCTCCCACCTCCTTCCGGGGTATACTCTGTTACTGTCATATCGTACAATTCCTCGTCGAACGCAGCGAGGCGTTTGGTTGCCGTCAACCCTCGATCGAAAACCTGATTAACCAGACGCACAGCCCGGTCGTGCACTCTCCCGCAGCAAACATACGAAGTGCAGGGAAGCGACGCCGAGACTAAAGCCACACTCTAATCGGACTCTCGAGGACCCCGTCAAACACCCCTTTGCAGCAAGAAGTGCTCCAGGATGAAGAGTAGACATAGCTTCGTGGGCTGTGCGAGCATGGAAGCCCCGCCCCTCGGCAGCAACGAGTGCGTCGGGACGGAGGCGATCATAATCGTCTCTTCGTGCGAGGGTCGAAACACGCAAACGCTCAAGCCTTGGACGACGGGACGGGCACCTCATCCATAGGCTGTCCGTCCGAGACGACGAGCTGCCTGTACGGCGGCGTCGGGGCGTCGACGTTCATGAGCAGACACCTGCGGCCAAAGTAGCTGAGCTCGGCGACACCAAACTTGAAAAACTCCTTGACGGGCACGTCAAAGACGCCGTCGAGCTCCTCGAGCGTCTTCTCCTTGGTCTCGCGGACAAAGAAGAGGGTCAGGAAGAAGCCGACAAGGTTCCACGCGGCGTACCAGCTGAAGGCGCCGGTCGACGTGAATGCCTTGCGCAGCATGGGAAATGTGAAAGCCAGGACAAAGTTGAAGAACCAAGTCGTGGCGGTGGCAATGGACATGCCGAGAGAGCGAACGTCAAGAGGGTAGACCTCGGCAGAGTAGGTAAAGGGAACGGGGCCAGCGCCCGGGGAGTAGACAATGGCGAAGAGGTATGTACCGATGGTGACGCAAGCAATTTTGACCTCGCGCGATGGGAAGTAGAAGGAGAACGATGTCCAGAGAAGACAAGCGAACATCATGGGAAAGGTAATGAGCAGGAGGCGGCGACGGCCAAACTTGTCAATGGTGAAGATGGCGGGGATGGCACCGAGCCAGTTGAGCGTGCCCCAGCCAAGAGACACAGCGAGGGAGGTGGGGACGGAGAAGCCTTCATGGATGAAAATCTCGGCCGAGTAGTAGGCAATGATGTTGACACCGCAGAACTAAGATGCTGCGATTAGCGCGATGACCTGCAAAGTCTTCCATGGGAGTAGTACGCACCTGCTGCATGAACATGACGACCTCGGACGCCATCATGGCGTTCCTGTTACGGCGGACCTTGAACAGCTTGGCGAGCTTGTTGCCGGAGTGTCCAACCTTGCGAGCTTCGACCTCGAGCAGGGCGTTGGCGTAGAAGAGATCGCGAGCAGCCTGGACCTTTGTCATGCGCATCTTGCACATGGACTGGTAGGCCTTCATGTGCTTGCCCTTGCGCATGTAGTGGCGGGGAGACTCGGGGCACAGGAAGGCGAGAGCGCAGACGATGAGGGCGGGAACGGTGGTGGAGCCAAGCATGAGACGCCACTTGAGGTTCTCATCAGCGACCTGGTAAAAGGCGAGATCGACAGCGAATCCGACCCTGTTTCGTGTAAGCAAATGTCTCCTATTCTACAAAGATGTGGCCTGGGACGGTCTTACATGATGCCAAAGGCAGTCCACATCTGCCACTGCATGGTGAGGGCACCTCGAAGCCTTGGAGGCGCACACTCGGCGGCGTACATGGGCGTCGTCGCTGACTTGGGACCGATACCGAGACCGAGGACGAGACGAACAGCAAACATGGTCTTCCAGTCGTTGGTGAGAGCCTGGCCCATGCAGGCGGCCGCGGAGATGAGACAAGAGAGGAAAATGGTACCGCGGCGGCCGAACCAGTTGTTCAAGGGGGCGGTCAGCCAGCAACCGAGAAGGGCACAGCACAGGTACGGGGCGCCGTTGGTCAGGCCGAGGATCAGCGCATCGCGTAGTTTGTCCTTGTTCGCGATGCCGAAGGCCTCCTTGTAGAAGACCTGAGCGCCGTTGACGGTGGTCTCATCCATACCCTGGACGGCGGCACAGAGGGAGCAGACTGTGTCATCGTCAGTGGGGTTCCTGGTGGATGGATGGTGGATGATGAGGGGCGCCAGCTTACCAAAAACGACGAACCAAAGCTTGGTTGGGATGGACTTCCATTTCTGGGTAATTTCTTTTCCAGCAGATTCGCGCTCAAAATCCGTCAATCCCTCGATCGTCTGGTAGTCCTCGGGGTAACCCGCAAGAACAGCACCAAGACGGAAGGCCCGTACGTCCTCCTCGTCAGTGATCCCATGCGATGTACAGTACGTGTAACCCATGTTGGACAGTTTCTCAGCATCGAAGCCGGCTAGGGGATTGCCGACCCGACGGCTGGCCTGCATCTGCAGCTCATCCTCACTGAGCTCCTCGGTGTGTGACTTGATGGTGGCCTGGGGCTTCTCGCCCTCCGAATCTGATGAGGGAGCCATGATTAAGGGTAAGGGTAAGGTGTTGGGGGGGGAAAGCTATGGGTTAGTGGGGATCCGGACAGAGGAGATAGGCGAAAGCCTGGGGGTCAAACGAAAGTTGATGAGAACGAGAAGAAGATACGATCCGCCTAAAGAAGAAGGCCGTATAAGACGAGAGGCAGCAGACGACGAGGTCATTATATGGGAGCAACCATGATGGACATGGAGGCTTCGACGCCCCCAGCATAGACTTTTGGTTACCATGGGGATCCTGATGCGGGGCAGAGCGTCCGCACGAGAACGTTGGGTAGAGGTCAAGCAGAGGCAGGCGGGCGCGCACCTGTGCCGCCTCGCTCGTTTGCGGAAAGCCAAGCAAGCCTCTCCAAGGGTGTGGCTGTGGGATGAATGCTCTCTGATAACGCTCTGAGTGTGCAAGCAGTCGAAGCGGGTTGCGCGGGGAGATTAAAGATGGACTAACATCGAAGATCGGCCAGGTGAAGCTGGGGTGAAGGGGGGGGGGTAGGCCGCACGCATAAGGCTAGCAGGTGGATTCTAGAGCCGTTCTGGTGTCTCGGTAGGGAAGGCTTGGTGTGGTTCCGGTAGTCGAGGGACCGTAGCGTCGGCAGAGGTGCCGGGGATGGAGCGCCTGGGTGGCTATAATGACAAGGTTGGCGGGGCTTGAGACGTCAGACAGATCGTGGTCATAGAGAGGATGGCGATGATGGGAAAGGTAGTCGTCAGGGTTGGGACCAGGGTTAGAGGGCGCATCTGAGATATCCACATTCCGGGGGTGCCAAGGGCCCAATCACAAAGGTCCCTGTCGACGGTGGGCCTTCCCGCAGGTGTCAGTGAAGAGCCGCAGTGCCGCCGGCGTCCATTCCTTCCTTGGCATCAACCGACTTCATCTCCAGAACGACCATCCTCCTGGGCCGTCGTGATCCTCCTGCTTGCGTAACTCGAGTTTTGGGAGTGCCCATGATTTGAAATTACGGGGGATTCCCCATCCACCCACTACCTGTCTTGGAGAACGTGGATGATCCATTCGACGTCGAGACAGTCAAGACAACCTCCACCGAAGCCGTTCGTCGCCGTGGTCAACGACCGTCAACGTCAGAAGGCCTCGATCAGCACAATGCCATGCCTCATCTCCACCGCACATTGCAGACATGTCCATGAAGACGAGCATATCCACCGGCATGCGACAGCCTAAACCATCGCAGTGGCGCACAGTGCGCTGGATGCTTGCATCCTATGTTGCCGGGGAGCCAGCCACCTGGTCGTATCGAAACCCAACAATCAGCCCCTGGGTACCCAAGCCATTCGAGAAGTCTGTTTCCCCGCAAAGAGATTTGCCACATCCTCACTTCCGGACATCGAAGGTGACACTGGTTGGCAAGTCTGGATCATCTCGGGCCAGTTCCCAGCTGCCAAGGCCGCCTACCGGGTGTCTCGACTCGTTGGTGCCAGATAATATCCCGCTTTGAGCGAGCAGGAAGGTATCACGATCTCCAACGCTGCCTCAAACCCCTCCAACAGGCGCTCTGGTCATGACGGCTCGATCCGTATGGCCAGCAAGCTTTCCACAGCATCCGACACCAGCGAATCAGGCTGATCATCTGACCCCGACTTGCCGCCCAGACACCCCGCAGCCGCCGTCGTAACTTGACGGCTTTTCACCGAATCCCCGGCCCTTGCGGCTCTTGGTCTCGAGCTAAAGCTGCGGGAAGCAGAATCTGTCCGGGCAGTGTTGCCGACTGTACAAGCCCCTGCAATCACGACCCCTCATCCCTAACGCGGTCATCGGCAGCACGAACCAGACCAGCTGCCCTAGCGCCCTCATCAGCTGCAATGACCCCCACGCGTACACGAAAATGGCACTCGAGATCATCCGAGCCATCTTCCCGTTCCCGTTCCGAAACGGACGCATCCGTGCTAACTCGAGTGAGCACTACACTCTGGCCACCGAGGAGGCATCCGCCTAGCCTCCCATCTGGCACATCACCATCTGTCTTTTCAGATCCCCCGCAGAATGAACTAAACCCTCGTTGGACCGATGCAGGGTCGTTCCCTCTCATGCTCTATCGTTACTCCTGAGACAAAGGTTTGTCGGAAGACATCAGCGAAGCCGCAACGATGAGACCATGTGACTCTCCATACGACACCAAGATCAGACAATCCGGGTGGAGATCAAGACCCGCCGCTGAATCTCTAGGACTGTTGCCTCCGCGAGGCTTTCACTACGCACCCGCCACATGTACCATGAATCATCTTGAAGCAAGCCCTCCGGACTGGCGGGACCGTCCCAGTGATCCACTCCTGAACCTTGTGCGCTCCCATGCAATGCAGAATTTCATCGCCCCGCGGAGGACCTCCCCTTTGCACCCATGGCGGGGTCCCTGCCCCTGCTGGGGAATCTAAACTCAGGGGAGGAGAATGATCAAGCCATCTGCGCAAGTAATTATTGACATCGACAACAAGGTTCCACGATTCAAGGCTCTAATCGGTTACGACAGCCTTCAGGTCGACCATGCGACTCCTGCAATGTGAGTGACCATGATGGCCAAGGCCATAACATGACCACACGCGCGAGACTGGGACAAAAAATTTAGTGGGGCCTCCAACGAGTAGACATACAGTACCCTGGTAGGTAAGGCCCCGGAATCATGAGAACATATACCAGGTGCATTGATGATGGTTTCCCCATTGTGCCATCTTCATAGCTGTACGCTAACAGTGGACGCACTGAGCAGACTCCCAACGACAAGCTCTGAGACCTTCTTACACGCTCAGAACCTCCCTCGACGCCCTGCATCACGTCTTCCTTGTCCATCTTGGTACGAATTTCCCCGGTTTGGCTCGCCAAGAACAAGACTTTCCCTCCCCCTTTCCCTTCCCCTTTCCCGACCATAGTCTCTATTCCGCTCGTTTTTACGCGAGACAATCCCTGTGTCCCCCTTCCTCACAAGGTTCATTGCATCCGCAAACCTATCCATGTTAGGCACGCTTGCACTGCACCGATCCACAGCCACAGGACTCTTGGCCCGCGTACTGTGTTGCCCTACTGGCGGTGGCGGCAGTGTGACGAAACTTCGCTGCGCCGTGCTGACGCCTGATGCTTCGAAGTTTGCTCGCCCCCAAAACCGCCCCTGTTCTGAACCTGACCCCTGGGCGATAACTGGAGTCACTTCGTAACTCCTCGCCGCAGGCAGTGGTGACGAGACGTCATGATCCTCTAGACAGTCTAGCATCGCCTCATCTAGCAGCCTGCGCACCTTCTTATCATGTGTTGCAGGTAAAAGGTTTCTCGGCAGCGTATATGGGAGACATTCCTGTGCGCCATCAGGACCTATGACATTTAGGGGGGCAAGATCGGGCAGCAGAAGGGCAAAACGGCGAGACTCCTGGTCCGGATAGGCCAGAATGTTGATGGTCATCCATTTGACAAACCCCATCCTCGTCAGACCTGGGATGGTGGGGTGGGCCTGGGGAACTGCTTGGGAGAGGTAATAGGGGCAATCAAGATCCTGGTACAGATATTGAGTGCGTTCAAACGTCGTGTTCTTGCACGGCTTGAAAGCATCTGCCCTAGTTAGAAGGCCGTCCAGCTTCAAGAAAGAGTGTGATCAAGCAGGTGATGGAAAGCATACCTTGTAAAGGAAACTCCTCATTCTCGACGCGATACTTGGCATAAAAGTTTTGCATCTTGTCTGGTGTAATCAGGTCTGTGCCGGGGACGCCAAACGCAGCGATCTTAAAAAAAACATCAGCACACATCTACTTTGCCATGTCGTAGAAAAAGGTATATCTCACCACCCGGCATGCCAGACTATGTAAGGTCTGCTCCAAGCGTTGCGTTGAGTACCCCTCGTCATCAAATAGCACTCCCCATGCCTTGGCTTCCGAAACAACGCCAACGGTTTGTATGGCTGAGGTGGTCTGTGTCTCTCCTATCCCGTAGCCTTGTGGCTGGGCATATATAATAGGCGGTACGCGACTGCGGAAGCGCACAGTCAGGCGTTCGGGGAAGACATCTGCGGTAGTAAAGCAAGGAGAAGTGCTCTGAGGGGATGAAAATTGGGAGGTAGAAACAACAGAAGGCGGAGGACTGGGGTAGGCGGTACCAAACATGGAGTTCATGAGAGCGGGCGGCGTGATAGCCGGCGAGGGTGTCGGATCCATGGATGTGAGGTGACCAGCAACTGATTCGTTCGTATTAGCATGCCCAATCGTCGAATGCTGCCCTTCTAGGAACAGGAATAAACACTCACTTTCCTGTTTGATCATGGTACGCAATTCATCCATGAAGCTGGGCGTCACGCCCGTCATCTCGTGACGTGATTGAGCCGATGCGGTGATCAGACTGACAGAGCTGTGGGACGTCGCGGGCGAGGCGGGCGTCTGTGGAGTCTTTGGCACTTCGCTGCCCAGCTTGTCATCGGTATCGCTTTCGAACGATGCTTCGGACGATGCGGGCGAGAGTTCTAGACCAGGTACCCGCATATCGTCCCCATCTTCGGCGACATCTTCGACCTGCGGAGGCGGCGGTGGCGGCGGTTGCTGTCCCATGGTGATATTCACAAATGATCCCACTGCCCTAAGTCCGGCACCAGCACCAGCGGCACTCGTGATGATGCTTGACATGACGACCACGAGTGCTGAACACTGTGTGGCAACGAAAGTGAGTAAGATCGCAGACGTGGGCAACAAATGAATATGCAAAAGAGCTTCAGTGTGGTAAATCGCACGCCGGGCGCTGAACCACTTATACCACATCGAGGCCCCCTCATTATAGGCATCTTGCTCTAGGCAAACACCATGACAGCAATGACAGCAAGCCGTCACCGTGTCCATCCCGACCACTCAAAAGCCTCGTCAAAATGACAGCTCGATCACATAGGCTGACCACGAGGGAACAGATTTGCTGACAAAACAGACGCAGAAAACATGCAAAGGCGCTGCATGGTGACACTTTGCCAGGCTGGAGGCCAAAGAGGTCGGGCGATGATCGTGCACACACTCGGCATTGGTGCGGTCGCCTCGCGCTTGCGTTGTGGCACTGACACAACAGGACAATCCTCCGGCCTTAACCACCTAACGAAAGAGGAGATGATTGATGGCCATCAAACGACATGAAGCATGGGGTACCGACGAAAAGTAATGAGGGGACGAACGGCAGATGGACACCGGATACTAGGGGAAAACATGTCGGCTCGAGCAGCCGCATGGCCATGGTCGTGGGCGCGAATGACGCCAGCCTCGTGTTGCCCCTCGGTACATAGGATGAGATTTCAGCCCCCTGGTATGAGTCTGGAGATACCAAACTTTGCGTCGGATAGTCTTCTGATCACTGATCAACCTGGAAGAGCAACCTGGAAGAGCCAGCATATGGTCCTTCAATCGTGCTTGTGGGATAAAAGACAGAATGAAGACTGTGTGACGGTCCTGCAGTTGGCCTCACGCAGACGAGATGAGATACACAAGAACAGAGGGTGGATGGGAAGGAAATGCCCGAGACATGAGGAAAGACAAGCCCATGAGTTCGGGTAACCGCCCTCCATGAATGCGCATGCCTCTGAGGCGAGACAAGTGGTACGGACCCTACCAGCCCACCTGTGGGCACATTGCTGGGAAATATGTGCCAGGAGGGTGTTGCTGTCGTGACACCCATTGGGCACCCAGGCATAGCCTGCCCAGCCCCTTGCCACCAGACAAGGCAGCCAAGTGCGGTTCGCAACTGCTGCCTCTCTGGAGTTCGCTAGCCCACTCTCATGCTGCGGTACAAGGTTGGCGTTCCGCCCTTGTCTGACGAGGAAACTTGCCGGCTCCCACTGGGATCTCTCCCGGCATATTTTGTCCAACGAGCGTACCTCGCCATGTTGACCGGCGCTCCTTCGGATCCGTTCCCCGGCCGATGATGGCGCGACGAAGTAGGCGATGCCCTCTTTCCCGGTGGAGGGTCGGAAGCGATCCTCGACGTGCCATCGCCGGGTGCGCGCTCCGTCAGAGATCGATTGACACTGCGTCGTTGTTTGACCCATAAGACGAGAACATGTCCACCAACAGCTGTTACAATGGAACAGCTTCTGCGAACGAGCACTCGTCGGCAGATCCTCGTGCGACGCCAGCGCTGGTCATTACGCCACGACGCTCTTCTCCAGCGTCAATCACAATGATATCTCGAGAACAAGCTTGGACGAACGCACAAATCACGGCTTCGGCAGATGGTTGAGAAGGCCCGACATGGGACTGCATATGTGACGAAAATCAAATACAGTAACAAGACTTGTTGTTGCAAAGACGCATCCCTCGCTCCTGCCGCCAAAGCCCAAAGTATATGCCAATCAGACGCCCGCCACATGTGTGTATCCCTCTGGTTCTGTGTCCTTCTTGTTCTGCCCCGCCTTCATGCCTTGTACAGCAGATCCAGGAAGCCATTGACAAGGTCCACGACAACGCTCTTATTCGGAAGCGACCCGGCCACACCGTACAGCGCTGCCGAGTCACCCTTGGCCGCACCCTTGGCGCCCTTGCCCTCGACAATCCTCACCCTCTCCTTCTCCCGCTCCGCCTCGACAACAGCCTCCAGATCCGCCATGAGCTTTTCCCAAACCTTGGTGATCGGCAGTGTAACTGCCACATGGATCGCCGGCGGGTTCTGCAGAGCGTTGAGGTGCCATCCCTTGGTGCTCATCGCGTCCGCAATGTCGTAGATGTCGAGGTTGCGTGCCGTGAACGCCATGACCGACACAAGCGGCCTTCCCACAATCTCGAGCTCGCTCTCTAGTGCCGGCACCTCGTGGATCCTCTCAATCATCTTCTTGGTTGTGCCGACAATCTTGACGCACGCGTCCACGTAGCCAGCCTCGCCAGTCTTCATCAAACTCGTCCAGCAGCCTGCAATGAGAGCGCCAGGTCGCGAGCCTGCCATTCCAGGCGAGCCATAGACGCCGCCAGACCAATCTGGTGAAACGTAGTACTGGTACTTGCGCAGCGCGGCAGTGCGGTACAGAACTGTTGAGTTGCCCTTGGGCGCAAATCCGTACTTGTGTGTGTCGCAGCTAATACTCGTGACGCCCTTGAGTCGGAAGTCGAAGGGCTCGGTTTCGAATCCGGCCTTGTCCAGGAACGGCACCAGGAACGATCCTAGACAGCAGTCGACATGCAGGCAGATCTTCTTGCGGAGGGCGAGCTTTGACAGCGCCGTAATGTCATCGATGATGCCATGGGGGAAGTTGGGCGCCGATCCTACGATGAGGATGGTATTGCTCGTGATGAGGCGCGCAACGGCCTTGACGTCCACCTGGTGCGATGGCGCCGGGCATGGCACGAACTGAGCCTTAATCTTGAAGTAGTCGCATGCCTTGCGGAAAGCTGGGTGTGCGGTTTCGCCGAGAATCCTGTAGTATTCCTGTTAGTCGCCAATTATGAATAGCCGAGGTGGAGGTTGGATATGGGGCATACATTTCGGGCTCAGTGATGCCCTTCTCGTGATAGCCCCTCTGTCGCGCGCTCAGGCACGCCGAGAGGATACTGTCTGTACCACCGCTGGTTGAAACGCCGGCGGCGCCGGGAGGCGCGTTGAACATGGCGAGGACCATGGCGACAACCTCGGCCTCCATCTTCCGGACGCCGGGGAAGACGTCCGGGTGAATCGGGTTGGCGACAGTGAACTTGCCGTACGCCTCCGTCTGTAGCTTGATCAAGTCTTCCTCGCCATGGTAGACGGCGCCGGACACGTATCCATCCTCCCAGCGCGTATGGTCCATATTCGCAAGTGTGTCGAGCTCGGTGCGAATGACGTCGTCAGAAAGACCCTCCTTGGGAAGGGTCAGGTAGCGGGTGAGATTCGTCGGCACCATCTTGCCCTGCAGCTTGCTCAAACTCTCATTGACCTGCTTCTGCACCTGGCCGCGCACACCGGGGGCGCGCAAGAAGTAGCCATACAGGACCCTGCGCAGCGAAGTGTAGAACTCCACGATAGAGCCGATCAGGCCGCGGCCCTTCAGCTTCCAGAAGGTCTTGCGGGTCCATCGAACAACGAAGAAGAAGAAGACAATGTTTCGAAGACTGCAGGAAAGAAAGAGAACTGTCAGCGAACGCAGTCGAATGGGAGGTTACGCAAAAACACCCAGTCGTGTGGCACAACGAGAATCGCCGACTTACAGATCGAGGTTCAGGATAAGGAAGGGGTTCGTTTGGCGGGACTTCTTAACATGGTTGAAGCCATCCCGAAGGCTCACGGGCATCCGCGAGCTGCCAGGCATCTTGGTAGGGGGGAACAAAAAGCTCGGAACACTATTCATTCAGAAAATATACAAGGTGGCGACAATGATGTCTGGTGGTACAATTGGAAATGTCGGGGCGGATGCGACGGGCACGGCCTTGGACTTTAAGCTCCCCCAAGACCTCGAACCCCAAAGTCGATGGAAGGCGAGAACAGCGACCCGAGCCGTCCAAAAAATGGTGGGGCATGGCCATTACTTGGATATTTTGGCCCTTCACATGCCCCGGCCTGGCAGCGCCGTCAGTGGGGTCGTACAGGGGTTTTCCCCCCAAACCTCCCCCCCCAACATCTCTCTAGCGAGCCGAGGCCTTGCCGTTTTGGATGCTGGCTGACCTCATTTGGCTGCACCGCGCTGCAACCTCAGTGCCGCTTTCACAGCTCCGCGCGCCTCGATTCAGTGCCCGTCTCCACCCTGTTGAACATCACCAGACTGCGGACCTTCCAGAATGGTGGTTATCTTGTCGAGTCCGTAGGTCGTTGTGCAGGTGCGGGGGTTGGAAGTGGCTGTCACACGGGTTTGGTCCCTGTCTTGACATAGGTAAGGTACCTAGGTACAGTAAGTATCGACTGACTTTCGGAGTTGCCGCCGATTGGCTCACTGTCATGATGACCTCAGTTAGCAGTCGGGGGACTAACTTTGAACAAGAGATTAAGAGTGCGCAAGAGATTAAGAGTGCGCAGGCCGGCATGACAGTGCCGAAGGATTTGCAGCTCTCTCCTTACTCTCAGGTCTGGAAAACACCGTTGCATGCACATCGTACCTAAGGTAGGTACCTTGGGTGAGCTTGTCATTGCTAAGACCAAACATCGGGGGTCAATCCATTGCCTCGAGACCAGAGGATCCCAGGCCACCTATGTACCATCTAATGCAACACCAAAATCTACAACTATACAGGCCTCGAGGCCATCGAGGATGCTCCTTTCCCTAGGCTCTCGCATCACATGAATGCAGGAAAAGCAAAGAAACGCCGTCGTCCACAAATCCTTACACCCCAGCTCGCAAGTTCATGCCAAAACGCTGCCAGTGAAACGCCGCCGAAAGACATCGCGCACCCTTCGCTTCCATGTCCGCGTCAGTCCATCTCATTTATAAGCCGCGAATGCCTCTTCCCATTGTGTCTTGAAGCTAGCGAGCTCGTTCTCACAGCTTCTCTCGCCCGTCGGCGTGCAACCCGTCGCTCGAACGACATAGTCGCCTGGCCTGTAGAGCTCCTGCGCCTTATCATAGCGATTGTAGGCATTGATGGTCTTCTGCGGCACCAAAGCCAGCTTCGCGAGGATCGTGCCGTGCCACTGAACGAGGTGTTCCTGCGCGCGGCGAGTCAGTTATGTTTGCCTGTCAACCCCGCCCTTCTTGCTGAGAAGACTTACCAGCGCGTGACCCTCGGCCTTTTGGAAATTGTATGTCTGGTACATCGGGTCGAACCAGGTCTCGAGGAAGAACCGTGCCCAAACCCCATTCCGCACAACCCAACTGCCCGCCGATAGGCCCTCACGGTCCTGCGTCACCACAAAGTCGACATCCTTGCCTCGCAGTCGAGTACTTGTCTTAATGATGCTGTCGGGCGGAACGACGGGTTCGTTCTTGATCATGAATGCGTCGAGCGTTGCGCCGTTCATGATGCGCTCCTCAAGCGTCTTGCTCGGATCCATAATGTAGCCATCTTGCTCGAGATACCAGACATAGCGACACTCGGGAAACTTGGTCATGGCGTGACGGACTGCGAGAATCTTGGACCACGAGGAAGGTGAATCCTCGTCGAGGGGGTAGTCGCCCACATTCGCGATCAGGGTTTCGTAACCTGTGAGAAATACTGTTAGTCGACCGCCTCGAATCCAACACGTGGCTATGCCCTGGGGATCATGTTCCTACCGTGAAACGCGGCGTATCGCTCCCTATTCTCCCGAATGCTCTGCACGTACGCCTTGCCGTACGTCGACTCGTCCAGCACCGTCACCAGCACCACCGGCGGACTCCCTGACGGCTCCCAGGCCACTGTGCTACGCGAGCCAAACAGCTTGGAGATGATCCATAATGTGCTCACGACAACAAGCGCCACAATCGCTACGGCTCGTATGCGACTCCGTCGCACCGACGGCAATTTTGAGGACCGCGGGCGGAAGGGCGCGGGGTTCGAGCTTTTCCGCGGGGGGTAGGCGAAATGCATTGTACACGGTGTCGCCGGGAAAGCCGCCACCAAAGATCGAGTCCAGGAGATCGACTGACTGTGCCAGAGTACAATCTTCAAGGAATCACACTTGCGTTGCAGCAACGGCGTGATGTATTGGGCGGATAACGTAGGCGGGCAAAGCCGAAAGGGGATGCGCTCGATTGAGGTCGGGACGACAGGTGCGCAAGGGTTGGAGACCACTGAGTCGAGACCCAAGGGATGGTATATGAGTTTGATCGAGGCGCCGTGTTCGGTCAGACAGAATACATCGTGTCTTAAGCGTGGAAGATCCGCCGAAGAATTACGTTAAGGTTTACTTGTCAAATGCAACTCGTTGAAGCCAAGACCTCGAATTGAAGATTCGGGATCGGCAGCAATGCATACATGGTGACCAGGGTGTATCCACATCTGATAGATAACTGTTCCGTTTAGAGCGATGTCACTCATTCCCAAAATTGGCTGCAAACTCATCAAGTTGAGTGAGTAACTACGATCACGCATGAAGGCTATTAGGGTGATAGGTAAAGTGCATAAGTGAGATTGAAGATATAACTAGTCCCTCAATAAGCTTCTGGAAATGTATCAGCTGAGGCCAGCAGTGATCACGAGTCTGGCTGGTATGCCATGATCACCACGGAAGGCGAGGAGCAAAGCTCCAAAGCAAAAAGCTCTGGAGCGGTGCTCGTCATTGAGGCCGATCGTCTTCTGCAGTTCCAGATTGGAAGAGACCAAAACGGCCGCTTCCAGAGAACAAGCAGTGACTCAATCTTTGCACACAGACTAGTTGACACGATGTGGAAGAGAAACTTCGAGGCAACTTAAGAGTGTGCAATGCAGGCTATCAGCGGTAGTTGCCGGGTTGGACCATACAAACACGCCTTTTCCGATACGCGCCGCTGTCACCATGCTTACGATCATGACACATCGTCTTCCTGTGCAGCGCACCAAGTTAGTCCTCATCATCGTCTTCGTTACCCACATCCAGTACACTGTCGCCGGCTCGCTGGAGGACCGTATGGCTCAGTGAGTTTACAGCCTTCCAAACGGTGTATATGAAGGTCATAGCCCCGATCATGACGAGGGCCCAGCTGATACCTTCGCTCCGGTTACGACCGCCTCCTCCGCGACGGCCACCTCCACCCATGATGCCGCTGGCTCTCATGTTCCACCATTGCCATGGTGACATGGCAATGAGATACTTCAAGAAGCCGACAATACCAAGAGAAAGGAAGCCCTTGACGAAGTGCTCGTACCATGTTCCATCTCCAGGAACGTGTACAGGCTCTGGAGGGCGACCAAAATCGTCAAACGAGCCAACAACAGTTTCTGCAATGGTCCCGACCGGATCAGCCCAGAGGTTGAAGATGGGATCTGCCACAAAGCCCAGCAAAAAAACCGAAAACACAAACACAAAAGCCGTGAGGCTGATTTGCGCGGTACCGCTCTGAAGCCGTGTGCCCCAGGATAACCGACTCAGCTTGTATTGGTACTTGCATGTTGGGCACGTGAAGAAGTTTGCGGACTGCCTTGTCTGGTCTGCGGTTCTCCAGGCTCTCAGGCAGCCCTCATGAACGTACTTCTGTGATCCTTTGCACTTGCAGGGCGATATCAGGCGACCCAAGCCGTCTGCAGACATGTATACAGGCTTGGCGCCAGATCCCATCATGCCGACTAAAGTGCTTGTGTTGCCAGTGCTGGGCCACGTAGGATTGCACTCTTCAAGACATATGCGACAACTCCGCGGACCATAGTGTCGTTGACGCGGCTGTGGTTGTGGTTGCGACTCGAAATCTGCTCTTCTTTGATGAGGCTCCGTGTGCTGGGACTCGTTGTGGTTTGGAGATTGGCCATCATGATCGCTCGCACTACTGGCGCTCGGGACGTCGTCGGGCCAAGTCCACTGAGCAGTAGAGGGGTCCATTCTAAGTTTTAAACAGCTTCGGATAGTGGCGTGGATCTGTGGTTGAACTACAGGCCCGGTGTGGGATGGGGGTGTTCAGGTGCAGGTTGGGGCGGAAAACCAAGCGTGGTCAGAAGCTCATCAATGTGGCTGAGAGAGAGCGAGCCGATCAGACAGTGTCCGCCATACGTGGTGTTGAGGGAGAAGAAAAGCTAGAGGTCAGGAAAACGTGTCTTTTCGTAACTGGGTAGGGGAGAGGAACTAACTACCCGAGAAGGGCAGAGGAGGACATCGTCCTTACGATTGTTAGAGGAGAGAAGAATGGAAGAACCTCGCAGAAGCAAAAGAAGATTCCTGGTGTCTAACCTGTTGCCCCAAGCTCCTCTCCCCGCAATGGGGCTGGTCGCCAATCATATGCGCTTGACGAATGACATAACCAGACTTTCTCTATCTTGGGCTATCATCACGTGACGCAGCACGGACCAGATTTAAGCAGAGCCTGGGCTTGTCAGTATGCTGGAGCTTGACGCGGCGCGAGTTGCCTGGGAGGGAAGCAAGAGCTACAGCCTACGACAGTGATCCGTGCGAAGCTCGAACCGCCTCACCACATTCAATTCCGTAGCGAAGGCCCCATCAACCAAACACCTTTGTCAACCGATCCAAAACCACTCACTCGTCACTTCACAGACATTATCACGCCATGGCTGATCGATACTCCTTCTCGCTAACGACCTTCTCGCCGAGGTAGGCATCCTGTCATGGTTCATCGGAGCTCCTGTACTGACCTCATCCAGCGGCAAGCTGGTACAAATTGGTATACCCTTACCTCATCCGCAACGGCGCCTTGATTGCAAGCTCAAACGCTGACATTTATCAGAGTATGCCCTCAATGCCGTCAACCAGGGCGTCACCGCCCTAGGAATCAAAGGCAAGCCATTCTGCCTTCCGTCTCGAAGCTGTTCGATCACTTGCTAACCCTGTGAAGCGACAAATGGCATCGTCCTCGCCACCGAAAAGAAGTCCTCGTCACCGCTAGCCGACCCCAGCTCTCTGTCGAAGATTAGCCTCGTCACCCCGAACATCGGCATGGTCTACTCTGGCATGGGCCCCGATTACAGAGTGCTCGTTGACAAGGCACGCAAAGTGTCGCACACTGGCTACAAGCGCATCTATAACGAGTACCCTCCGACACGGATATTGGTTCAGGATGTTGCCAAGGTCATGCAGGAGGCTACTCAATCTGGCGGTGTTCGGCCGTACGGCGTCAGTCTGCTGATTGCCGGTTGGGATGAGGGCATCCTGCCCGACGATGAGGAGAAGGAGGCTGCGGAAGGCGAGGAGAAGAAGCCCAGCGGCAAGACCGGCGGTATTCTGAAGGGCGGGCCCATGCTGTACCAGGTTGACCCGTCTGGCAGCTATTTCCCATGGAAGGCGACTGCCATTGGCAAGAGTGCGACGTCGGCGAAGACGTTCCTCGAGAAGCGGTACACAGAGGGACTGGAACTGGAAGACGCAGTGCACATTGCCCTTCTGACCCTCAAGGAGACAATTGAGGGAGAAATGAGCGGCGAGACGATCGAGATTGGTGAGTACAAGCAGCATTGGCCTCGGTGACGTCGATATACTAACAACTGCCAGGCATCGTTGGCCCTCCGGCGGATCATCTGTTGGGAATTGAAGGCGTTGAGGGCGCCACTGGTCCTCGTTTCAGGAAGCTTACACCCCAGGAGATCGAGGATTATCTGACGAACCTTTGAATGAATAGCGGATAATGACCGTCATCACCGTGTAACATAGCAGCAATAGAGGGATGTGAGGGGGCATGGGATTCTTCAGCCTTCATGCAAAAGACTCTGTCATGATGGCTCACGGAGACGATGGCATCTTCGGCATTTGATTGTCGCCTGTAGAGTTTGTCTGCCTTGGACCGTGTCTGACTTGACAATGTGCATGCGAAACCACATCGCCCTGATGGCCATGAGGTACTCAGGTACGTTGCCAACGGCAATGAAAGGTATCTGCCCATTTATCCACCTACCTAAGGTACTTATCTGCCTAGGTAGGTAAGTAGAGCCCCTTCCTACCTTGCCTGACGTGGCAGCTTGTAAAGTCCACCACACCCTGCATGGTATCGCATTGTCATGACTCTTTTGCAATCCTCATTTGAGTGTTTGCGATGCGTCAGGATCTGCCACTCAGGGGCCGAGCAGCCATTTCCTGCATATCTGAGCTGGTCTCGCCAGCCAGAATCTGGTGGGCCTCCTGCAGGCCACTCACTCCATCGCTTCCGCCAACGATATCTGCCTGACCCTCGAAACCCTTGCCTCTTCATCTTCCAACCGCCACTGCCTCCCCCCGCACGCATCCTGAGAAAGAACCACAACTGCCCAAAACATAGGACGGGACTGATCATCCATTGCAGTATCCTGAGCTATGTGTCCTCATTGACCCATCTCGGCTTATTCGCTCCCAACTACGACCGCAATTACGAGTGGCTTGGAAATCGTGAAATACCATACTCATATTGTCGGCGCTTGCAGCGACACTACGCAATGCTTGACGAATCGGAATCAATTTCTGCTTCTTTGCGGAGCAGCGGATATCCAATTGACGACGATTTGACTCCAGAACCAACGTCGGACTCAAACAACTCGACCTCCCTACCGTATGGCCTTCAGGACGACATCGGCCCCCTTGCTGCTACCCAGACCCAGTCGAGTAACGTCACAATCAATGCACGGGCATACCAGTTGGAGATGCTGGCGGAAAGTCGGAAGAGGAACATCATTCTAGCTGTGCGAACCTACCCTCTTGCGCCAACTCAACCTCGATTGACACCTCCATAGATGGACACAGGCAGTGGCAAGACTCAAGTGTACGTTCTCTGCAAGCCGAACCCGATCATTGATGCTGATTTTTCCAGTGCCGTCCTCCGAATTCGAGCAGAGCTAGAAGAAGGGGCTTCAGACAAGGTTTGACAAACTCACTTCGCAGCTTCGCAATCACTTACAGGGTTTTAGCTAGTATGGTTCGTGGCTCACAATGTTGAGCTTTGCGCTCAGCAGCATTCTGTATTGCAATCTCAGATTCCTGCAGTTCAGACCAAGCTGCTTCTTGGCAGCGATAATGTTGATTCATGGTCCAACCAAGAGACATGGAACGCTGTGCTTCTCAACGTCAAAATTGTGGTGTCAACCCCTCAAGTTCTCTACGATGCCTTGAGCCACGGCTTTGTCCAGATGAGTTCATTATCCTTGCTTGTCTTTGATGAAGGTATTCAATCACGGCAATTTATCAAGAGTTTTGGCCCTGACAATGGTGTAGTGCATCACTCTACGGGGAAAAGCGCTGAGAGAATGATCATGATGAATTTCTATCACCCACGCAAACAATCGGCACTCTGGGTTCCTCACGTCTTAGGACTGACCGCAAGCCCCATAATGCGATCTAGGCTCGAAGGCCTTGAAGCACTGGAACGGACACTGGACTCGGTTTGCGTTACGCCCAGATTGCACCGAGATGACTTGATGACCCATGTCAAAAGGCCCACGGTCAGTTATGTTCATTACGAAACGACAGATGCCAAGGGTGGGCCCACGCCAGTCAGTATATCAAGTCTTCGCGAAGCATGCAGAAATATGGACATCAGGCAAGATCCATTCGTTCTCCATCTAAGGGACAAAGGCACTGATCGAGCACGACGTGAGCTCATCAAGGTCCTTACAAGCTACGAAACATATTCACAACAACAAATGAAGTCTTTCTTTAACCAAAGCTTGCGAGTCCTGCGAGATCTCGGGCCCTGGGCAGCCGAATACTACATTTGGAAGGTTATCACGGATTTTCTGACAATCACTGAAGCAAGTGATCACCGCATGAATCAATGGAAAACCGAAGAAAAGCAGTATCTTGCCAACATCCTTCGACAAATAAGTATCATCGAGCCGCAAGTCAGCATGCTAAGTACTCATAACACATCGAACAAATTAATGATGCTCATGGAACACATGTCATCTAAAGCCACCGATGGTACTGCTGGGATCATATTTGTCAAAGAGCGATCAACTGCGGCGATGCTTGCACACGTGATTGAGTCGCATCCACTGACACCGAATAGGTACTCGAGCGTTGGGGTTGTTGTCGGTACTTCCAATCATCTGGTACGGAAGAAAGATATGTGGGATCTGTCTCGAGCAGCCCACGAGACGGAGCCCCTTCTCCAGTTCAGATCTGGCCACCTCAGTTTGCTCATCGCCACAAGTGTGCTTGAAGAGGGCATCGACGTTCCTGCCTGCAACCTCGTGATCTGTTTCGATGAGCCCGAAAATCTCAAAGCCTTTGTCCAGCGGCGCGGCCGAGCCCGGAAGAAAGATTCTAGCCTCGTGGTTCTTCTCCCCGGGACAGACTACGTGCCTCAGGACTGGGAAGGCATGGAAGCGACAATGAGGACACACTACGAGAAAGAACGGCGCGAAATACGAATAATGGAGCAAATCGAAGCATCCGAGTCTACAGAGTACGAAGAGTACATTGTCGAGAGTACCAATGCCAGACTCGACTTCGAGAACGCCAAAGCGCATCTCAGCCACTTTTGTGGGCAACTTTCTCCTGGGGAGTTTATAGACAAGAGGCCCGAATACATACCCCGCGTGGTAGACGACAAAGAACCTCCATCTCTGAGGGTCACGGTACTATTGCCGAGTTATATTCCAGCTGCCGTCCGTCATGCTGAGAGTCGGCGAAGCTGGAAGTCGGAGCATCAGGCCTCAAAAGACGCCGCTTTTCAGGCATACCTGGCTCTTTACGACGCGGGACTGGTCAACGAACACATGCTTCCACTCACGGCCAAAGACATCGTACCCGCAAACGAACCTCGAGTAGCAACCTTGCAGTGCAATGGCCTCTTGAACGTCTGGCTTAGTATTGCCCAGGCCTGGATCACGAGTACTGAAATCTGGTTAACTCCAGTACGCCTCCAAGATGCGACGGGATTGACGCGAGGAACGTATATCATGAGCATGCCGGTAGCATTGTCGGCACTGCCTTCCACGCCGGTGTACTTCGATCGCGAAGGACCATGGCTTCTGGATTTTGGCCCACAAGAACGAAAGGAAAAGCTTGAAGTGCCTGATCATTCTTCAGTGCTGCTTGCACTCCACTTTGGCCATCGCTGGGACATTGCTCATGGTCAGCAGCAGGTGATCAGGTTCGCTTCACAGGATGGCGAACTGCATATTAACCAGTTAAGTGCACGGGGCTTCACAACCACAGATGCCGACCGAGAGGAAATGCCGTACCTGGTACGGGACGAGTCAGGATGCCCGTATGTGTACGGCCACTTTCTCAACAGCAAGCCGTCACTTGAACTTATTCAACGACCTTTCCGGCGCATCGGGGACTCTCCAGGCTTCCAAGATGCACCCAGCAACATTCCTTACTTGGCTCTTAGAAAGTGGCCGCGCCACCCGGCCCTCCTGCACCAAAAGAGCGTCAACGATTCACTGCCACAGGCGACAAATACGAAGCCATATGCGAGGGTTTATCCGGCACCGTGGGCGAAAATTGACACGATCCCACTGGATCATGCTTACTTTGGGGCGTTGATCCCTTCCATTTCACACATTGTCGAGGTTCGACTGGTTGCAGAACAGCTTTCCTTGAGCCTACTTCGTGACCTCAATTTCTCAGATCTCTCTCTCGTTCTGACGGCCATCAGCACTAAGGGCTCCTTGGAGGCCACAAACTACGAGCGTCTTGAGTTTTTGGGTGACTCTATCCTCAAGCTTTGCACCACGGTCAATGCTGCCGCTCTGCGTGCGTTCGCCCTCCTTACACTCTGTCATACGTTGCCGCAGCTGACACTAGCTTAGACTCTGACTGGCCGGAGGGCTACTTATCATGCCTGAAAGATGGCTTAGTTTCGAACTCGAGATTGTGTAGGGCTGCACTGGATGCTGGCCTTGACAAATTTGTTCTAACTGAAAACTTCACTTGTCGCACGTGGAGGCCTATCTACGTCAACGGCATGTTGGAAACAGGTGCTCGCGACTCAGGACCCCGTGAAATATCGACTAAAACGCTCGCCGATGTTGTGGAAGCACTCATAGGGGCCGCATACATTGACGGTGGCCTCCCAAAGGCAATTGGGTGCATTTCGATCTTCCTGAGGGAGCTTGATTGGAAACCGTTGCCAGCTTGTCAGGAGATCCTTCACAGTTTGGCGCCCCCTGATGTGTCTTTGCCGCCAATGCTTGTCCCGCTGGAAGAGCTGATCGACTACACATTCACGAAGAAGATTCTCCTGATTGAATCGATCACGCATGCCTCCTTCACTGCCGGACATGTGACTGGCTGCCTTGAACGTCTCGAATTCTTAGGCGATGCCATTCTGGACGACATTGTGGTGTCCCATCTGTTTCCCCTTAACCTTTCGCACGACAGGATGCATCTCCTCAGGACTGCTTCGGTCAACGGCGATCTTCTAGGTTTCCTTGCACTCGAGAGCCATGCCGAGGAAGACGAGGTGATCATTGATGTCGATTTTTCTCCTTCTGATACGGACCTCAATCCTCAGAACCCTGCCGGGATGGAACAGAAGCTCAAACGGACACGTCGGAAAATCCCTCTTTGGAAGTTTATGCGCCACTCCTCAATAGAAGTTGTGCAGCAGCAGACCAAAGCTGCCGGCGCTCATGCCGATCTCCGAGGGCAGATCATTCACGCTCTGAGACATGGGTCAAGCTACCCCTGGCCTCTTCTCGCTCGCTTACATCCCGCGAAGTTCTTATCCGATATGGTCGAAGCTGTACTGGGTGCCGTCTGGGTCGATTCAGGGGACATGAGCGCGTGCGTTCGTGTGACGGAACGACTAGGCATTCTGCCGGTGCTGTCCCGACTGGCAAAGGACGACGTTCATGTGCTGCATCCGAAATCAGAGCTGGGAGAGATCGCTGGTCACCGGACAGTCAAATATCTCCTCACTTTGCCCGAGGACGCAGCCGGCCTGCAGAGTGCAAAAATGAAATATACCTGCAAGGTCATGATCGGGGATCGCTGTGTTGCAGAGGTGGATGACGGGGTCGCTCGAGATGAGGCCGAGACGAGAGCTGCAGAGATTGCGGTACGGGTCTTGAAGGATGAACAGGCTGACGCGAAACAAGCAGCAGAATCCTAAATTGACAGAGTCCTTGGGTTCTGGCTTGTTGATAATGATAATGATTACTCTCATGTACTTTGATGACATGGACGCCCATGAATTAAGTAGAAAAGACCAGTCCGTACACGCAAAGTTAACTCGCGGCCAGCTGAAGAGAACCGCTACTGTTGTGGGTATAGCGAAAAGAAAACGCCTTACAAAATCTCTGAAAGTATCATCAAGGCACACAGCAAGACGTAACAAGGTTGAACATGATTGTTCAGTCGTCATCTTCGGTGAGGTCTACTGCCCTCGCTCCGTTCGCTGTTTTGGTATATTTCCACTCGCGCTGGGATGGCGGCATTGTAAGGTCGACTTCGTCTCTCTCACGCTTGACGGAGGGCTTTTGCTCCGTCTTCGCCACCGCTTGGTTCTCTTCTTTAACCCGGCTCGGCCTCTGTGCCAGGTCAGCTTGCTGCTTGGCATGCGATGCTCCCCGAGACAACGCAGGAGGCTCCGTCATTTGTGCAAATAAGTTAGCTGTCTATGAGACTTACATGTAATGAGTGGAGATGTTGAGCTGCTAACCGCCTGACCTGCTCGGTCGACATGCCCTCGAGAACTTGCAGTTCTGGATCGGGTGATGGAGTGCGGGGAAGGATCATCTCCTGCTGAAGAGCCCCTTGATTCTATGTCAGCAACGTTTTCAAGTACCAATATCTGCGTCGTGGAGATACACACTTCGAGATCGGTATTTGAAGTTAATCACAGCAAAGGCTTGACGGCCGAGCACATAGTCGACCATGACATGGCGGCTCGCCGGCAAATCCGCCCCATGAGAAAATCTCCCATATTTCAGTCCTCAGTTCGCTGAAACATGCGTTGAAAAGACTCACGATGTGCCATGGGAGATAGCTTTGCCCTTCAGGGATTTCTCAGACAACTCCGACGTATTGGTAGGAATCGTCGAATCAGGCCTCTGCGCCATCGTATAGCCTATGTCGACACCAGCGAAGAAGCGTAGCTGTATGAGTCCCAAATGTTTCGCTGCCTCAAGGTCACTCGCAATGCGCGCCGTATCCGTGTCGTCCACTGGAGCTGGATTAGTCTCGAAAACGACCGCATCGAAGCGGCCGCCCTGACCGCCAGACGAGGGCCAGCATGGCTGTGCCAACAGTGGACGTCGTCACATACCTGTCGACACGGCAGAGAAGACCAACTTGAGAAGGTGGACATATCCAGGACGAGAGCACGACTCGACTTTCTTGCCGTCAAATCGAAGCCTGTCAATAGTTCCCTGGCCTGGCCGAACTGAGGCGCACTTGGAAGAAACATGTTTTCCATCTACGGAGAGCTCCCCAATTACAGTGTCGCACGGTGGTGGGGCATGCTGGGCGACCTCTCTACTCATATGGACCTGAACGGTAAAGGATGCATTATCGATGGATTCGATGTACTTGAAGATCTGATGTCTAGCCGGCATGTCGTTCACTTCTCGGGAGGACACGTCGTCGTCGTCGTAAGCCTCTGCTCTCTGGCCGTTGACTTCGACCCAGGCGTCGATGCCTGGGACTTCACGATCGATGGGCATGGTTCCAACGTGGGATTCCAAGTCTTTGGCCGTCTGGATGATCTCGAAGTATCTCAGTGGGGGATACGTCAAGGCGGAATGAGAAAGACGTAATTGGCAAGCGCTGATGAGGAATCGTGGGCTTCTTTGAGGTGGGTATAACCTGCCATCTAAGATGCACCTCGGGCACCACGTTTTTGATGGGCGGGGTTCTCAGGCACCCCTCACCGTGCGGCTAGGCAACCACTAATGCCTTCGCTCAGTGCTGTATGTACCTACCAGGGAGACCTGATCAGCACGCCGCATAGGTACGTAGGTAGTGTGGAAGCCAGATAGATAAGGCACCTACACATCCCTCAGTCGCAGTACACAAACCATACCAACAATCGCCTTCTGGACTCTGTGGTCGAAGATGGCTTGGACTTCGCTGGTACATTGTCAGACGTGCAGCGAATCAACATGGCGATACCACAGAATGTCCGGGCACTGTACATGCCGTCATGCAATTCTGCGACAGCCAGTTGTGTCTGAGACGTCTCCAGAGCCTCAATAACGCACTTGTCGCTCCGAGCAACTGCCATCAACGTCGTGGAAACAATTGCACAGCAACGTCAACGAACCCGACTCCCACCCTCTCGAAGCTTTGAAAGGTAGGGTTCACATTACCTGAGGTAAAAGCCAAAAAGCTGTCATACAGCACATATAAACGATTAGTCACAGATTTAGAGTAACGGTCATCACGACCGGCATTTATTGCACTTAGCCCCTTCTCCCCTGCCTGCATCGTGAAGGACGACACACGAAGCGGTGCTTGTAGGCATCACATGAAGAGCATGTTTCCTCTGTTCTCAACCAACCCTGTCAACATCTTCAAAGGCCCGTTTCTATGTTATCTCCATATTCCTGCAATCGTCTTGTGCTGGGAATCCTTCCTGTCTCACACTCTTTGAAAAAAAAAAAAACCCCTTTGGAAAAACGCATTGAGGTCCGAATAGAGCCACAGGGCCGAGGAAGACGGAAAAAAAGCCAAGTCGACCCGACTACAACACTGACATTCCCGCAGTGCTTGCTTGCTGTCAGCTCAAGTTCCCGACGGCATGATTTTCGGCGCATATAACTGCTCGTTGCACACACCTGTTGAGAAAAACAAGGTAGTCTGGTGGCCGCCTTCATTCGTCGGTCAAGTCAATGACGGGTATCGAGGGGTCCATGCGAAAGATCTTTCTAGGTCGACCTCCTTCAACCTCCTCATTCAGGCTGTATACTTCGTCAATGTGCCGTTTGCCGCCGCGCCGCGCCGCCTCGTTGGTTCCCAAATTCGTCAGCGGCTCGCGTTGTCTGTCATGGTCTCGCTGGAATGCCAGTCAGTATCGCTCAGCAGGCTTTTGTACTTGATCTGGTCGATTTTCCCCTGACAAACCTTCATCTGTATCAGCTTTACGCGAGCTAGACGTTCAATCTCGTGCTGTGGTAGTGACTCCATCTTCGGAACTGCGTCATCGTAGTCGGGGGGAGGAGTTCGTTGCACGACTCCTTCCTTCTTGAGGCCCTCTAGGGGGGAAAAGTCAATTGAAGCTTCATGGATGTCGTGTTGCAACTTACCCATGGATCGGTACTTGAATAGGTAAGACATCACCGGGCGGCCACGATCCACGATTCGAGTCCGAGGACGCCTTCCGTCCCCATGGCCCGTAATGTCCTCCGGTATGGCATAGCTATGAATTCATTAGCAACGGAAGACTGTCCAGCGAGACAATGCCACTGACGATGTGCTGTGCGAGAGTGCTCTTCCTTTCAGAGCTTCTTCGGAGATCTCGGAATACGGATACCCGCTGGTACTGATCCTGTGATCCGTCTGCTTATACGTGTTGTCGCGACCGTCTTGCTGTCGGTCCCTGGTACCGGGGATAAAGCCTGTAAATTCTACCCACCGAACGACTATCTCAATGGTTCCAAGTGCCTTTGACAGAGCGATTTCTTCAGGGGATGTCTCATCAATGACTGAACATAGGTCAGATCTGGAGGTCGCCAACTTGAAGGTGGTGCGGCTACACTTACCGGTGGTGAGCGAAGAGAATACAAACCTTCGAAGCTCTTTCTGGTAAGGGTCACGCCCGGGCCCTTTGGCGCCAATGAACTGTGTAGTATATGTGTAGCTTCTACCATTGCGTCGCAGGTTGCAAGCCTTCACGTTTCGCTTGCCCATGTGACTGCCATCGACGAGAAGTTGAAATTCTAGGCAGAATTCATCATAAATCCACTCGTCCAGGGAAGGATCATCCTCCACTGAAATGACGATCTCGAAACCATTGTCGTCCTTACTTTCGATGAAGGTGGACATCTCCCGCTGCGCGCGGCCATCGGTCGACCCTTTGTAACCGAGGTGGGGGTTGGGGTCGGGGTGCTCGTGGGCATCTCCATAGTCCCCCATAAGACCTGAGGGTATGTTCCATTAGCTATGAAGTTGTTGAGGGCACTGTTGTCTCGCCACTTACGAACAGCAACATTGATGCTCGGTAAGTCTTGGTGTCTCATCTTGTCGTCTGATTCTCGTTCACAGCGTGTAAGAGAACTTGGGTATCAGGAACTGATTCGAACCCTGGCGAGGGACACTTGGATGTCCAAAGATGCGTGGCTCGGGGCATCTGATGATGCGGCAGTAGGGAACAATCAATAGGAGGAACAATCCCTAGTAGTGGGTTGTGAGCCGGAAAACCCAAGGTTGAGGTCCGTTTGGTGGACCTTACAAGTCTGAAGGCACGGAACTATCTAGGGAGGTACCTACCCCCGAACTTACCTAGGCTGCAAAAGCTGCCTTCCAGATACAACGTGAAAGACTCCGAAGGCAGCAGCTTCTGGTGGTAGTCCTTCCCAGAAGTTAAGATAGGCAACTCGCTGTACCTAGGTACCTGCCTATATAAACCGAATACATACGCAATACAGCTGCCCTGTTTCGCATCTAAATTACCTGCGTCAGAGGTTGGACGACTGGTTGATTTTCCCACATTTTCTTTCTCAAAATCTCACATGAACCTTGGACGTCGAGGTAACTTTCCAGGTTCAGCAGGTTGTAAGCCAACTCTCACGATCTTCTTGTCATTCTATACTGCTTCTGTTCAGTGTCGATGAAGGTCGCCCTTCAGAGCACATGAAGCGAAGAAGAGTGCGATGTGCACAAAGCTTCCAGATATCCATACAAACATAGCAAGCTTCTTTCTTGGTTCCACACCTCAAAGTCAACAGAGGTCTGGGGTGGGTCATTGTGCCAGAAAGTCGGGCGGTTAGTCTACAATACCTCGAGGTACACTATGCAGCAGCCGCCGAGGTAAAGCAACGCGATGCAGACTTTATTGGCAGACCCCCGAAGGTCCTCATGAACATTTTAACTGCCGAAGGTCCTGGTCATACGAACGAACGGTAGGTGGCCTGCTGCCGTTTGTCCGGTGGCTTGTCAACCAAGCCGAAAGGGATTAGTGATTTTACGCGATGTCCAAGCTCCATGCGGTGGCCCCGCAACCCCCGGCATTTGAGCTCAAGGTTCACTGGATGAGACAATACTGCCCCTCATCTTGATGTCTGCTGATCGTTCGCTTCCTCGATTAGGCGGCAATGACACAATCGGGATTTGGAATTCCATGCGTCGGCCGACCAGTGTCCCCTTTGACCCGAAATGCTTAAAGTATGGCCATGGCCTCCGCCTGATATCCACTCCTGCCCAAGTCTCACAGTTCCCACGCGCAGCACAAAACCAGTGACCGGAACCTCCTCAGGAGGTAAGGACGACCTAGTACACTTATCAGAGAATTTCGGCCAGTGGCCTCCATATTGCCTGATTCCTCCATCGCCAAGGACATCGAATTCATAATGCCTCTGAGCGACCAGTCTCTCGACCGGCTTCGAGCCTTAGTGGACGATTCGGTAGCCGATCAGAAGAAGGGCATTCCTGGGGTTACAGTCGTTGTCGTTGGCAAGGATGGAAAGGATCTCTTCGCACATTCGGCAGGCAAACAGGGAATCACCTCCGAGCAACCCATGACTCTTGATAACATCTTCTGGATAGCCTCATGCACCAAAATGCTGACAGGTGTGGCGTGTATGCAACTGGTGGAACAAGGTCTTTTATCACTGGACGATGGAGAACAAATCGAAAATCTCTGTCCTGAGTTGAAGGACCTCAAGGTTCTCCGATCTGACGGTGTGCTGGAGGAAAAGAAGAACCGCATTACCTTACGCATGCTTTTAAGCCATACCGCGGGCTTCGGCTACACATTTTTTAACGAAAGGCTGAGAGACTGGTCTTTCCCCGCAGGAATTGACGAGTTCTCGGGCCGCATAGAGGATGTCACTCAGCCGCTCCTGTTCCAGCCAGGAGAGGGATGGGAGTATGGTGTAAGTTATTGAGCCCCTTCGTGCCTAGAACCCCTATCCCTAGTCACTCTGACCAATGTCCAGGTCGGTATTGACTGGGCTGGTATTGCCCTTGAACGCCGCACAGGGGATACTCTGAACACCTACCTGCAGAAGCACGTGTTTCAGCCACTTGGCTTGAAGAACATATCGATGTTTCCAAACGAAGACATGCGGGCCAAGTTGGCACACATGCATGCACGAGATCCGGACGGCACCCTTCGACCCAGAGATCACCTACTGCGCCGCCCACTCGTGGTGGACCTAGGCAACGAGAAAGAGATAGCGTCAGTCTTCAACAGTGGTGGCGCTGGTCTGTTCGCGAAGCCTCAAGAATACACCAGTAAGCGCTCGAGTCCACTGTGACTCGCCTCTTGCGTGATAGACTGGCCTTGTGCTTGATGGCTGACTTATTTCGCCAGAGGTTCTCGCTGTTCTTCTAAATAATGGGACCTGCCCCATAACCGGCTCCCAGATACTCCGTAAAGAAACGGTTGAAGAAATGTTCCGGAACCAGGTGTCCTCATTCCCCGACTACGCTCGGCAAGGCATTCCAGCGTCGAAACCCGATCTCACGAACCCGGTCTCAGAACTCTACCCTATCCAGGATAATGCACCACAGGGTTGGGGGTTGACTTTCATGCAAGCAAACAGCAGCGCCACTGGTCGATCGCCAACAACTGTGCAGTGGGCTGGCCTTGCCAACCTATGGTGGTGGTGTGATAGAGAGAAAGGGGTGGCAGGATTCGTTTGCACTCAGATCCTCCCGTTTGCTGATGGCCCAGTCCTCAACTTGTGGGCTCAGGTTGAGGTCGAGGTGTACAAAGCGCTGTCTCAGTAGCTGTCTGCCCTGAGTCACAGGTGTCGGAAGCCAGGTTGCTAAGTAGGGCCCGGCAGTGGCCATGTGCTCGACGCATTGGTTCTGCAGTTCTCGCGAGGCGTAGAAACACTGTTGATGCCGATTCTGGTACCGTGAAAATGACGGAAATCACTTCCAAAGGATGATGAGCAGTTCCGATGCTGCTTGTACCATGTATGCTGTCAGCCTAGCTGAGTCATCGACGCCCCTGAGAACGTGAACTAGCTGGTCTCGGCCTAGGAACCCTTGGAACTGGCTGGGCTCCGCTACCCTCCGCCCCCCAGCCAGTCACTACGTCTCTAGAAGCCTCAACCTCGACCTGTCACCTCGGAGCATGACGTTCGCTCCAGCTCTCATCATCCAGAAGGACGCCTTGTGCCAACCCCAAACAACAAACGGCGACAATGGTACAAGCTGGCCATGCCATAGGACCTAGCTGATCGATACCCTTCCGATCTCTCCTAATTGTCCTCGGCAAGACCCAACGCGCGCCACAATGGTCTCGGACAGCTCCAGCAACATCCGCGTCTTCATTCGCTGGGACGACCAGACTGTCTTTGCTGGCGAGGAGATCAAGTGCACCATCACCTTCAAGAACGTTGCCGCCGATTCCAGTCAACATAAGCAGACCCAACGGCAGGCAAATGTCGCCGATCGTCCCAGATATGCCACCCCGCTGCATCGTGGGAAGCCCATCACCGGCTCGACCCCACCGACCCCGTCAACTGCTGGTCCCTCTCGCGGCCACCGTTCTACCCTTTCCCTAAGTGCACCGGCCGCCTTTTCAAGGAGCCGTTCTGGCTCGATCGTGTGGCCACAACCCCCACCGCACCCTCCGAAATCTAGCGACAACCAGGGCAACAGTCATCGACGGTCCATCTCCATCGTCTCCATTGGATCGGCCAACACAGCTCCTGATGATGCGCAAAGCAACGCTTCGTTCGCCAGGATACAAAGGCCCGGAAGGGGGCATGCGCGGGCTCACAGCTTGCACATTATGCCCCGGGCTGGCCTCGGAATCTCTGGGCCCCAGTCAGGTATTGCTTCCTCCCATTGTTGTCAGTGAACAAACGCCTGACCACTTGACAGCATCACCGCGGCAGGTCAGCTCTCCGATGTTCAAATCTACACAGATGTCCGATCGACACCCCCGGTCTCCAGGTCCATCAACCATGCCGAATACTCCCGCCATCAGCGGCCCTTTCCGACAGTCACGGTCACCTTCTAGTAATATGCCCGAATTCAAGTTTCCAATGGCGCCCTCGCCATTATCCGAATCTCATAACAGCCCATTAAATCCCACTGACGACAGCTTTCTGAGCCCCAAGAACGAATCAATATCGGCATTCCGGACGAAGGACGGCTCTCATGGGGCTCCTGACCACTCACACATGCATGCGACCACCCCAGCAATGCGAATCCTTTCCTCGACAAGCATGGGAGGGACACCAAGAAGTAGCGGGGAGTTCTACGCGGCAAGCAATCATTCTTCGGAAACGCTCATCTCGGAGTACCCCGCCCACCAGCAACCGCTCCGTGGTCAGCACCAGCCAAGGCCTTCACATCTCAGACGAAGTTCCAATTTCAGCTCACTACAACAGCCGAAAGGACCCGAAACCATCATGATGGCGTATGCTCAAGTTCAAGGTTCCTTCACCCTGGACGGTTCACTCATCAACCTGGCGCCTTTTGAGCAAGTCAAGCGAAAAGCCGTTCTTGGTGGACAGGGGGGCGGCGTGATTGGCGTCGAGACTTCTTCCAGGCGCGACAGCGGTCTTCTTCGCAGCTTCGGATGGGGGAGTATAAGCAGCTCCCTTGGCGACCTTCTCGGAACTGGTGAGCTCAGCAGCATGAAGGACATGCGCGGCATCGCGAGCTCCAAGTCTGTGCCGCTCCTCTCTACGCCGCAGTCGATCCTGTTCGTTGACATGCAGCTTGCGCCAGGGGAGAGCAAGGCCTTTGAATACGCCTTTCAATTGCCCAGAGGCCTGCCGCCATCCCACAAGGGCAAGGCCGTTAAGATTTCATACACGCTCGTCATCGGCACACAGAGGGCTGGCGGCACGAAAGAGCAACAGATACGCAAGGTTGAGGTACCCTTTAGGGTGCTGGGCGGCGTCAACAGCCATGGCGAGATTCTAGGTTACGATCTTATGAACCCTTATATTATCCTGCGCGACCAAGCAATCATCACACCCCTCGATAAAATGACACCAAGTAACCAAAAGAAAGCTCAATCGACGAGACCTGAATCTTCTCTAAACGATTTCATCACATATGTCGACGACTTATTGAACAGACCACGCTATGGCAGTCACACAGGTCTACTCTCTCCGACGGCGGTACCAAGCTCCAGGCGACCATCAGCGTTCGAAGACGCAACAACTGCCAAGGACGCCATCAATCTTGCCATCCTTCGTAGCACCCACGCATCCGAGGGCGGTCAAAGCCCCAACCGCTTTGAGATTGCGCGAAATGGTCAGCGCGTCGGCGTTGTGACGCTTACGAGGGCTGCATATCGCATCGGCGAGGCCGTGACTATGGTGGTCGATTTCTCCAACGCGGACGTGCCTTGCTACGCTCTCCACTGTGCGCTCGAATCTGCTGAACGAATTGCTGATTCACAACTTGCCCTACGCTCGGATGCTTCGGTCCATCGCGTAACACGCAAGGTGTACGCATCTTCCTCTGATACAGCACTCTACGGCCGCAGACTCGTCTTCACGCCAACCATTCCCATCAACGCTACCCCAGAGTTCGTGACATCGGGTGTTGCTCTCGAGTGGAAGATCCGTGTCGAGTTTGTTGTGCCTAGCGCTACCGCCCAACAGACCAAAGAGACTCCCGTTGCGGAGCCCGAAGAGTCTGAAGACGCCAGCGCGCCTCTGGTAGGGAACAGCGCTACCAGTGGTAACACGAACCCAAGTCGTAACCATCCACTTCTTGAGGAGATTTCGCGTGATGAGCGTGGGGGCCTTGTTCTAGTTGCAGTGGAGAACCTGGCTTGTGAGAGCTTCGAGGTTGCGGTTCCGTTGCGCGTGTATGGCGCTTTCGCTACGGGCCTCGAAAAGCTAGAAAGGGACGAGGCGTCAGAAGAGGGCCTTGCAGTCTAAGTCAAGGTTCCCGGTTGGCATTGGTCGGGTAGCGAGGGCACTGGGGGTATCACGCGGAAATCGTCCGTTGCAGCACTGGAGCGTCCATCTTACGCTGTACAAACCATCACATGGGTGAAGGACGGCGGAGAGTGAATTTGCACATATCGTACCTACCTACACAAGTCAGTTTAGCATTATCTAGCGTCTCTGAAAAAAATATATTGAATTTCAACAATCTCCATCATAGACAGTCGGTTCCGGATACTTCTTTGTCCCGGTCACAACGATAGTTAGGTAGGTACCTTGATTGGAGTGAGGTTCGGGACACCAGTGACCCAGAAGCACGGACCACGAGCGGTAGTCTGAAGCTCCGACCCCCGATCAGGCCCCGTACACCTATCACGCGAGTCGACTTTTTTTGACCGGCTGAAGAAAGTCGTCTGTCACTCATCACGACCAACAACGGCACCATCCATCATGGCTTGTGCATGCCGCATATCGTCTTTACAACTCTTCGTGCGGGGACTTAGTCAAGTCCACAACACTGGTTTCCTCGCGCCGCGCAATTTTCAGCGAGCCCCGACACTACGATCCTCGTCTGCTTTGCGAGTTGCCTTCTCGACAACCCCCCTTTCCCGAAGCGATACTGCGGAGAAGCCGGCGGAGGATGGACAGGCCGTCGCCACGAACCAAGCCGATGGCCCTCCATCGTCTGCAGCGCCTACGTCCTCAGACAGCACGAGTGACTTGACGTGGACGATAGAAGCGCCCGCCAATGCAAAGGACACCTCCCGGGGCTCGCCAAGCCCCAGATCCATCAAACCAAAACGGAAACCAAAAAAGGCAAGAGAGTTGAAGACAGAGGGCAAACCACAGTCGACCGACGGCTCCATGGCAACATCAAGCAAGCCGTACGCGGGCGCAAAGAGAGCGGCGGGCGAGAGCGAGGCCGACCCAGCGCAGGCGCCCCCGCCGCAACACCGCCGCGAAAACTGGCAGCTCCAGAAAGACGCCCTCAAGAAGAAGTTTCCCGAGGGCTGGCGTCCGATGAAGCGCCTGTCGCCTGACGCCGTGGCGGGCATCCGCGCGCTGCACGCGCAGTTCCCCGAGGAGTACACGACGGCCAAGCTCGTGGAAAAGTTTGAGGTCTCGCCCGAGGCGGTGCGGCGCATCCTCAAGAGCAAGTGGCAGCCGTCGCCGCAAGAGGAGGAGGAGCGGCAGACGCGGTGGTTTCGGCGTGGCAAGGATGTCTGGGCGCGCTACGCGGAGCTCGGCATGAAGCCGCCGCAGAAGTGGCGGGCCGAGGGCGTGACGCGTGACCCGACGTACCACGAGAAGAGGCAGGCCGCCATTGCGCGACGCAAGGAGGAGGAGGCCAAGGAGGCTGCGGGCGCAAGGCTGCAGCGGAAGATGGGCGGGGGGTTCCTGTGAGCCGGGTCGGCGGCTCTGTCTCAGCCAAGGGGGCGTGCCGCAGCGGGCTGTCGGCGTGTAAGATCAGCAATGACTGTGCAACATGTACCACCACATCACCACTTAGGTACCCCTTAAATAGCAGTGTACCAAATCTCCAAGTGTCTCGTCTCGGGGCAGCGTACCCGTCAAATCTGGTCGGTGAGACCGGTGAGGCAGCAGGACGCGACGGTGTGGGGCAGCCCCAGGGCCATACTCGAACTGAGATGATCGTTATCAGCGCGGACAGAATGGTACGGCTAGCCGCAGAGACAAGTGCCTGTTTCGGGGCGTCGTCTCGGAGTGCCGAAGTATCGACCTTGCACAGCGAAGCATGGGCCAGCGATTTTCATCACGTTGCCAGGGTCCCCAGCAATAGCTCATCTAACGCGTGTTCGCTTTGGGACAGTCTGGTGGCCGAGCAGGGGAAGAAGACTAAAAAGGGGGCCGGTCGCGCTCGTCAACTGAATCGCAGCGTGTTCTCATGACTGATACCGACTCGGACGGCATGACAAGTCGCCTTGAAGTTGACCCTTCCCTCTGTCGTCTCGCTAGACCAAAGTCTTCCTGTGACGAGGTGCCTCGCAGCATTTGTTTGGGTGGCCGCATGTAATCGAAGAGCGGTTGTCGGAACGACCAGTAGCCTGCCGAGGCCGGGCTCTTAGCTCTTAGCTCTTAGCTCTTCAATCGCTGAGGCGCACTGCAGTGGTGATTGGCCTGTGCTTGCTCGAGAGCTGGGTTTCTAGGTCAACCCTGGCAAGCGTGCAAGGCGTGGGCACCCCCAAAGGCACCTACAGTGGAGCTGCCCTGTGCGCCCCGTGCATCCGACCTCGACGGTGGACCAACAGCGAGCTGTTTATGGACAGGGCCCCTGTCGTCACCCTGCCACACCTCCTCCACCTGCCTACCATCTCTCTTTTTCTGCCTGGGAGCGCCTGCTTCAGTGATCCGTGACCTTTTCACCACCAAACGCTCGGCCTCACTCTTTGGTCGTGATAGCTGCAAAATTTACACCAGGGATTTGAAATCTCTTGATGTCGCTGTAAGTTTTCGGCCGCTCCAGCAGAAGCCCACTCGTTTGATGGATGCTAACGAGTGCGTCTGGGTTGGCAGCTTTACATCCTATTGGGCAGGCGGCTCTTTGACTTACACCGCCCTCACTGTCTTTGTCTTTGTTCTCGACCAGCTACGCTTGCCCACTTAGCCGACCTCTCGTTTTGTTCGATACAACTGCCCCAGCGACGCCATCTTGATCGACTTGTCGCTTATCTTTGTGCCTCGAGCTCGAGAAGACGTTGACCACCAACCCAATCCGCCAATTGCCTCTCACCAGAGCACTCAATGGCGATATGATGCACGCAACACCCACGAACCGCCTCAGATTGACCCCCTCCAATTCGCCTTTCCTCCAGCGCCCCTCGCGCTCCCCTCTGCGCGGTCGCCAGTACCATGAGTCCCGGCTTGCGTTGAAAAGGGTCATCGGCACCACGTGTGCCTCGCCCACCGGCTTCGATACTGTTCAGTCCTCCTTCGCCTACATCGCCGGCGGTGCCGTCGTCGTCGTCGATGTCGACGGCGAGCAATACTCGCAGCGTTTCTACCGAGCACGGCCGACAACTCTGCCCATCTACAGCACCTCTTCCTCTTCTTACGCTCCCTCCACGCCAACATCCACACCCAAGGCCAACGACAGTAGGAACCGTGTGGCCCTGGGTATTCGCGACTCCTCCTACGGAACCCTTGACTGGTCGGAATCTCCCACATCGCGGACCTGGACCAGCCGCGAGCGAATCAAGGCCGCTACATGTCTTGCCCTAAGCCGGGACGGCAAATACCTGGCTGTCGGCGAAACTGGTTATGCCCCCCGCGTCCTCATCTTCAGTCTCGAGGACAGCTCCTCCGATGTTCCTCTCGTCTCCATCAGCGAGCACGGCTTCGGCGTCAAGGCCGTCGCTTGGTCCGCCGACACCCGCTGGCTCGCCTCCCTCGGTGCCGCCAACGACGGCTTTCTCTATCTATGGAAGATTGACCCCAGGACTGGGGCAGCCAAGCTCCACCAGCAGAACAGGTGCACCTCGAATATCAGGGGAATGGTCTGGATAGGGAACAGCCTCGTGACTCTGGGCGTTCGTCACATCAAGGTCTGGAAAGTCGACGAAGGTTCTTCAGTGTCTCCGACGAAGCAGAAGTTTTCCGCAGAAGGGTCCACAGCCTCTCCCTCGTCGCGAAGGACGTTGCCGGGCCGAAACGTCTTGCTAGGGCCACTCCTCGAGGAAACATTTACATGCGCCGCCGTGGTGGACGACAACAAAATCATCATCTGCTCCGAAGGAGGCGACGTTTGCATCGTCGACGACGACGGGAAACAAATGAAGCTGATGGGCTGCGTCAACCTCGGCTTTCCCATCCGCTCCATCACCATCCGACACGCTACTGCGTACATCGGCGGCAAGGCCGGCCAGTTTGCTACTCTCAGCGTTCGCTCGGTCCTCGACTGTCTGACAGACTGTGTGTTGACCAAAAGCCAATCACCGACCGGCTTGGTGGCGATGGGTTTCTTGATTGAAAATATGGTCACCATTGACAAGAAGCACCATATTGACATTTGGAGTTCTAGTTACCTCCCGGGCCAGACGGAGGAGGACCTGTCACACATCCAGATCCCTGGTCACGGCAATCAAATACTGGGTATCCAGGCGTTGCCCAGGCCCAATCACCAAAATGCAGCCTTTCTTACCTGGTCCGGTTCGGGGAGCGTGCTGTTCTGGGATATGGACGGAAAGATCAAAGCTTCCTTTGATGTGCCCATCGAGCAGACCATTCCCGAGGAAGAGGGCGATCCTGTTAATCAGCTGAGTGTTGTTCGCACGACCAAGGCTGGCAAGCTGCTTATTGCCGGCGACAAGCTTGGTGTGCTCAGAGTCATCGACTTGACAACAAACGAGTTCCTCCTGGAAACAAAAGCGCACTCGGCAGATTGTCTGGGCGTCGCCCTGCACGAAGACGACTCAAGGGTCCTGTTGGCATCCTACGCTAGGGATCGGACTGTCCAGCTCTTCCTCCGATCGTCAGCCGGAACGATTGAGCACATGCAAACTCTCGATTCTCCTGCCAAGGTTGTCAAGGTGGTTATGCCGTCAGAAAGCCGGATAATCACTTGCTCTCTGGACCGGTCCATGCAAATCTACGATATCGTCAGTAAAGACGACAATCCGGACGCCATCGCTGCCCTCAACACACGAAACATTGCTCTCAAGGCATCGCCTACCTCCATCGTGCTCGGGCCTGGGGACAAGACTGCCTTTGTCGCCATGCTTGATCGTTCTGTCTGCCAGTATGACTTGAGCAGCGGCAAGCAAGTTTCATCCTTCCGTTGTGTCGATGAAGGAGGTGTTGAGGCCGCCATCCTTGACTCCTTGGTCGCGGGAACATGCCCCGGTAAAGAGACGGGGTTCATCCTTGGGCTCTCCAACACGGACAAGTCGGTCAGACTCTACGACACCCAGACTGGCTATTTCCTCGACCGCGAATGGGGACACACCGAGGCGATCAATGGCGTTGCTCTCGTCGAGGACGATGATGGAGGACAAAGCATCATCAGCGTGGGATCAGACGGGACCATGATGCTGTGGACTATGGATCTGCAGGAGCCTTCGCCCGTGTCGATGAGTAGGGATCCATCGCCGGTCAAGCTCGAAGCTGCATCCTCACGTCCTCCGCTTCGGCGCGTTTTGTCAAAGGCAGAGCTTGCCGAGTTTTCGCGCCCGTCACCGTTAGGTGGGCGTCGTTCTCCACCACGAACGGTTCAGAGACGTTCTTCCAAATACGGCCTGTCCGTCCACAACACCAGCACGCCGAAGGGCCTTGCGCAGAGTAGCGCCGCTGCTACCATTGCCGAGGATACCCCTTCTCGCCGGCCATCCTCTGGCGACAGGTCCAGCAGCCCGCCCATCAGCCCCAAGGCCCCTCGGGTGACAAGACGCCCTTCCCTTCCCGCTCTCAGCGTGAGCTCCCGTAAGAAGAGCTCGCCGAGTCTCCGGGGCAGCAGCGGAGGGGGCTTTGGGTCGCTCAACATGGCAACAGAGCAGACGTGCCGCACATTACGGGCATACCGCAAGAAGCTCGCCTCGACAGAGCCGATAGGTCACGAAGTACTCTCGGAACTGGACACGGAGCTGCGTCTCACCGCAGCCGCACTCGGTGACAGGGCTATTAGGAGCAAAGCCATGGATGAGTCTGTCATCAGCGGCCTGCTTGACCAATACGAAGAGCGTCTCGCGTCCATGTTGGACGAAAAGCTCCGCATTACCTTCCAGCCCATCCAAAAGGGCAAGGCGAAAGAAGTTCTCACTCCGCTCGAGTCCCCGGCTGAGGTTGACGCCGAGCTGGAGAGGCCAAGCACAGCCAGCGGAGAGTCGAATTCGACACTATAACGGAACGCATCATCGATCACCGGTCACACTGATCGAATGCTTCTTTTTTATTTTGCTTCCATAGCACCTTGTCTTTCATATTTTTCTTTCCTCGTGGAGTTCTTGGGTACCGCCGGCGTTAAGGGGTCTCGTTCAAACAAATATCGGAGAGGGCGCTGCTAGCATGCAAAAGGGGCAAAGCAGACATACACGTACACATACACATACACACACACACACACAAACATACAGCACATAGCTGGCATGCTTCTCCGGAGCCGAGAAGCGGATCATATTCTAGAGATACCACCGCCGCCACCGGGATGGAGCAAGGGCGCATAGGGCTTCGACGGCGTTTTTCTTTTCCTTTCCCTAATTCTGGCCTGGGAGATGGAAGGTGGGCAGAGGGTACGGTTTCAGTCAGCGCGGGAGGACCAGTCGCTTCATGCCATGGGCAGAGCGTAACCCTCTGTCTGGAGTAAATTGATTTCGGGCATTCCATAGTGCCTTTTTGTTCAGACTTCAGCAATGTGACATCTGGTGCCTTGCTCGAGCCCCTAGGTACCTTCAATGCCACCACACAAACCAACTCTTGAACCATACAACATCAAGCAGCCGTAGTGTGCCCGACAGCGGGCCGTACACGCTCGAACTAGGCCTCAGGTTCCTTCATCCCGTCACTGAGGAGACCCAAAGACATGTCAGACACCAGCCCACCCTCTTACTCTCGGAGTCGATGAACTATGTTTCTCCGTGATAGTTACTCAAACACCATCTCGTGCTCACCTCAGCGACAGTCAGTCATCATGGCCCTGGGCAAATGACCTGAGTACGAGATGACATCATTTGCGGCCCTGAGACACAAGGAGATGCAGGGACCAGCGCGCCAGCGGACAACTGTGATGAACCCGCAGGGCCCCGAGACCCCTGGACGCTGAAACGGAAGCCCAAGCTCCCGAGCTAGCGCTGGGTTGTCTCAACAGCTTCAACGACACCAGACGTGCTCACCCCCTTCCCGCATTCCTCCCCTCGTCGACATCCCACCAACCATCAAACCCACCTTTCTCCCCTACTTATGGGGCAGCTGGATCACTCAGGAGCTCTCTCAGCATCTGGAAACAGTGTTTACACCATCGCACCATCACACCATTAGCCTGTCAAGACGGACCGTCACGCCACTCGTCATCATGGCGGCCACTCCACCATCAGGCATCACGCTCCGCTCGCCCTCCAAGTACACCAGCTCAACCACGCCCGCGCAGTCCTCCTCCTCCTCCCCCTCCCCTAATCCACCAACGCTCGACTGGCTCCACCGCACCTGGACCGTGACGCACTCGACCCTCACCATGTGGCGCACAGCCCGCAACGTCCGCATCACCTACAAGCCCCTCCCCGGGTCGGCCGCCGGCGCCCCGCGCCTCGACGACCTCGTCGAGTACGAGCCCACGGGCGCGTCGACGCCCAAGCTCAAGACGGTCGCCGGCGTCGACACGGCGGCGGGCGCCGACACGACGGCCTGGGACTGGCGCGGCAGCGGCCTGCTGTTCTTCGTCTCGTCGCACTGGGAGGTGCTGGGGTCCGGCGAGCGGCCGCTGCCCGGCGGTGGCGTCGAGAGGTGGGCTGTCACGTGGTTCGCGCCGACGCTGTTCACCAAGGAGGGACTCGACGTCTACTGTGACCGCAGCGAGGGCATCAGCGAGGAGGCGTATGCCGAGGTGCTCGCGGCGCTGAGGCGGTTGGAGGCCAGGCCTGTTGTGGACATGGTCGAAGCCGATATGCGCCCGGTGGAGATTCGACTGCCGTGGCTCGAGGGGAAGGGGGGGCAGTGAAGAGGAACGGGTGCTGCGGTTGCTGCGTGGCAACTGAGGGATGCGTGGTACCACAGGTGTGCGTTGGTGGGAGGGAAACTGTTCGATACCCGTAGCAACACGCCATGTCATGCTACCGTGTATGATCATCATGGCGGGCTGTGTTGGTCACCGATGAAGATAATCAAGCATTTGGTATTCCCGGCTGTGCTACCATCTGATGGAGACGGGTGTTTTCTGACAATTTGATTGTTAAGTGTATGGAACCCCGTCCAACATTCTCGATCTGGTTTTACGCCAGCCACAGAGCAGATTCTATGATTCGAGGTGCCTCATCTATCTACTGTCTCAAGAAATGATGGCCGCTTCCAACGCAACGGCAGAGCGACCCCTTGTCATGGCTCGCCAGCGCAAACAAGAGCAGAAGTAAGAAATTTGTCAATGTTTCAGATACTGTACAGAGCCTCGCGCAGCAAACCGCCAGTTTCATGTTTACAAAGCGCAGATGACACATGTACGAAGTACGATGACATACTATGCAACAGACTGCGAAGACGAAGGAGGGTCCCAGTGACACAAAAACTCCTTCATGCACGCTGCTGCCGTAGCTGCGGCATAAGTCTGCCACTCTTTCGTCTTATGGCTGTCCGCATAGTCGCAGGCGCCCTTGATCACCACACAGGGAAGCACATTCCACACGCCGGCACCCTCCATCTCGAACCCAACAATCCCCCTTTCCAGTGCAAATTGATCCCGATGTTTTCCAGATCTCATCACGGTATCACCAGAGGCCAATAAGCCATAGTGCACAGCGGGTGGGTGTGCTCCTTGACCGAGACGACGGCGAGGGATGACGTTGCCCGTACATCCACAGTCCCTGCAGGATTCCCGTGCCCGGATATGCTCGTATGCCGATTCGTATAACTGGTCTCGGCCGGCGCCTGGATACTCCGCCGACAGATCAGGGTCCCTTTGAAGAACTCTGAGATGATTTTGAATGCCGGCTTGCAGGATCTTCTGACCGCGGGGGCCTTCCAGCCTCGCCAGGAGCGTGCGAATGTCCGAGTTGGGCCCGCCGAGCGGATCCGTAAGGGTTTCTTTCCGCACGGCCTCTCCACTGACATGCCGCCGTCCGACATCATATTGAGAGACGCCGTGACTGATGATGACATCGCCCAAGACAATTTCCGCATTGCTGACGGGATCAAAGGGAACCACACCGCATATGCCAACGACAAGGGCGAGCTTGATGTTGGGATAGCTAATGCGACAGTTGGCGGCAACAGCGGCAGCACTTGTCTTGCCCATCCCGGGCATGTACGCCAGCACAACGTTGTGGCGGCCGATGGAGCCGGTTGTATAGGCGTTCGAGTCGCCGCGAGCCTTGTCGTAGGGTGGCCTTTCGACCTCGTCCCAGTAATTGTCAAAGAGAGCCTCGACAGGGTCTGCCTCCTTCGTCAGGGCACAGATGATGGCAACCTCAAAGCCGCGGCGAGAGCATGGCCGTACCGGCGCCATGATGCAATAGACGTGACAAGTAGCTGTGAAGACCTGAGATAGCAACGAGCTCTCTTCACAATTGACAAACAAATGACAGTATCCATCTTATCGGGATCAAACACTGGAGAAGCAGACGATATTTAAACGACTGTGGTTTTGGTCTGATATAGTGCTGGGTCTACTCTGCTCCTTGTGAAGCGCGCGTTTATCATATGCAGGAGTCATTGTGGCTGATATCTCGATTGGCGAAGAAAATCACACGCCGCGACAGGTGGCGTTTTCTCCCCAATGGTGAGATATACACTAATGCATCATGCAGTATCCTCAACTGGATTTAGACGACAACGAGGCCAGGAGCTGGAGACCTTATCCATCGTAGACAAGGGGCGGCGATGTAATTTTTTTTTTGGGCACACTGTTCTTGTCGCAAGAGCGCTTCCAGATGGCAGGGATGGAGACAATGGCCAGCTTCAGCATACCGTCTTCGGTAGTCTATATTGCCGCTAACTATACGCTACCACCAGCTCAATGATGTAACGCCGGCACGCTCGCGGGAAGTCGTGGCCACTTGGAATGCTAGCTACACCAAGGTTGCATCGGGTGCGACATGAGGAGGCACCCCGCGATTACTGCGCGGAGATCCACTTCTCGAGCAAGCGCTGGATGACATCACTGTTCTTCTCCATGAAGAACATGTGGCCGTTGCCGTGGATGCCCTCGTCGCCGAGCTCGACGTGCCTCGTCCTGGAACAGCCGGCCTGGCGGAGAAAGTCGACGGTGCAGTAATCGTAGGGCATGTGGTACGAGGCCTCGGCCGTGACGACGAGGATCGGCTTGTCAGCGAGGTTGGCGAGCTGGCGGGGCGCAGGCCGCTCGGCCTGCAGGACGCACTCGACAGAGGCGTTGCCCCTCGCAGGGTACACCTGCTGGACGAGATGGACGGCAGGGTCGCCGACGGCGGGGGCAAAGGTCATGGGGATGTCGGTGAGGCCCCAGGGTCGGGCGGCCCTGGTGCTGAAGATGGCGTCGCGAAAAGGGGGCCCTGTGGGCTCGAGGAGGACGAGGGCCTTGGTGAGCTCGGGCCTCGCGTCGGCGATGAGAAGGGGCATGAGGCCGCCCTGGCTGTGGCCGACGAGGACGACAGGCCTGCCGATCTTGCCGAGGAGCGCGGCGCCGGCTGCCTGGACCGCTGCCTGCTGGTAGGTGGCGTTGTTGATGAACTGGAGGTTGGCGCTGTAAAAGGCGTCAAACACCGAGTCGCCCATCTTGCCGGTGCCGGGCCACTGCGTGTGGCGGACGGCCTGGGGCCAGAGATGGTAGTCCTGGGCGGCGGTAAAGCGCTGCTGGATGGTCTCGGCGGAGTAGGTCGACGACTTGGCAGCGCCGTTCCCCGGCATCCAGGCGGAGCGGCCCCGGAAGGTCTGGTCGACAATGTAGACCTCGTAGCCTTGCTGGATGAACAGCGATGCCCAGCCCCGGCCACCATCGGGTTTATTCAGGAAGTTCTAGGTATGGGGTTTCAGCACGGTAGCCCCGGCGCGCGTCGTCTCATGACTTGGGGGATCGATCAGATCAGAGCGCTCACCCACACTTCCAGTCTGTGCCTGGCCGTGGATCAGGACGATAGGCGCGTCTCGGCTAGCACCTGTGGCCGGGGCCAATTTCTCGACGTACATCTGATCGCGAAAAATGTGACCGCCGGCTCCATCGTCAACGTAACCTCCCCCGATCATGAAGTAGGACCGGGTGGACGGCACCTCTGCGACGAAATTGTCGTTCCGCGATGGGGGATGGGCCAGGGCCTGGCCGAACAGGGTGGCGGTCATAGCGACCAGCTGGGGGAAGTGCATGGCGTCTTGGTCTGGCGAGACACGAGAGGTGTGGGGATGCCGCTCGAAAGCGAACAAAGGAGGGGGAATCGGGAGTGAGTCTCGGTAACGAGGTGCCAATGGCGCAAGCGAGTGAATGGTAGGTAGCTTAGTAGCCAGGCACACGTTGTGGTAGGCGAGACACTAAAACAAACGGCACTTGGACGCATGACGGGCTAAGGAACATTAAAAAACTTTATATGACTTGACAGACAATCCGGGGCAGGGGTTCGCGGCGCTTTCGGACCCATCATCATCTTTGACATGTGTGCGCCACAGCTCGCTTCACGACTCGAGACCCCGGCCAGCCTGCCATGGAGATTTTCATCGAACAAGTTGGGAGGCAGTGATCAGCACATCGAACAGTGGTAGGAAAACTTGTATGCCGACAAGTCGCGCAGGATGGGCCCTCGCCCCTGTGGAAGTTTCACGTCGCCCTCCAAAGATCGTGTCGCCTGGGGTTGACCGGCCGGAACCTTCCATCGCACGCGGGGAGGCGAGATAGGGGGCCGGATGACCTGCAGCAGGCAGCGGAACCATATACATAAGGTTGATCGTGCTGGGGACATCGAGGCCGCTGTATATGAGACGCGGCGTTCTGGGTTCATCGCTCCCGCTTGCCCTTGCTGTTGGGTTTTCTATTCTTCTTTTGAGCCGCATCCGGCATCAGTGTTCCATACATCGACAGACAGAGTTGGCCCTTTCCAAGGATGCTTGCCTCGATGGACCATCCGACCCTCATCATCATCCACTGGCTGTTCAGCTGGATAGCCCTCGCCATCATGGTGGTCAGGCTGATCTGGCGCAAGGTGGCCAAACAGGCCTTCAATCTCGGCGACTACCTGACCATGGCCGCCTGCGTTTTCGTCGTGGCCAGGATGGGTATAATCCACATGGTGTTGACGTGGAAGACCAACAACATGCCGGCCGCCTATCGCGAGAACCATGTGTTCACGCCCGAGGAGATTCACCATCGCGAGATTGGCAGCAAGCTTTCCATCGCGGGGCGCGTCGTCTACAGTTCCTAGTCAGTGCCTCGAGGCCTGCCTCCCCCCCGGTGTGCCCAACGCTGACGTATTCTCTTGAAAAGCCTCTGGCTCCAAAAGCTGGTGCTCCTGGACCTCTATCGTCGCTTGCTGGTCAAGCTTCCGCACGAGCACATCAAGGTCTACAGTTTTCTTGCCGTTTTCCTCGTCACATGGATTGCCTGCCAGGTCAGCACGTTCATCGAATGCAAACCCATTCATCTCTATTGGCAGGTCGTCCCTTATCCAGGTATGGTTTTTTTTTCCTTCTTCTTCTTCCCCCACTGGCAGGCCGTGCGGCTGTCCCTCGGCGTGGCTCGACGCAGACTGACGCGCGCAGGCACTTGCGTCGAAGCAGAGGCGCAGCTCATGACGGTGGGGATCCTCAACATCGTCACGGACTTGATGCTGATCCTGCTGCCGCTGCCGCTCGTCGTGGCCATGCAGGCGGCGTGGCGGCTCAAGGCGCAGCTGTACGCGCTGTTCCTGCTCGGCATCTTCATCATCGCCATCACCATCGTGCGGCTGCCGATCAGCACGCTGCACAAGGACAGCCAGCTCAACCGATCGACGTGGGCGAGCGTCGAGCTGCTCGTCACGGCCATCGTCGTCAACGCGCCCACCATGTACGGCCTCTACAATAACGGCAGGCGGGCCCATGCGACGTCCAACGCCGAGGAGACGGGCGACACGTTTGGCATGGCGACCATGGGGTCGATGGCGCGCAAGACCAAGATCGAGGCGGACAACGCGCATGACTTCGACGCGAGCCCCGTCGGACGCTCCCTGGGCCACATCGAGGGGATCCTGCAGACGAGGGAGACGATTGTAACCGAGTACAGGGAGACAGACAGGAAGGCGCGGGGCTACGCCAATCTCGCTGATGAGACGGACAATGCATCCACTTCGAGCCAGAAGAGTATCCTGCGTCCGTAAGCGAAAGGGGTTCTGCACGAAGAACGGTCCGTGGGTGCCTGGGGTAATGGGGAGGGGTGGGCCGCGATGGCAGGCTGTTCGATGGCAGCAGCAACGAAACTTGAAGTCGTGTATATCAGAGATCAGTAGAAAGGCAACATCGTCCGAGATTGCCGGTCGCGAGACGAAATACCCCACCTAGTGCAACCGGGCACGCGACAGTGATGGCAGGGATACCCCAGACAGCAGCCGGGTGGAACGGCAGAGGTAGGTACCTAACGTGCATGGGACCGTAGCAAGCTTGGGTACCTAATTAGCAAGATGAGGCACCGAAGCGTGGTGCTTGTGGGTACGGAAGAGAATGGCTTACTCACACCACATCATCATTAGATAATCCGAGAACGTCAAAGTCCTGTCAACCAGCCTGGCCTCGACATGGTCCTGCCATCAACACCCCAACACCCCAACACCCCCCCCGCCATCTCGGACGTCCACACACCCGCCACAATGGGCGACCGAGCAAGGTTAAGATCGCGCTCGCCGCGCCGCGATCGCGACCGTTCCCGTGAACGAGACCGTCCCCGCGAACGCAAACAGGGCGGCGGCGGCGGAGGCGGAGGAGGCTTCCGCTGGAAGGACAAGTCCTCGCGTACCGACGACCACCGCCCAGACGACCGCCGCACCCTCAATCGCGGCTACCGCAACCGTTCGCGCTCGCGCTCGCCTCGTCGCGACCGTGACCGTGACCGCGACGACGACAGACCCCCGCGCCGACCAGCTGCCGCAGACAACGGCAGCGGCAGCGGCAGCGGCAGCGGCAACCGAACAAGGTCCCCCGCGGCGGGAGAAGACAGAGACAAGAAGAAGAAGAAGGACAAGGCACCCAGGGACAAGGTGGCTCCGGCGCCCTCTGGCGGCGAGGAGTACATTATTGTGCATGTGAACGACCGACTCGGCACCAAGGTCGCGATTCCCTGCCTAGCGTCCGACCCTGTGAAGATGTTCAAGATTATGGTGGCAGCGCGGGTCGGTAGGAAGCCGCACGAGATCTTGCTGAAGAGGCAGGGCGAGAGGCCGTTCAAGGACCAGCTGACCCTGGAGGACTACGGAGTGAGCAACGGGGTACAGCTAGACCTGGAGGTGGACACGGGTGATTAAGCATCATGGGCACCTGGACGTTATGAAAAATCTGTATAATGGACGATCGTCAAGTTGTTTTCTCCAGGATTGAATTGATACCATTCTTCTGCTGGCAACTCCTGGCATGATGTGTGTGCCTTGCACTGCTGGGTTGGGTGGCTCGCTCAATTCATGTCGTAATGCTGGTACGCCGAAGGTCACATGACTTCGCGACACCATGTCTTGAGCGGGGCAGTCTCTTCGCGTCACGAGCCAGCGGTACGACGCGCGCCCTTTCGTTAACACTGCCGCCGGGTAACGTAAATCGACACCAAAAGCTGAACCCCCTCTTCGTATTCCTTTCTCGTCATTCAATCTCATTCATGTCAACTTGAAGTTTTGGCCAGAGATAAACTAAAAGGAAACTCAACTCGCGTCTCTCGTCATTTGCACATTGCCATCGCACCACGGCCAATCCACCCCCTCAAGCCAAACCTTCCCAGCATGTCGTCCACCTCGACGTCTCCCAAGCCCGCAGCGGCTCCCAAGTCCAAAATGACAACCTACGACACCAAAGACATGGGGCCCCAGCTCGATCGCATCGCCGCCTCGACACGCACCACGCACGAGAAGCGCGTCTGGGCAGCCCTGTGCCAGGTGCCCAAGGGCCAGATCACCACCTACGCCATCCTCGCCGCACATCTCGGTTCGTCGCCCCGCGCCGTCGGCAACGCGCTGCGCCGCAACCCCTTCGCGCCCCAGGTCCCGTGCCACCGCGTTGTGGCGACGGGCGGTAAGCTCGGCGGCTTCAAGGGGAAGTGGCCGCGCGACGGCGAGGGCATCACGCTTGACGAGAAGAGGATGCTGCTGAGGCGGGAAGGGGTCAAGATTGACGATGCCGGCCGGGTTTTGGGAACGCCTTTTCAGGCTTTCGTCTAAGTGTGATCTGACGAGGTCCATGTCAATCACATTTCGCCCTGCGATTCCCTCTTCAGCGATTTGCATTGTCGATGGACTCTTCCACGAATGCAAGTTCGATCGCGCATTTCATTCCACGACTTCTATGACCAAGTTCAACTCAATTGGGCCCTGGACCATTTCTTCGCATGTTCAGCTTACACCACTGCTACGACCTGGTTCCAACATTTCTGAAAAACGCTATCTTTCAGCTCAAACCCCAAACCCTATGATCGGCACGGCTGCCTGGGCGAGGCGCCCTAAGCTTGGGGCGGCACCAATGTTCACAAAGAGCTACGAAAACCCCGATCTTTTGGTGCACGCTCGTGAGTCGAGTACAACATTGGCTCGGTCTCGGCTTGGCACAGTACCAGCTGAACATTTGCCAAGCCAGCTTTGCCCATCACGAATTGTTCCCCTTCAGACAATGGGCACTATATGTGTCTGGCTGTCGGCTAGGCAGCGTGCCTGATCCTCTCTTCACCTTCGCACCGTTTGACGATTTATCGTTCAGCCCAATCGAAAGCTCAACAATATGCCATTTCCGAAGCACGCGCACACGATTACGGGTGGCTGCAACTGCGGCGCTGTTCGGTATCTCCCCTCACAATCTAAAGCGTCGATTGATTGAGTCGCTCACAGACCCAGCTATCGAATCGCCGTTCCACAATACGCCGACCGTCCCCCGGCCTTCACCCTCGGCCCCTCCCCGGATCTCGCCAATCCCCGCACCCCCCGTCTCCCTTTCGCCCTCGCATGTCACTGCAATGACTGCCGCGTTGCCTCTGGTAACTCCTCTTTTGAGGCTATTCAAACACCTGCACCACAAATGACTGTGTCCGCTCTCCAGGTGGGCAACGGGTCCAACCTGCCGCGATCACACACAGGTCGCCTTGTTGAGCGGCCCATGACCGAAGATGAAGTCACCGCTTCGGACGCAGACCGGCCGGCTTATGTGCCTGCCCTCGATGTCCTCCGCCCTGATGTTCCCGGGGCCGAGGGCACTACTCTCGGCTTTTTCCACGCCTTCATCTGCGACAAAGAGGCTGCCTCTCGCAGCTTCTGTATCCGCTGTGGCGGCCCCGTCGCCTTTCACTGCCGCCCGCAGGCCGAATGGTTTGGCCCCAGCTTCAAGCAGCCCGAGGGCTGGTCCGACATTTTTGATGTTCTTCTTGGCACCGTCGATCGCCACCACCTCGACAAGGAAGACTGGCTCGCTGTCGAACATGACCAGGCTTGGGACGAGGGTCTTTGCTGGAATAAAGCTGTGCTCGTAAACGGCCGCAGCCCCGGCGCGAGACGTCACCCATCTGGCGCCCTGTCAGACGAAGTGCCCGAGGGGGACCTGCTCAGGCCATGATTTGCGATGGAATATGGGAGCTACTGTTTAGCCGTGATCTGTACCAGACTGTCATAGGTAGTGGAAATCGCAAATCGCAACGATCGTGCCGCGCCGTGCAAGAAGCCCAGTTTGTCGCCAGCCTCGCGTGGCACCCGTACCCTCTCCGTTGGACATGATCTTGGGTTCTTACTCAACACCCACCATGATGACCTCTGCTCGGAACACACCCATCCCGCATCCACAGCCAGTCAGCACCCCCTCCCTCGCCAGCAGAGGTGATGCGGCCGTGAGACCGCCTCTGCTGACATGCATACACCCCAACCCACCCCCTTCACGCATTCCGCTCCTCAGCAGCGGTGAGCCTAACAAAACAGCACCCAGCGTCGAGCGAAATGTCCGCGTAAACCGCCTCAAGAATGTCGAAATGTCGGTATCACTAACAGACGCTCCAAACCTCGCATATCTGTCCGCCCATGCATCCCCCTTCATAAAGCACCCCCCCTCTCTTTCTCGCCCGCGATCCTGCCCTCCAAAATCTACAGCATAAGCCTCCGTGACACAGCACAAAAGCTCCCCCCCCCCCTTCCTCCGACCCATTCCTCCTCCCTGGTCTGATCCTCCCGGTCTCGCTCCCGCTGCACCCCTAAGCTTTAACCCGAGCGCGACCCCAAGTCCCAGAGCCGCAGAGCAGACGACACCATCGCCGTCTTGGAAGGCAGAGACCCAAAAAGAGGGGGAAAAAAAGAAGGAAAGAAAAAAACAAGAGCGCACGCACGCACGATGCCTTGCAACCCGTCCTCGCGCCGCTACTTTGCGAATCTCGCCCGGAGGCTCTGCGTCCGGTGCCTCGAGCCGTATAGCCAGCACCACATCTGCTCCAGCCACGAGGAGCACGTCCACCGGACGGCGTTGCACGTCTAAGGGTAAGGTCGGAGAGACCACCTGCCCCCGCCTGGTTGGTGATTCCCAGTCAGCGCGTGACATGATGCGGTGGCCGCCTGCTCACCCTCACCAGATCATGTACGGATTGGATTTTTCTTGGCGGCCCCCCTTGGAAGCAACACGAGCGAAGCGTTCTATTGGATGAGCAAAGGTTGGAGAGGCAGAGGAAGGGAAAACAAGAATGAACCCTCGCGGATTGCCGAATCAGGAAGGCTGGCTTGCCCCCCCCCCTCATGGTGCGGCGGCTTACGGGCTTCATCATCTCAGTCATCACGAAAATCAGCTTGCATGACCCAACCACAAACCGAACCCATTACACATACACATACGCACACACACACACGTACACACACTCCTACCCCCACGAAATGGCTGGTTGGACAGGGTATCGTCTAATCATTTCGGCTGTCAATGTCGCGTTATGCTTTTAGGTACTGTACAACAAAAGATTGCCAATGAGGCCCGGAAAAACAAAAGCCAGGCCATACGCCGGTGCCATGCCGTCCCGTCCCGCCCCTTCCGTGAGACCGCAGTCCAGAAACCGGACCAACCAATCGGCCACCGGACGCTCTTTTTTTGTTCCATTTCCGCAACCGACTATTAGGGAAACCCGCTTTGCAACCCGCCACTTCCACCGAAAGAAGAATGTGAAATGGTGGGGTGGAAAAGCTGAGGAGAAGAGGGAGAGATAGGGAATGTATGTGACGTCGTTAGTCCCGAGACTGAAGTCGACCTCGTTTCGCCTGGCGCCTCCAAAAGGCCGTGTAGAGGCGTCGGCGAGCTATGCGTGCAGAGCTGTAAGATGTGAGTCTGTCCACAGCTCGAGACGTCGGACAGCCGCGAAGAACCGAGTGTCTCTACGACTCTTCGTTACGGCGGGGGCCACCGCGCGTGGACGAGGATCCGCCGCGCTGTCCGCGGCCGCGACCACGGCCCTCACCACGGAACCCACCACGGCCACCACGGAAATCACCACGACCACGTCCGCCACGGAACCCAGAGCCACCTTCACGGTTGCCATTGCCACGGTTGCGGCCGGGCACCTGGCGGAAGCCATCGTTAGGGTCAGCGGAAACGGCGGGCTATCAACATGTTAGTCGAATGTTTTGCTACCAGTCAGGATACTTCTCTTACCTGGACGGGCTGCTCGGGCTGGTCATCAGCCCAAGACTGGGTGTTGCTGGCGTTGGCAGGAGTGGCCTCTAGGCCAGTCTCGGTCTCGGCAGGGTCGCGAGGGATGTTGACCCACTCCTGGGAGATGGCGGACGCGCCAAGGTCGTTACCAGTATCCCACTTGTCGCCAGCAGCATTGGCGGCCTCGTTGCTGGCATCGGCGTTGCTGGCAACTGGAGTTTGGGCGTTCTCGGAGGCGGAACCGTTGACAAGAGCAGCATCGTCGCCAGCAGTGATCTCCGTGAGACTGGCATTGGCGACCGTCAGGTCAGTGCCAGGAGCAGGTGCAGCGGCAGGTTGGGCGTCACCCTCAGTCTCGAGGTGCTCCGTCTCGGGAGCCCGTCGAACCTGAGGGGCCTCCTTCATGTAAGCACGAGCCCAGGTACGGAGATCGGCGACTGGAAAGCAGTGTTAGCAGTCACGTCACACGATTGGCTCGTGAGGGAAAACACTAACAAGTCACATCCAGGAAGGTGCCATCAACGTCAAAGGTGCGCTCGTTGCTGCCACGAACAAGGGCGATCATGCTGCCGGCGGCATCGTCGTCGCCAACGTACATGTTGCCAAGAACTCCCTCAATGGCGCGACCGGCATCCTCGGACTGGCCGGCTGGGTCCTCACGACGGGCAGCGGCAAGGCGGAGGAAGCCAGAGACCTCCTTCAGGTGTTCGAAGACGGCAGTGTCCACGTCACCCTTGGTTGACTTCTTGGCCGCCTCCACAGCGGCGGCAACCTCCTTCTCGATCTGTTCAGTGTAGTAGGTCTTCAGCTCGGCCTTCTCCTTCTCATGGACGGCCTTGTCCTGCTGGGCCTTGGCGCGGTACTCTGAGTCCAGCTTCTTGAACTGAGCAATCTGTTCTTCGTTCTGGGTGAGCTGGGCGAGAAGGGCGGGCTTCTTGCTGATCTGAGCCTTCTGGTCGGCGTTGATAAGCTTGGCGGCAAGGAGCTGTTCAAGCGACTTGCCGGGGTTCTCGGTAATAACGGCCTCGGTTTTGGCCATGTTGGACTGTTGGAAATCGAATCAGCACGACGGTTGACTCAGCGCTTGAAGGTAGGTAGAAACTCACGATCTTCTTGTTAATGTTGCGAATGTTCCTGCGATGCAGAGGTTCTCGTCAGCAGTAGTCCAGCATCATGAGAACAGAACATGTTGATGTGGCTTACTTCTGAAGCTCACGGACGTAGGGGCTCTCCGAGGCATCATCGCCAGCATCGGTAGCCTTCTCACCGGCAGGCGAGGCAGTGGGCGCGGGCGACTCGGTACGCTCAACAGCGGCGGCAGCAGCCTTGGCCTTCTTCTTCTTCTGGGACTTGGATTCGGCCTGCACGGCAGGGTTCTGAACGTCGGAGGCGGCCATTGTGGAGGACGTAAGGGCTGGGGAGGGCGTGGATAGGCTGCGCGAAAGTTTGCAACTGAATGCGGGACGGGAAGGTGCGGTAGGAGACAGTAGTGATGAGAAGTGGGGGCAATCAGGTCGAAGCTGAGCTGCAATAGAAGATCGCCGGCAGTAGACAAGAGACGAGATGTGGATTTAGGATTCGGGGTTCTAGGAAGGGATCGCGAGAATTGGAGTTGTGGTTGTGGTGTTGGCCAGGTGGAGGAAGCTGGAGCAAGTCCGGCAAGTGAGCTGGTCAAGGAGACGTGCAGGCGATTTTCGCCCGGTACTAGCGTGGATACTAGTGACCCCTGCTTTGGGGGAAGCTCATCCACTGGAGCACCAAACACAGCACCCACAGAGCCCAGCTTGCTGAGGCCGGGCATGGACCCTTTCTTAGTGCCGGTCATCTAGGGCAAGCCGAGCTGGGGTTCTAGAACCAGCGAGAACTAATGACACCTGGATATTGGCCTCATCGAGCCAGTGCGCACACCAATTCACCATGATGAATGCATCATTGTCATTCAAGCATAGCTGTAAAGAATATGGAGGGTCATTCACTTGGTCTCTCTCATACATCTCCAGGAAAGCAGCGTCTTTTGGTTCTGCCTAGACTGTCTCGTGCTCCTTCCAGCTTGTACCTTCCCCGCGTTGGCACCACCTAGCCGCTCTAACTAGCTAGTTCGCTCTTGCGTCACTCAGCCGCCTGAGCTGATCAGTACTCCCATTCCAACCTCGGGCCCATCCGAACCAGGCCGCAAGGTCACGAGCTCTCGCGTCAAAATAAAAATGGGTATCTACTGTGGTTTTATGAACGCATTGCATGGTGATATATCTATGCATTCTTGTCTTCAACTAACCTTACCATCCCAGAGGCATACTTGGGATGGCTGCAGCCTACCTCTGAAAGGCAACATCCCCCACGTGGTTACCCTGACTGTACAGCACGGAGAGATGTTGACCCAGGCTCGATAGATAGACTAGAGACGCGGGTATCTAACCGTCGACTCCCACCGCGATACTTTCACGCAGAAGAGAGCATTGGCCAAGCCAGTTCCCACAAACTACGATCGCCGTACCCCCACACGATTCTTTCCGCAGCAATCTAGTTCACTACAGAGACGCCTTTCGGGTCAACTGTGAGATCTGTTGGGCGCTCCGTGAGCAGATATTCTCTATATCATAGGTTTTGCGACGGCATGCCCCCGACGCCTGGTCCATGGTTGTTATACTTCATTCCGTCGTTGGTGTCGTGTAACTCGTAGTGGCAGCGTGTCGGCTCGTCATGATCGTTAGGTTTGGGGCCATATTGATGATTGGCAGGAGAAATTCGGCTTCTCTCAGCTCTTGAACTTGGCTAGCGCATCCTACTGTCGTGTTAGACTTGGCTCATCACATCGCCATGATTCAGACATACCACGGTCGCCCTGCGCACGCTCGTCGGCGTAATTGTTCTTTCTCCAGAGGCCTTGGAGTCGATTGCTGCCTCCTTCAACACTCTGATATCTATTAGTCAGTTCTGACGACATTGTTGTTAAGCATGAGACACTCACGTTTGCATGAACCGCATATAGTTGAGATACACCTAGCTTGTATTAGCCAGCGCGTCGGGACGCGTCGTGGGGGCAACGCACCAATACATCGAGGTTCTTGGTGGCGTTGCAGTTGGAGTGCGCCTTCAAAATCTTCTTTGCCGTTGCCCGGGGGTACGCTTTCTTGATGGGAGCCATCATGTGCTGTGCTGTGCTAGGGGAGGTGGTGATTATAGAAAGAGTGTCGTTTTGCACATTCGCCGCGCGCTGGTGTTGACCCCAGGCTGCATGAAGGCTGATGGTGGCCCCACACAAGCATTCCCAGGTCCCTGGATCCACGCCTCATCCCTGGACTTGACAGGCGCCCTGTCACGTGAGCAGCCGAGCCCTGTTATCACCCTGTCTGTATTGGGAGCGACCGGTATGGATGGCTCGCAGCTACGATCTCGCATTGATTCGACTGTGGTTCATACTCTGTCACTGAGGCTCTCTAAATGAAAATGCTTATATGATGTGCTGACCCGATGTGTTCCCTGCATCTCCTGGGAACGAGCTGGCTATCAACAGCGGCTGAAACGTCCTGTTAACGCGACTTTGAACACCACTATGGCCCCGGAATTGCTCCTCTCACTTGAAGTTGTGAACGACGGCCAGCATTGTACAGATGAGAACAGCTGTCTTCTCATAGCTTGCTCGAATTTTTACATAACATGGCCAAATACCAGTTGTCTTATGGATTTAAAGGTAAACTAGATGATAGGCTAGGGGCATCCCAGACGTAGTTGACTTACACTTAGATATGAACAATGACATTATTCCTTACTTCAAGTCACTTAGAAGTGACTATAATGGCGAAACAGGCGGCAGCTGAGCAATGTTGGAACCCCTGCAGCATGTGCGAAATACAGTGTTAGATTAGTATTCGCACGCCACCAGCGTCCCCGCGATAGAGGGGTTACTCCCAGTCGGTCAAATTGTCGAGCTCCAACGATTCAGAGCGTCACGTTACAGCTCCTCGATTACACACGTCACCAGCACGAGTCCGAGTCCGACCACACAATAGTCGCCAAGATGATGACTCGAAGAATGGTATGAGGACTCTACAGCAACCGACACGTAGCCTGAGCTGATTACTGTGCAGCTTACGAAAGAGGACGAGGATGCAACCGGCGACGAGACTGAAGTCCGCAGAGAGGACCAGGACAAGATCAACAAATTCAGTCGCCTGCACCAGCGCGAACTGGCGATACAGGACGAGCTCAAGGTTAAGAACGTACGTGGTGGCCCTTGAAACCTTTCGCAAATGCGGCCGCTGACCGGATTGTGCCGAACAGAAAGAGAAGGAGGAACTCGACGATCTGAACACCGAGCTCGAGCTCATTGACGAGGACGACACCGTACCGTACGCTAGCTGCGCCCTGATGATGTCACTTTTACTGACAGATTGCCTAGCTACAAAATTGGCGACACATTTTTCAACGTCCTGCAGCCTCAAGCTTTGGAGATGTTGGGCGAGGCGACGGCCAAGATTGAGGAGGAGGTCGAGAAGCTGGAGGCAAAGCTCGAGTCAACAACAGACGAGATGACGGAGCTCAAGGTCGCACTATATGCCAGGTTCGGCAAAAGCATCAACCTTGAGACGTGAAGAGAATATACAAGAACAGGCCTCAGTCGACAGCTCAGAGACGGTTCGATTCAATCTACAGATACCCAAAATCGCAAAGATGTATTACGAGGACAGTGGCCATCTGAGCCAATCCCTCGACCCCTTTCTTTCACCAGAAACCATACCTTCATAAGTTCGCTTGGCCCATTGCCCGTCAAAAGTCGCATTGTCACGTGCAGTATGCCGAGATACGGTTGGAGACGGCTCATCGACGGTCAATCCATCGGCCGGAAAACATGTTCCCTCGCCCATGCCAAGTCCCTGGCGTCACTGTCTGCAGCCGACGCCCCCTCACCCATCTTCTCTGGGCCACATAGGTGATGATCATCAGCCCTGGGACCGTCAATTTGGCCGGCAAGCTGGGGCCGACAATGGAAATAGCACCTGTGTGTGCTCTAAGTCCGATCTCGCTCGACTGTAATGCTTCGTGGAACTAAATAGGAAAGCGCCTCAGTCTATAGTTCCAAGTTGCAGGTCGATCGTTGATCGGACCTCTCAATGTGGGCGGACATTCTGGTCCTAAGGAACCGATACCGCCAGCGCTTGATCTCTTAACCGGACACCATGCCCGCCATGGCTTTCCCCTGCCCAGTTCAGTAAGCCCGTCACTTTTTATCCAGTTTTCCGTCACGGGCCTACACATCTGCGCCCTTCCATCTACATGCTTGGCAACACCGTGTAACACGTCTTATGCTGGAGGAGTCGACGTTGCCCATAGTATATTGGGCCGATATTACCAACAACAATGCCAATTGAACATGTCTCAGAGTAACGAATATCAAAACACTAGGGATGTCGTTGAGGGTAAGTCGATCTTATGGTCTGGCTTCCACTGATGGCCTCTACTCTCGTTTGCAAGAATATCACATAATAACACCATTCGAAGCCGTTCGGCATCCTGACCCAGCGGGCGCAGCCGCCAAAGCTCCCGGCGAGCGACCAAGGCAAAGTCTCGAGGAGAAAGAGATGCATAATGGCCTGCCATGCACATCCGGAGAAGACGAAGAGAAGACAATAGTATCATGGGAAGACGACGATCCTGAAAACCCCTATAACTGGTCCAGCGTGAGCACAAACATTAGTCAGACTGTTTGGATACAGCAGCTTGTCCACGAGAAACGACTGACGACCACCAGACTAGGAAGCTCCTCATCTTACTCCTCACCATGATGCTCATCATCAATAGCACCATGGGATCGGCTTTGCCATCCAATGCCATCCCATATATATCGGAACAGTGGAACATTGCTTCGCCGCAACGCCAGATCCTGCCCATCTGCGTTTTCATGATCGGCTACTTCTTCGGACCCATCCTCTGGGGGCCTCTGAGTGAACACTTTGGCCGCCGCATCATCACCAACGTGACTTTCATTCTGTTCACCGTATGGACGTTAGCTTGCGCTCTCGCGCCCAATTTTGCGGCGCTGAATGTGTTCCGTCTCTTTGTTGGCGTCTTCGCTAGCGCTCCGATAGCTGTCGTTCCGGGCATCATGGCGGACATATACGGAAACCACGAGACTCGCGGCCGTGCTATGTCGTTCTTCATGGCTGTACGTCCTGCTCGCGTCCTTATATCTGCCCACGTATTAATACCTTGACTTACAGACTACCTGCTTCGGACCTCTCTTCGCCCCCATCATCTCAGGTTATTGCTCGCCGTCTATCGGCTGGCGGTGGACTTTCTGGATCGGGCTCATCTACGCCGGTGCTACCTTGATTCCTCTCCTGTTCTATCTTCCCGAGACATCAGCCTCAATCCTGCTCGCCCGCCGCGCCGCACATCTACGAAAACTAGACCCAGTAGGCAACGCTCACATCGTGGCAGCACGCGATCTCGAGCACACGGATCTTCACCAGCTCGTCACCGTGGTGCTGACTAGGCCGCTCCGCATGATCGCCTGCGAGCCCATTGTCTCCTGCTCCTGTGCCTACCTCGCCTTGATCTATGCCATCTTCTACATGTCCTTCCAAGCCTTCCCGATCATCTTCAACACGCTCTACGGTCTCGGGCCCGGCCCCACGGGTCTCGCATTCCTCCCCATCGGCGGCGGCTCTCTCCTCAGCCTCCCCTTCTTCTTCGCCTACGACCCGACCCTGACGCGCCTCCGCCGGCGCCATCCCGCCCTTCGCAAAGAAGAGTACCGCCGCCTCCCCCTCGCCTGCGTCGGCGGGCCCCTCTTTGTAGCCTCCCTCTTCTGGCTCGGCTTCCCCGCCCGCCCCTCTCTTCCCTTCTGGGTCCCCATGCTCGCCGGCCTCCCCTTTGGCGCGGGCTTCATGCTGATCTTCATGGCGCTGCTCAACTACCTCACGGACGCCTACGAATCCTTTGCCGCGTCCGCCAACGCCGCCGCCTCCATGGCCCGGTCCTTCCTCGCCGTCGTTCTGCCCCTCGCCACGCGGCCGCTGTTCGACCGCCTCGGTGTCGCGGGCGCGTCCGCCCTGCTCGGCGGCCTGAGCGCCGTCATGGTGCCGATCCCGTTCATTTTCATATGGAAGGGGGACCGCATACGCGCGGCGTCACCGTTTTGCATTGCGCTTAGACAGCAAGAGGATGAGAGGGAGCGGGAGGCCGATTGGCGCCGGCGAAGGCGGGAGCAAGCTGCTGCTGCTGCTGCTGCTGCTGCCGCCGCCGAAGATGCGCGACAGGCGTCGCCAAGGGGTGCGGGCGTTTGAGCTGGATAGAGGTAGATTGGATGGGACAGGCCTGGATCTGCGGTTGTCACGCCAGATTCCCCATACGCTTGGCTCTTGGGTTGCAGTGCGAGACGAATACAACCCATGACCATAATATGACATGTGATACCTGCCTTGGGACGGATGCTAAGTATATACAGACATTGATCGCAGTGTATCAGGTTTCCATAGCACATGTAGCCGATGCATGATAGGCCCCGGGACCAGACAAAGACGGTTACGCGAGCCCTTCCCGAAGTAGCATGTTCTGGCTCGATCGCATGAAGCAAGGCACGTTCGTCCGACAAGTCTGCGTCCAAGCCACCAGTCGCACCCGTCATCCCGGTCAATCTTTCGGACTGATCACGCATGAATAAACAAACAACTGCAGGCTGCATTGACCAACGCCGTCTGATCTACACGATTCGTGATTGCCCCTGAGCAAAGGTATAGATGACATGGATCGAATGAAACTGATGATTCACAAGACATACACATACACACATCAATAGATCCAACCATACGGTCTCGACCACAAACCGCATCCCCATTGCTACGAGAAGCGAGTAAAAGAGAGCCCAACATGTTGTCATACATGGGAACGAAATGAAAACAACTGTTTTTTCCTTGAACCAGTTGGGGCCAGACCACCCGGCTGCAACGCTATAGAACATATTCCTCCCGATAAACACCGCATTCCGGCTCTCCAGGGAGTTGGCCGAGGAAAGTTCTATCAATCACCTGCTTTGAAACTGTGCAAAAAAAAAGAAAAACGAAGGTTGTCATGAATTCATAGATTCTTCTCGTATACGAAGAAAGAGGGAGCTTGACATATAGAATCTACACTTCCATATACAACACGCTTCTGGGGGAGAAGGGCTGCGACGTCTCCGGATCAGAGACTTAGACGAGCCTCTGGGGCTTGGCGTTGCTGAAGCGGGTGCGCTTGTAAACAGGGTTGTAAACAGGGGCACCGGTGGGCTTGGGAACACCACTGGGGAGGGTGCCGTTGTTGCCAGTAGGGTAAGGGACGGGCTCGACGGTGATGGTCTTGGACATGGTGACAACGTCGTCGGTGGGGCAGTCCTCCTCGTCCTCCTCGTCGACATCCTCGTCGTCCTCCTCGTCGTCGCCGCCAGGGGCGGGAGTGGACTCGGCCTTGCTGGTCTCGGTAGCGCCACCACCAATGGTAACGTAGACGGTGGAAGCAGGGGCGGTGACGGTCACAACGGAGACGGAGGGGCAGGCACCCTCACCCTCGGAGGAGCCGTTGTCGGAGCCGAAGCCGGGGGTGGAGCCAGTACCGGTCTCCTCAGGCTTCTCGACGGTGACAGTGATGGTGCCGGTGGAGGTAGCGGTGGTGGTGGTGGTCAGCTCATCGTCAGAGCCGGAGCCGGGGATGGCACCAGTGACGGTGGCGTCGCCGTAAGGCTTGGTCTGAGAGGGGACGTTCTCGCCCTCGGAAGAACCGTCATCCTCCTCGTCGTCATCGCCCTCGTCGGTGGGGCAGTCCTCGTCGTCGTCCTCCTCATCCTCGTCGTCACCAACGGGGGCCTCAGGGAGAGCGGCCGAGGTGGTGATCTCGGGGGTGGGGTAGCCGGTAGGAGCGGGAGCAGTGGGGCCCTCAGTGATACCGGGGACGGCACCGGTCTTGGTGGAGCCGGGAAGCGAGCCGGTCTCGTGCTCCTTGATGATGGACTTGGAGATGGTGGCAGCCTCGGCCACGGGGCAAACAGTGGTGGAGAGAACGACAGTGTTGGTGACAACAATGACGGACAGGTCAGAGGCGGGGAGGGTGCTGGAGGCAGCAGCGCAGTTGGTGACGGTAGGAGCGCACGAGGTGATGGTGGCGACCTCGGTGACCTCAACAGTCAGCGTGGTGTAGCCGGCGGGGACCTCGGGGTAGGTCTCGTTCTGGCGGCGCCAGTGGTAGTGGCGGGGCTGGTAGGCGTTGGCAACGGCCAGGAGGCCGGCGGCGGCGATGACAGACTTCATTGTGAATGCTGGTGATGATTTGTACGGAGTGATTTGTTTGTTTGTTCAGGTAGTCCTCGAGGGATATGTTCGTCGTTGTTATTTGATATGCACGGGTTCAAAAAGGCGAAAGATCAACTTCGCGTTGAGTAGCTAGCAGACACAGTTTGCTTTGCTGAAAAGAATGGAATCTCGGGTGAGGGGTGATCAGAAGGACTGTATGCTGCAATTGAAGGAATGTAAGTGCCACAAGGACTAAAGAATGACTGGAAGGTTGAGGATGGATTGCGAGTAAACGACAAGACCGTAGGTGAGAGGGGAGGGAGGAAGGGGAGGAGCAGACGAGGAGGAGGGTGAGTCCTTTTACATCGCTCGGTCTAGAGTCTGTGAGCTGCAGCACCCGCCTGGCCTTTGCAAGGTCATAGGACTGTCCGTCGCCCTCGCATCTAGACCCTGGCTCTCCTCTCAAATCCTCTCTCCTGGCCTGGCGGGTGGTGCCTGGCAGCCCTGGTCTCGAGCAATCTGGCAGCGCTGCGCCTTGGCGGGGGAACGAGGCAAACAACCAACGCAGGCGGGCGGGCAATGGTACAGTAGTGCGAGGCACCACACTGCCAAACTGCTTCTCCTCTCCTGGCCTGTTCCTTAATCTCTCGACGACCCCACTCAAGTGTGCCTCAAGGCCGAGATGACGGGGCCTGCCTCGCCCAGACCCTGCCAGGGTGCGGTGAACGATGCGCGCTGGCGTAAGGAAAAGGAGAAGGTGGTGTGAAGTGATCAAGCCGGTGCCCCTGGATTTCGCTCCTTATGCAGGTACGGGACAACTTGATACATAGCGTTGGGCCAATCACCCCCACCGCAGCAGGCCACCCCCTGGTTGGGAATCGTCGCACCAGACGCGGACCCCTGAACCCGCCCGCCCAGCCTCCGATGGGTGGGACGAGGGATCGTTCCCTGGCAGTAACTTGGCTTTTCTCGACTCAAATGGTGGACCCTCGATCTCTTCGCTGCAGCTTCCAGGCCAGCCAGGAGCCGGTCGGTGGCTGGAAATTGAGCTGCCCAAGTCGACTCGTTTATTCAGTCGTGACAACGGCTTCGTGATGCAGGATAACGTCAGCATCGTTCCGTTTAGCGAAAGCAGCAAGAGCCGCACGGCTTGTTCGGTCTTCTACGTTTTGTGGTGAGGGGAAGTCCCGTGGCTTGTGCTGATGGTCGAGCTTGGATATCGCTCGGACGGTGCTGTGAGGTGGCCAGGGCTGGAGAGGGCGCCGACCAGCTCAAATGGCGGCCTGCGGCGCCTGCGTGTGTCTTGCTTCTGTCGAGGTTCCGTTCTTGCCCAGCAGCCGCAAAAGTTACCGCGTTGCCAAAAGCACCACTTTGGTGCACTTTGGTGACGTTCTTGACATGGCCTACTCGGCAGCTGGCAGTCTCACCTTGTCGACGCCTTGCTGCCCAGGACACCAATCGAGAGAGGGGGCGTCAAAAGAGACCGCCATGCCACAGGATGGTAGTGACGGGAGAGAGCGCATGCTTAACATTACAAGCCAGATTGAATTTCGATCGACCCAAAAGGCTGGCGTTACTGGCTGGTGCACGCATGCGTCAGGCGGCTAAAAAATCGCAATTTTCGCTGTGAAGCGAGAAGCGAGCCACTCAGTTTCGCCATACACGTGGATGGACATGTGCAACGACAGCGAATGTGTGAGACAAGAGGGCCCTGTAGGGCGGCAATAGAGTCATGTCATCCCACCAGGGAATTCCATAACGCTGGACAGGTCTGCAACCTCATTTGGATTGCGACATTTTCCACGCCGTTTCTTCGATCTGATTGACGGCCTCCAAAATTCGCCTCACAGCCCGTCGTGGGAGGCGGCTTCGAAACTTTTCTTCTGCTTTTCTTCTTCGGAGTCCATGGGAGAGCCCTGCCAACAGATCGCCCTGCACAAGGACTGGATTTGACGACTGGTGGACATCGAGCCTGGATGGGGATGGGTGGATGCTCGGCCCAGGCTTGTTCATTTGATGGAAACACCCGGCGTCGGTGGACCAATATCTGAAGTAGTTCGTCGCTTGTCACTCGCCAAGTTTCGTGGACACCCGTGGGATCCCCGTGCTTTTGCGAGAGATGCGACGCTGCCAGTAAGAGCCGCCAGCCACCGACACTGTTGTTGCCAGAACCAGTGGGTATTTCTTGGGCAACTCGCAGAGCGCGCGCGCGCCAGCCCGGATGGCTGAACATGACCGTTGGCATCCCCAGGAAAAGGGGCTGCCGGACCCTGGTGGCGATCCCTGGTCAGCGAAGCGCCCATCATCTCCCGCCGTGATTGGGCACCATGACCCAGTGAAAACCACTCACAAAAGTGAAACTCAACTCTACAAAAGACGATCAGGGTGGGCCCTGGATCTTTGGTGGACGTTAGAAGCTTATTACGTCTGCAATCTCTTCGTAATGATCAAATAACGAGACCAGAAGGATCGGGACATGCTGAGATTGTCTCAAGGACGTACCATGCCGCCGCAACATCTTGCAAACCGCCGAATGTTCTCGACCATTTGCACCAGCCCAGTGTTCCCCTCTTGACATTTTCGATGACGTGGTCTGCAGGCAAGGCCCCTGAATCAAGACAGGCGGCACTGCCGCATCCCTTGTAGTCGCGCGGCCGAGGTTCAGCTCAGGTGGAAGCCGCCGGCCGGTGAGTGCCTGCGGTGCCGGTCTACACGTTGTGGATACAATTCCAGCCAGAAGTACCGCACATTGAGCTGTTGTGTCTTTGCATGTAACACCGTCCATTTACTTCTTCTCTTTTCTTCCTCCTCGTCGTTTGACCCGTTTTCGATGCCTCCTTCGTGAGAGCCATGTTGGCCACCGAAGAGAAAGCCTCTGTCCGTGCATGGCGTCGGAAAGCAAAGATGCATCATCCCTTGACAAATAGCGCTCAGTGGTCGAATGCTTGCAGAAGCTTCTTCTGTTGCCAGCACAAGTCGTGCTTCTTCGTTATCCGCCTCGGCCCATGTGTGTCAGCGAGCTAGCCCGGATCGCTTGATCTGACATGGTGAAGAAGCAAGTCTCGATTGATATGCGCCGCGTGGGAGCCTGGACTTGGGATTTGAGTCGGGGGCGTCTGACATGAGATACATTAGGCAGGTGGGTAGCAGACGGGCATGCCCCCACACATCGTATGCTGGATGGACGACCGAGAAGAACCGGGCATTATTTCAACACTGAGATGGACTTTTGCCAGTCCGCAAAGAAGATCACAGTTGTGGACGTCTCAAGTCTGGGAAGATGAGGTGAGGCACGAGCAAAGCTACTTGGGTAGGTACCTTGGAATGAACATGAGGCCGGGCAGGGCACACAGAAAACGATCGCTGGCTGGGTGCTCCTGCTCATTTCCATTTATGATGGCCAAGTTCGTGAGCCACCTTGCGAAGAAGGAGCACCCAGGTCCATTTTCGCCCTTGACCTCAAGCAATGTACCTACCCATCTGCCCAAGGTCCTGAATTGGCACGGCTTCTGCCGTTCAGCTATCGACGAGCCATGCTCCTGGTTGTCGCTTCTGGTTGACAACGTGAACTGCATATTTGGTGAAAAGTCATCAGCAAGCGTCGATAGTAACTGGCTTGATGTGGAAGAGCAAGGTCCTTTCACAGTCTGGTCGCGAACAGGGCAATGTCATTCGACGCAGCTAAACGACTCTCGATGACGGACACCTCGGTATCCGATTTGCGATATTTCAGGCTCGTCGTGCGCGAGCAGGAACAGACCACGGTGCGAGACCTGGCAGTTGCGCCTCTACATTGGATGTAAGACGTACGGCCGGTCGTTCTGCGACATGCTGCCGGGTACTCGCTGCCTCGCCTCCTCGCTGCTGCTTTGCCTTTTTGTACCTCTTCATCGTCTTCGACTTGCCCTTCACACGAAATGCCTCCTCTACAGTCTGCTCTGCCTTCGTTTACCCAGGTTCATCTACACGGGGATGGCATCGCGAGCCGTATCTCTCGTGCCCAATGACCTCTAGCCCAAAAACGGCATTCAGCAATCTCTTCCACGGACAAGTCAACATTTGGAAGATCTACTCGCTGTGTTGGTCGATTCTTCTTCCTCGGATCCTCGTCAACACGTTCTTATGGAAGACTCTGGAGCCCGATTTTCCGCCCGACGACTGGAAGAAATTGGTTCAAGTAAGTATGTCGGCTTTCTGCTGCTGCAGGACGCGACAAGGAGATGATGAAAATGTGGCAAGCAATACACCGCTTCCGAATGCGATACCTGTTCCTGTACTCCCGCTGCCCGTCAAGGTCTCGGATACCCGACTGTGTGAGTCTTGGACGCCGGGCAGCACTGCGCGTATTCGACCCAGTCTTCAGCAAGGCACTGCGGCTTCCCTGCGGTCTCTGGGCGCAGCGTCATCAAACCCGTCCCTGATGCCGAACCACGAGTCTATCGAACTTGGTCAGTTGGTTGTTGAAAACTCGAATTCAGATGTCGACCCGGTAGATGCCCCTACGAGTGGCAAAAAGAGCAACAGTCCACTTGAACTTGTCCGCACCAAATTCCATCGAAACAAGTCGCATCACAGCTCAAGAACAGGACCCCGAGCAGGCCTCGGTACCAGTGAAGAGGAAATGGCCCGTCGAGCCGAACTGAAGAGAATTATGCACAAGAGAATCCAAGACGAGTTGAAGAGCGAAGAAGAGCAGCCTGAACCGAGTACCGGGTCCGCTTCTGGCGTGAAATATTCTACAACCCCTATCGACTTTCCTGGAGGCGGTCCCCGTGACCACCTTGAGTTTTCCATTGCGAATGCGTCTTTGGCTGATGCCGAGGCTCGCAAAGCTGCAGCAGACGACCAGTCCAACGCCGTAGAGGAGCCTAACAAAGATGGACGCGACATGGAGTATGATCTCAGTCGGCGTCGGAGTAGCTGTCCGCAATCATCCTTATTTTCTACACCTGGGGGTCTAGCCACCCTGGTTGTTCTTCGAGAGCGGACCTCACTTCCTGACCTTCCTCCCTCACCTGGCATGCGCCCAGTTGGGCATCTTGACACCCCAAATGTTCTGTCGTCGGAACCATGCCGTTTGCTCATACATGCCGGTCGACCTGAACAGATGGCCGATGTCCACGGAAGCCCACGTTGTCACAGTTCGTACCATGTCGACAATTCGCCAGACGGCAATTCGGCTCTATGTACATGGCTGATGACTCAAGGGCTGTCAAACCATGCACATGTCACAGGAAGAGCTCTGGAACCACCGTCGAAGTTGGCGTTTGAGATCGAGGAAACCATCACCAAGCTGCCACAGGATGCAGTCATGCGTCATTGCCCATCTCTGGAATCCTCTGAACTGACAAAAGGGCAAACGTGTCAGCCTCTGCAACGATGCCAAGATGATGACACTGCCAACTACTCAATGCCGAATAAGGAAACATCGATTGCAAGAGATGTGAGGTGTGTTAATTTTACTGTCGGCACCAACATATTCGACACAAGCTGTCCGTCGAAAGAGGTCGTCTGCCTGCCTACACCGGAGATATCAAGCACCGGCAGCGAGACCAGGAATGCAACAACAAGCTTACATGGTCTTCAGCTGCCACCCTTTCGATGTGAGTGTCCAATCATCTACCTATAGACCGGGTTAGACAGTGGCTAACCTCGTCCATCGAAGGGCTTGGGACAGACGGAGATAGTTTCTTGAAGGGTTCTGACAATCTCATGCTTGGTGGGGATGAGTCCGGGTTCAATCTGATAGTCCCTACCACGACGGGCTCACGCCGTCAGACTGCGCATGTGGGATCTTCACTAACAGTGTCAGAGACATCGAGCTATCGGCACCAAGAGGCTGAGTTACAGACTATTGAGAAGCGTTTCGGTGATGTGCTCTCAAAACGCGGGCGCCCCCCTCTCAAGCACAGCAAGTTCAAGGAAGAATTTGAAGAGACTGGACCGCCAGTGGCCATCACCCGTTCGTCGTTTTTATTGCAAAAGCTTCACATTCCTGTGCTAAAGCGGGCGAAATCAAGTTCAAAGACTGACATTCAGGCGACTCCGCGATTTGAGGCACCGGCCGAAACATTGGCCGTGGGCCTGAACCGAGGCAGCGTCCGATCCCCAAACCAGCCTTTACAAGGTCACGAAGGAACAACCACGCGGACTCCGGCGCCAAATATGTACTTGACTCCAGCACTAGAGGAGAGTACTACCGACCTGTGGCAGAGGGCTGTTCAACTGGAGCGAGAGTCTCGCAAGGGAGCTGTCAGGGCTGCAGCGGTCAAGAAAGATCGGAAAAAGTTAGCTTCCAACAGCAGTGTTCATCTCAAGGTCGGGAGATGGAGGGGAGTCCAGCGGAGCATACCACTCGAGTCGACCAACGCATCAGACGCTACTGTTCCCAATCCACACCACTTGTCAGCAGACGATGATCCTAATCGCCAGAAACAACCTGCGTCGCCAAGTTATCTTGGAACCAAGCTTCCAAGACGAGTAATGCATGATGAACAAAAAAGAAACCAACCCCATCATGAGTTTGGGGATCGGGGAGTGAGGGTCCTCCAAAACCCTAACATGGGTATATCGCCATCAGAAGCGTGGTCCAGATGGCCATCACAAACACGAAAAGAACGGACCGCGGCAGCAGGGTACTCGGATGGTATGAAGTCCAGAGATTTTGCGATTGTTGCTTCGACTGGCGATGGACGCATTGATTGGATCACTGACAAAGACCCAGCAGCTACCATGACTGATTTGCAACTCGGCTCTCGGTCCTTCTCTGGAAAATTTGGCAAAGCTGTCAAAACTGGGCTGGAGAAGCTGCTTCCTCCCAAATCAGGGCCTCTGGACGAGGCAGGAAGATCTCTGAGTGGTCATGTGGCCTTTGCTGGCAAGCGACTTGAGTATCCTGAACTTGAAATTCTCCCAACAGAAGGGGGCTACAAGGAGCTCAAAGCACTCGAACAGGGCATAGATATCGTCAAGAATCGCCACCTACAATCTCCTGCAACAGCAATGGCAACGAATATGCGAAAACGTTCAATGTCTCACACAATCCCCACATTGGTGCGTGCAGCTGAGCAAGAAAGACATGATTGCATTCAGGAGGACGACAACGTGTCTGAAGCCATTGTGACGGTGGCTGGTGCACCGCAACCTCGCGAAACGCAAGCTCGACCAGTAACGCCTGCGCAACTGATCAGTCGGCCAATGAGAGAATCTATCGTGGTAACTGATGATTACTTCACCACTCCGCTGACAAGCAGACGTTTTACGCGCCGCACCCGAGATTCGACGCTGACGACTGGAACCGTTGAGAGATATGTGACTCCTCGCAGTCATTTATCACGCAGCCCATCGCTTCGCTCCCCGTCGAGCATGTCGATGATGAGTAGTAGTACTGTCGTTCGACGCTGCAAGTCAGCTGCAGAGCCAGCACCGAGCCAAACGAACCTCTCAGCATACGAGGGTAGGTTCATTTCTCAACCGGATATGCTGAAGAGCACGCAGGAGTTCCAGGATGAACTGAATAGAAGACTCGACATGGAAAAAGGAGAGACATCTGCAACCGCGCGGACGAGTATCGAGGACGGATGCTCAGAGCATACCTTACCCCCACTGCATTAGTAGGATACAAACCACCTCGAACCAAGGACACTGCTTGCCTGAAGAGTTGCGACGCATGCTAGTTTGCGGGAGTGGTCATCACGAATACGAAACAAGACCGAATATATGTTTGATAATCCCGGGACTCGCGAGGCACGAAAAGGGGTTACAAGCAAGGTAATAAGAGTCAACTGATCAGAACGGCATGGATTCGGCGTGAACGTACGCTGCTATTGGCTTTTGAATTCAATAGGAGACAACTAGAATACGGAAGCCATCAATGCACAAGCAAGACATGTCAAAAGAAGTTGTGATCAATTTGCTTGCTACAAGTCAGAGTCATCAGTCATGTACTGTCCGGCCATTCTCCTGAAGTCGCCAGCTCTCGTATTGCGGCTATCCAAGCAAAACCTGCTGGAACTGCTGCGGCTCAAGATGCTGGGCCAATACATCTCGCAGCACCGCTCTGCTCCGTGCAATCTCTGGCACGACATGCTCGACGGGCTGCAGGTTGGCGCGCAGACTCTCCATATGACTGCCCAGGCGTGCACCAATACCCTCGAGACCGGGCATATTGATGTCCTGGAACAAACTCCGCGGCGGCGCATCAGCCACGTGAAGTGTCCTGTCGGCGGGACGCGACTCGACGACAGCGGGCTTGCCCCGCTCGTCAGGCACGAGCGGGTGCGCCTTGCGCGCGTCCTCGCGGAGGCGGCGAATCTCGGAGCGGGCATTTGTCTCCAGGACCTCGAGCTCAGCGTACTCCTTCTCGAGGGCGGCCTCCTCGCGAGCGACCTCAGCGCGGAGCAGGGCGTTGCCGTGCAGGAGGCCGGTCTGAGTCCGCTCGAGGGCCTTGACGGTGTCTATGCAGCGCTCGTAGTCGAGCTCCTCGTCGCGGGGATCGGCGTCCCGGGCTGCTGCTCGCCCCACTGCGCGAGTGCGGCCGGGGGCGCCGGAGGCGGCTGGCGGGAAGGGGAAGCGGCGGGCGAGCTTGCGGGCGAGGTTGTGGGAGACGGTGCGGAGAGCAAAAGCGGCGTGGTCGCGGCGTTTGGTATTTGTCGCGAGGCGCTGGAGGACGGGCCGCTCGGCGAGATGGAGAAGAGACGTGACTATTGCGATGGAGGGGGCGGGGAGCGGGATCCAGGTTGCTTCGATCCTGGAGCGCGGAATCGAGGCTGGTTTGGTGCCGATATGGCGGTATCGCATGGAGGGCTTCGGTGGAGCAGGGACGTCGGTCATGGAGTCTGCGGTGACGCGACGCTTCTTGGGCACGGGTTCGGTGGTTGGGACATCGGTCGAGGGCCGTGGTGCCTTGCTCTTGTTCTTGGGTTTGGGAGATTGCGGGGGTTCGGCAGCGGATATGTTCGAGGTTCGGGGCCGGCCTCTTGGTTTTGGTTTTGGTTTTGGTTTTGGTTGTGATTGTGGTTCTGGTGGTGGTGGATCAAATGGCAGAGAGACGTCGCTCCGGCGCGGACGGCCTCTCGGCTTCTTCGCGGGCGGATCTGTCTCGATTGCTGAAGCCTCGGCTGTCGTTGATGGAGGTGGCTGCTGTGTACGAGCTTCGGATGGTTCGCCTTGTGCTTGTTCTTTTTCTTCGGCAGGTGGTCGCCCTCGTTTGCGCTTCTGCGTCTTTTGAGGCCCTGGCGGCTCGTCCTCTTGCTGTGGCTGCGTCTCGGCAGCGGTTTCTGCGAGCGAGGGTCGCCCACGTTTCCTCTTGCGAACCTGCCGGTCAGGCTTCGGTGTCTCGTCGTTGATCGTCTCTTGCGGGCCATCGGATGGGTCAGCTGTCACATGCACTTGGCTAGCAGTGAATGTTGCAGCGGCAGGCCCATCGGTTTGGCTGGGTTGGGTGCCAGTGTCAGGCTCTTGTTTCTTCGCGCCTGGTCGTCTTCCGCGACGGCGCGGCTGCGATTCTGGCGCAGGGGCCGATTGCGGTTCTGGCGTGAGGCCCGATTGCGCGATTGGCTTGTTCTTCGGAGGCCGCCCTCGTGGTCTGGGGGTGCTCTGGACCTGGCCCTCAAAGCTGAGCTCTTCGTTGACATCTTGTGGCAGCGCTGGCGGTTCAGGTTGCGACGCGTCTGACGCGACGAGTGCTGCGCGTTTCCGGCCTCGGGATGCGGCCTTGGGAGGCTGTGCGCATTCCTTGTCAGCAGGGTCATGGAGTATCGGGTGCACGAGAGACGCGTACCATCTTGCGGAGAAACCAAAACTTCGGCTCACATGGGTGTGCGTGTTGTGTTCAAGCTGTGAAGCTATTGGCGTCGTGGGGTGTGTTCAAGGTGGGATGCGCGATGTGGCTGATGCTTAAGATGCTTGTGGCTGGAGACTGTCGTGAAAGACCGAGCTTGCGCTCAAGCTTGAGGTTCCATGCGCCTGAGACAGACAAGACAGAGTAGAAGCTACGGCGCAGAGGTACAAGTACCATGTACTGGGCAAGCTGAGTTAACGTGCACCTGGGAACCCAGGAGCAGCCAATCAGACAGGTCCCAGTGCCAAGCGGCTCCAGTTCCCTGGCTTCCTGGCTCCTTGGCCCGTTGGCCCGTCGTCCGCCGTGGACACGCCCCCTGGCAGCCTGACAGGCAGGCACGGGTGTGATTTCGTCTATGGAGGCCTTGGGGGTGGGGAGATTGATGGCGGGCCTCCCTTCACTGAGCTGGCTGGCTGGTGCTGTGCAGTGAGTGTCCCTAGGAAGGTAGGCCAGGCCAGGAGGCAAGGTAATTAAGGTGGTAAGATACCTACAAGGTAGCCAGAGAAGGTCGTCGAACGCGTTGGATGTCCATGTTGCGACGGCGCGCCTTGTTGATGCGGTTCGAGGCGCCCGCATTCTGCCTGAAGTGACTTGGCCACCGTCGCCACTTGGTGCCTCTGTCGCGATAGACCCTAAGAATGGATTCCATCCTCCTCCCGTTCTGATGACATTTGCGTTCGTCGACGAATCTCTTCTGCAATAATTGGCCCTCCAATCTTATCGGCCCCCCTCGGCGCTGCTGGACCCTGAAAAAGACCCATTCCCTCCTTCGACACCACTTGTCCCAAGCTCCCACCTGCTTCTCTCTCTCTCTCTTTCTCTCTCTCTCTCCACCTCCACATTTCTTCACCTCCGCACTCCCTCCTTCTCCTCTCTCCCTCCGCCTCCATCTCCGTCTCCGTCTCCGTCTGTCTGTCCATCGTCCACGCGCCCAACATGCGTCTGTTCGCCTCCGCCATCCTCGCGCTCCCGCTCTTTGCGGCGGCCGCTGAGAACCAGTTTGAGGAATACAAGGCCCAGTTCCAGACCTACCTCGACCAGTTTACCTCCTACATCCCCAACCCCAACAGATACGATGCCGCCGACGCGCATGAGGCCAAGACGGGCGCGAAGAAGCTGTCCATCCTGACCCTCGACAACTGGGAGGAGACGCTCTACTCCACCGTCCAGCCCTCCCAGACCACCCCTGAGGAGTGGTGGCTGCTGATCACCGGCCGCAACAAGACCTGCTACAGTATGTTGTTCTCTGACTTCTGCTTAAATCGCCCAACCTGCCTGCTCTGTGTGCGGCCGGCACACTTGACCATGACACCGCTGACACGAAGTCCCTCCTTCTCCAGACCAGTGCGGACCCGCCGAGGTGGCCTTCAACGCGACCGCCGAGAAGTTCGCCCTCGACTCCAAGGCCCCTCACATGGCCCTCCTCAACTGCGACGATCAGCCCGTCCTCTGCACCATCTTCTCCTGCAACGCCAACAGCCTCTGGGCCATCGACCTCCTGCCGCCCGGCAACAAGGTCGACATCTGGGCCCGCCGCATCAACGGCACCACCGTCACCGCGCAGACCCTCGTCGACCTGCACGCCGCCCACGACCGCGCCGACTGGCACCTGCTCAACCACGCCTTCCACCCCTTCAACAGCTGGATCGCCGAGCACGGCCTCTCCGTCCCCGTCGGCTACTTCATCTGGTTCTTCGCTACCGTTCCCAACTGGGCCGTCATGCTGCTCGTCTCCTTTGCCAGCCGCAGGATGATGAACCGCCGCATGGCCGCCGCCCCCAACGGGCCCCGCACCTAAGCGACCTGCTCTCTGCCCCTTTGTTGGGTCGGGGGTTTCGGGGATTTGACAGACGTGAAAGGGCAAGCTGAAGGCAACAAAATCGGGAAACTGGAAAGGAGAAAGGAACGAATGTATCATGATGGGTATCTCGCTGGGGGGTTTCTAAGGTTTCCTCGGGCCGGCTGACAGGAAGGTATACATAGGCGACTTGACACTGTCGCCGTCGTCACTAATTTCCCCTCCTCGTCTCGCAATGTAATGACTGTAGAACAAAGACCGATGATCGAATCGTAATGGACGTGCACATTCTTTTTTTTTATTGGCCCTCTCTTCTCGTCTCATTTCTTCGCGTCGCATTGCTCTTGCAGGCCCTTTAACCCGTGAATGACCTCCTCCGGCAGCTGCGGGTTCGACAGCCGGCCGTACCGGAGGTCGCTGAGACTGCCGACCGTCTGCTGGATGGATTCTACGAGGGCCGCCTCCTCCGCCTCGAGCTTCTGGATCTCAGCCTCGAGGTCCGCGACGGCGCTGTCTAGCTCGGGGATGATTGTCTCGAGGGTATGTTTGGGGTCTCTGCCGTTGATGGGGCCGAAAAGCTGCGGCGGGGGGGAGATGGGTTAGATGAGATGGAGGGTCGTCCAGCTTCAGTGCCGGCTCCGAGAGGTTACGGGAAGAAAAAGAAAAGGGAGGGGGGGAGAGGGGCGGGGGGGATCACATACTGCGCGCTCAATCTCCATCTCGACATCGGGTTGCTCTTGCGCCGCCTCACGCTTGATGCGGGCGGCCTCGCGCTGCATCGCTCGGCCGCGCTTCTCCTCGACGGCAATGTTCGCGGTGACGGCATCGACGACGGCGTTGCGCTGGTGCTGGAGGTCGCGGTACAGAGAGCGGATCTGGGGATTGGACTGCTGAGAGCGGGGGAAGAGGGCGGCGAACTGGTCGAAGGATAGGATGGTGGGCAGCTTGGCTGCGATGGTGAGATAATTGGTGAGAATGCTGGATTCGGTGGGCGCCATGACTGTGGTGATGGGTGACGAACCAGACAGGCTGTATGTGGGTGAAGAGATGTCAATGTACCTAATGAGGGATGTATACACTGTCAGGCTCACGAGTGTGAGAAACCTGCAGCGCGAGGAGTGAGAGGCGAAGATGAGTTCCGAGAATGAGTGTCCGATGTGAGAGTAGTCAGCAGGAGGGGTGGGAGTGGGTGTGGTTGAGACGCGGTCATGCCAGACGCGTCGAGGGCCCGCGCTGGCGCGTTTCCGTCTCACAAGCCTGACATCTCGGTAACCTGCGTAGTCCACTGCGTTGTCCGCAAAGCCCACTGATGTGTCCGCACAGCTGATCAATTCACTGGATTCGGTTATCCATTTCGGCGACTACCATTTACGCCCACTACCATTTACGCCAAGTTTATCCAGGGTTTCCAGTCGTGCCAACGCGGCGAGAATTCGAACTCCCATTTCAGTGGCATTCGAAAGGCCAACTGTGCCAATTGCGGAGCTTCACGGTGCGTATGAGGTTGTATTCGCCTGGATGAGCATCCGCTAACTCAGTGGCAGAGGACACGATCCCACGCGCATCGACGTCTCGCACTGTACGTGTTAGTTCCAGACAAGATCCTGGGCACCAAGGTTCATTCACACTGTACTATCTGTACCTCGTTGCGCCTGGCCCTCACCGAAGATTCGGCCGTCTTACTGTGCGCAAAGCCTCTTACACTGTCGAGGCAGTATCTTCGAACTCACCTCAATCCCCCTTACTGATGCTCACTCCATCAAGCTCCGCGAAGCTCTGATCGCCTTCGTCGCTCAGCCCTCTTCTTGCCCAGGAACTCCACCACACATCGAGACAGAGTTGACTTTCCAATCTGTGAAAACCCTAAATCTGAGATTCTCAACCCTCTGTCTACGCCCCTCCACCGCCGCCAGTCATGGCTCCAGCCCGTCAGCCCGACCAGGCCTCCTTCGCCAAGGACGAGCGCGTTCTCTGCTTCCACCACGAGATGCTCTACGAGGCCAAGGTCCTCGACATCCAGCCTCCCGAGACGGAAAACGACGTCTACCAGTACCGCGTGCATTACAAGGGCTGGAAGAACACCTGGGACGACTGGGTCGCCCCCGACCGCATCCGCAAGTTCACCGAGTCCAACAAGGAACTGGCCGCCCAGCTCCACGCCCAGATGAAGAACCTTCAGAAGAGCACCTCCAAGGTGCCCAAGAAGGGTCTGCGCCCCAACGGCACTGACTCTGCCCGGGGGAGCGAGGAGAGGAGCGCGAGCTTGTTTGCTACCGGCCGTGGGCCTCGCCGGACTCGAGACTACGAGTTGGAGACGGTATGTTACGTTCATATTCTGTCACGCATCGTTTGTATCGCTTTTCCTTTTTCCCGTTGCCTTTTTATTGAGATGCTGGTGTCGTGTGATCCACATCCTTCTCTTGATGTGAGAAGCACCCACAATGTGGTTGGTGAATCAAGTGATCGCAGCCGCCCAACCTTGACTTACCTGACCGCCCTCTCGAGGCAACGGCCCATTCTTCTGGAACCATATCAGCCCCGGGAAGCCTTATTCCCAAGCCATCATAGCTCATAAGGCTCCTCCGACGAGAAGTCCACGGCGCTCAGGTCGGTCCCAGCCACGATCTGCACTGGTTGGACAACCCTCCAAACGCCATGACAGTCTCTTCCATGTCATCAGCCAACCACGATTTTCGCACAATCGAAAGCTTCAAGATTCAAGCAAATCTAGGCTTGAGACCTTGCTGGGCCTCTCTCCGACGGCAGCCAGTAGGGTGTGCTTTTGGATTACTTAAAAGCCGTCATTTCGCCCTCCAGAGCTCAGTCGAAGCCAGAAACCATCCGTCATACAACACTCGTTCGTCGTCAGCAATCATACAGTCTCTGCCCGGCTGCCTGCTTTTTGCTGAGAATACCGATTCTTGCTCTAAAAAAGAGAGAATCACAACGCCTCGAAGAGAAAATTCTCCGGCATTTGGACACTAACCAAGTCCTACCTGTACCACCCTCTTTGAACATGGCTTCTCATTACTTTTCGTCTGTCATGGCGCCACAAGCTGGGCAGGCCACCGGCATTGCTGCCACTTTGAACAGCATTGCCAAGACGATTACCAAGGCCATTGCCAACGACTATCAAATTCCGTCGGCGGACAAGCAGTCTCTCTCGAGCTGCAGTCATAGAGAACAAGGAGCCAAGAAGTCCTCCTCAAGCTCGCAAGACACGGTCATTCCAGTTTCACAGGAGGCGTCACATGCATCCCAGCAGTCGCAAGTCCCAGCCGCCAATGGCGGACATTCTGCGCATGAAGAAGAGCAACTCCAATATTCTGAAGACGAAGACTACGATCCCACATATGACACGGCGGAGGAAATCCCGCCTCCCCCTACTGCTGCCCAGCTTCAAGACATGGAGCGCAGGTGGCGTCGCGAGCAGGACGAACGCTTGAGGCAGACGCAAAAGTATCTCAGAGAAATGTTCCCAGACACGTACGAGTGGGCCACATATCTCTTGCAACGCGGCGTGCCCTCGAGATGCCCAGCCCAAATGGAGGCGGCGAAAGCCAACGTGGAGGAATTATTTTCTCTAACAGAACACACTCTATGGAACGATGTTGACTGGTCTCAGACCAAGGGTTCTGCCTCTTTCGAGAGGGAGGAGTCTCCTGGTGGGACACTCTACTGAACATCTGCCTTGTTTCAGAGCGCTCGGCGAGGGTCCTGACGACCGAGGAAAATACGGTCTCATGGTGTCTGTACTGGCGCAGAACACTGTCATGGCTCTCTGAGTATTCCTGCTATGCCTGCCCTGCCTGCTTGTTGGCGGGACGCCATGCTGGAAGGTTCGCACCTTCCACCTGGCACAGCGATTGCTTTACTTGCTTGCATTTCCGCGAGCTTCCGGTCGCTACTGCTCTTGCTTCCGCGTCTGCTCTTTTTTTCACCCTCGCGTTGCATTTGACCACCACATACCAGCAGAAACAAGAGTTTTGACTTGCTTGGAGGCCAATCCAATATTGTCGGCAGCCTTGAGAACGGTGTTTTGAAGATGGCTACCTCATCCCTTGCAACCTGCACTGCGGTCGACAACACCTCCCCCCGCTGTACCTCATCGCGGCAGGCCCAGACTCTAGTGAGGCCGTTGTATGTTTCCACCTGGAGGGAGCCTCCTCGCGCCTACGACAGCTTCAAAAGGCTGCCTAGGCAAGACCATCTGTACGTCGACCCGGCTGGCAAGTGCTTGTTCGACAAGAAGTATGTATACTATGGCCAACGGGTCAACAAAACAGCAGCCGCCAAGTCTCTTAAGAAGAAGAAGGCGCAGAAGAAGGTTGAGAAGAGGTGCGAGGAACAGACAGAGCGGCAGGGCACCCTAAGCGCTGTCCAATTCCAAGACAAGGCTCCAGTAGATGGACCGGTGATCAAACACGCTGAGCAGGAGGCGCAGCCTGCAGAGAAAATTCGCAATCTCCCCTATGGTGAATGGAGTCTCACGGTCTGGGGGTGTGTCGTCACAACTCCTGGACGCTCCATCGCCAGACCAGACACCGAAGAGCCCCAGATTGGCTCAGTTTCGAGCTTTGTAAGTCTCACAGAAATTTCTGTGTAGTCTTCTGTGCCAAGTGGCGTTTCTCGTTCGGCTGCATCGTTTGCTGTTTTGCTTCGATTTTGTGGAAAAGACACTGACCAAATCCTCAGGAGGATGGGTTTCACACACGCCCCTCTATCAGGCTGCCTGTCCCAGATCACATCAAGGGGATCTTGGTTGACGACTGGGAGAACGTGACCAAAAACAACCAGCTCGTCCCGCTGCCTCACCCGCATCCGGTCGATCAGATCATCAATGACTATCTCGAGTACGAACGTCCGTCGCGCGACCCTGAGTCGCCGCACGTTGACATTCTCGAGGAGACCATGGCGGGTCTGAAGGAGTACTTTGAGAAGTCGCTTAGTCGCATTCTCCTCTATCGGTATGTACCCCCCCCCCCCCCTCGAAAGCGTGATTCTTTTGACTCACACCCGTCAAGCTTTGAGCGCCCCCAGTACCACGAGATCCGCAAGGAGTGGGAAAAGACTGGGGAGAATGGACCCAAGTCTGTCTGCGACACGTATGGCGCTGAGCATCTCTGCCGTCTCATCGTCTCCCTCCCTGAGCTCGTGGCTCAGACGACAATGGATCAGCAGTCCGTGAGCCGTCTGCGGGAGGAGATCTCCAAGTTCACCGTCTGGCTTGGCAAGAATGCTACCAAGTACTTTGTAAGCGAGTATGAGACGCCTGCTCAAGAGTATATTGACCGCGCTCGCAACATCTGAACAGATGACGCGCCTGCTTGGGTTGTCTGGACTGCGTTGCCTCCCCCCAAGTCGTGTACGGTGCCATTACGTCTGATACTTCAAACGCCTTGCCATGGAGTTGAGAATGGAGCCGAGGGTATGCGAGAAAGTGGTGTCTTTCTGTCTCGAGGTGGGTTTCCTTAGACATAGACACGGTAATTGTTAAGCGTTCACACATTGTCTTACTCCCAGTGTTGCAATGCTCGTCATGTCTCCATGTGTTCCTAGCTTCCATGATTATGATACAGTCTTTCCCTAGCGTACATGTATGGTACACATGGCAGTCTGTCTGCCGTCCGTGTCGTCTCGCCCATAGCTTTCATCTGCGCCCCCTCGTTCTTTTTTTCTCCTCGTCGGACTGGTTGGCGGATTACCTCGGCGCCGCACGCTCAACCCAGAACCCCCTCGCCGGCGTCCTCTCGGCCTTAACCTCCTTCTTGCTCAGCGCCTGGTCGACCTCTTCGACGCGCACCAGCTCCTTGACCTTAAAGACCATACCGGCGAAGTCGGGGGTGACGGGGTGGAAGACGGTCTGCATGCGCCGGCGGAGGCCCAGCGCGGCGAGCACGCCGCGGGTGCGCTTGGGCAGGCCGATGGCCGAGCGGTGGAGGGTGATGCGGAAGAAGGACATGTTGCTGGATGATCGTCGCTATGGATCCGAGGCGGCTTGTGTAGAGAGATTTCGACTGTGTTGGTTTTTCGGGGGCGGAGGAGAGAGAGGACCTGGCGAGTTTCCCTGTCTTTGCTGATTTCTGTTCGTCTCGTCGAGGTCTGTGGGGGGTGTCGAGTGGGTTTCAGAGGAGCGAGTCCGTACGACGTGTCGTCTGCCTGTCTGGCAGCCAGGTCTGTCTCTTGTTGCGCGGGCTGTAATGGGTTGGCTGGTTGGCGGTGCTTGGAGCTCAGAGTCGCGTGGTAGAGGTCCGGATCCAAAAAATGCACGTCGGAGCCAATTCGAGATGGCCAGTGCGTCGGCAAGGCCCCCATAATGTAGCCCCTGGCTATCGATAGAGGAGCACTGCCCGATAGTTGAATTGTCTGTGTATAGAGATTATATCCATCTAGAGTCCATACGTCATAAAGCGATACCTGCTGGCAGTTAGGATTGCGGCATCAGCCCCGCTGAAGACGACATCGCTAAATTGGGCAGGTGACGGACGACGAGAAGCGCCAAGACTCTATGTCCTAGCATCTGCTCGTCAACCCGCCTTCATGGGATTCTGAGAAACGCGTTTACCGGGTCGTTGATGCCTTTGTCGTGTCTTTCTGACCATGGTAGCTCTTGTGGCCACCCCATCCTGACCTCGGACCTCTCTCGCCCCGACCTTTTTAGCTCGTTGCGGCCAGTTGGCGTATCACCATCGCCATGGTTGGTCAACTATCGGAAGCGACGGGGGCTTTATTCGGCCTATGATGTTGGCATATGAAGTGCCCGTAGGCTCCGTCAAGGCTGGAACGACTGGAATGGCTGAGCTACTGCTTGAAGCCTGATTTGGAAGCGCCTGATCTGATCTTTCATAAAGCTGACCATCAGCGTGGGGGGTTAAAGGTCCTCTGGTCAAGTGACAGGGATCGATATACTTTGGCGAGTAGCGAGTTGTCTCAGCCATACACAGGCTCATGCGATATGAAAGATGATCGGCTGCTGTCCTGCCATGTCACATCTTGACCGCTGGAGAGTCTTCCATTTACACTCAACGTCGAACCCAGCAAGCTTGGTGAGCCATGGGCTCACTGGTGGTTGACAGCACAGCACTGAGCCTAGGAATCAAAGCCGGCTATGGAACGATATCGGCTGTCTCCAACACATCTGCGCCGAAACGAGACCCATTGCACAATGGCTTTCGGCCCAGCGGACTGCGGGCAGACCCAGCATGTGTGGGGTTACTCTCCGTTCATGGGGCCGAGCCTACTTCGACGACAACAACTCTACCTTCGACTTTGATACCCTTTTCTCGTGATCATGCATTTGTCGATAGGCCTGATATTCTCGAACAGATTGACGAGCGCTGTTCCGGCCCTGGCGGCCGAGCAGTTCTCGTTGGCCAAAATGGCATCGGGTACGTCTAATAGTGCACCTCCCACCCGGTCCAGGGTTGACGAGGATGAACAGCAAGTCCCAGCTCGCTATCGAATATGCCTACAGGAAGAAGGAGTCAGCAGAAGCGAGCATCACGGGTGGCGGCTGGGTATCATGGATACTCGCCGATGATGAGCCAGCAGACGCCGCGACGTGCGTTTTCTGGATTCAAGCCAACACGCTTGCGACCATCACTGAGGGGTTCGTGGCCATTGCCGAAGCTGTTGGAATTCAGACCTACAACAAGTTCGGCTCTGAAATCATACAGACTGTTTGTCGGTGGCTCGGAAATGAACGCCTGCCTGTGAGGTGGCTCTTGGTCTTCGACGGTGCTGACAACAGTCATGTCTTCCTGAGCGAAAAGGTCGGAAACAGCAATGCAACGCTGGAGAGTATCCTGCCGACAAGCCCTCGCGGGTCAGTCCTGTTCACAACGTGTGACAGAAGCCTGGCTGTGAGATTGGCATCGCCGTCGCATGCCCTCATCGACGTCGGTCCAATGAAGCTCCACCAAGCCATCCTTTTGCTGGAAAAGAAGATGGGCTCCTCCTATGGTCGACTGGGAACCAAAGCAGACCTCGTGGAAGAGCTCGACTTGATCCCCCTCACGATTACACAAGCAGCATTTCATATCCGATCCCAACGACACATGACACCAGACACGTATCTCCAAGCATTACGAGAAGGCGATGCCGAAATTGTGAAGATGATAAGCTCGGCAGGCGACGACGGTAGGCGGGGCCTCTTGAAGCCTTGTTCTGCGCTAGATACATGGCTGGCCAAGTTTTTGCAAGTCCGGGCTACCTACCCGTCCGCGGCGGACCTGCTGTGTCTGCTGAGTTTCTACAATGGCCAAGACGTACACGAGACCCTTGTCGACACACCCGTACACATCGAGTCCTCGGAAGACAAAAAGCCAACAGACGAAGCCTCCAGCCGGGATACTCAACTGTCCATTCTGTACAACTATTGTCTCATTTCCCGCAGTCAATGGGGCGGCATCCAAATTCCCCGCATGGTCCAGCTGTCGGTAAAGACCTGGTTGAAAGAAAATGGAGAGCTCAATCTCGTCAATTCACGTTTCGTTGCAAGACTTGATGCGGCCTTCACGAGATGCCTGCAGAGTACCGATGATGCCGATGGACTCCAAGATCGCTTGATTCCGCATGCAGAAAAGGCTGTCGTGCAACCTCCACAAGGTGAGGAAGCGCAGCTAAAGTGGGCCTCCATGCTGCACAAGAGCGCTCTCTATCAAGTGAAGCAGGGCCGTTTCTACGGAGCAGAACAGCACGCTGCTCTCAGCAGCCAACAATACATCGTGTCGCGAGGCATCTCGCATGACGAGACACGGGCGGCGCTAGAGACCCTCCGCGAAACACTGAAGCACCTGCAACCACAGCCGGGCCTTCTCCCGCTCGCGATGGACGCGGCAACAAGCATCCTCGGCGGCAGACACGGAACGCAAGACCTGCAACAGTTTCACAGCACAGCCGAGATTGCGACGGGGCTCCTCGAGCAAGGCCAGGCAAAAGAAGCGGCTGCCTTTTGTGAGGCCGAGAGGGCAATACTCAGGCACCGCCTCGGCAACGATCATCTGCTTACCCTAAAAGTTACTGCAAAGCTAGGCTCAATATTTCTAGCCATGGACAGGCTCGCTGAAGCCGAAGCCCTTCTCTCGCAAACACTCAATGTATATCAGCAGACCCTAGGCGAGGAAGACCAGAAAACGCTAGAATGCGCGGAAGAGCTAGCTACAGCACACGCAAGACAGGGGAAGCTTCTCAAGGCCGAGCAGTCCTTCCTCCACGTCATCGAGACCCGCAAACGAGTGCTCGGAGAAAAGCACGCGTCCAGCCTGGCCAGCATGCGCCGCATGGCCTCCGAGATTCTCTGGTCTGCCGGCCACGAGTCTGAGGCACGTGAGATGCTGACCCACGTCCTACAGCTGCACGAGGAGGCGCTCGGTCCAGAGGACGACGACACGGCCACGTGCATGTATGACCTCGCCGGCATGCTCGGCGCGCACGGCCAGTATGCGAGGTCCGAGGCGCTGCTGCGCCGGGTCGTCGCCGTGCGGGAGAAGACACGAGGGGCCGACCACCTGTTGACCCTGACGAGCATGTCGGATCTCGCCGGGATATTCGGGAAACAGGCTAGGTGGGAAGAGGCCGAAGAAATATTGCCAGGAGTCATCAAAGGGAAAGAAGCGCTGCTTGGGGGCGAACACGGCGACGCGGTTGTTGACATGCAGGTCTTGGCCGAGGTGTACATGGCCCAAAGCCGATGGCAAGAGGCCGAGGCTCTCCTGGTCAAAGTGATTGATGGGCAGACAGAGATGTTCGGGGCCAATCACGATGATACGGTCGTCAGCGAGGAGATGATATATGAGGTGAGGCGCAAGTTGGGTAGCGCGGACGAGAGCGCAGACTGTCAGTCCGATGTACGAGCTGGTTCAGGCGCCGAGCTCCACCAGAGCAGATGGCTCGAGGATGCATAAGCCAAACTTCCAATACGTTCATGTCACAACATGAGACACCATCACACATCCAGGCGTCGTAAAATGTCATACTTTGTAGCGATCTAAGCTCCTCAACAGTACATACACGTAGCTTGTCATACAAAGCATCCTCTAGCACCGGCGCCCTCTTGGCCGGGCGAGGTATTCCATTGCTCCGTTGCTCTATTATCAAATCCGCCCCACGCCTGTGCCCGGCTCTCGCCCGAGCCTTTCTTTTCCATTCATTACTTCCCTCACATCTGCACCTCGACACGGCCCTCGGCGCCAGGCGCACCACCACCGAGCTGGGGCAGGATGTAGGTGATATCGTCCCAGGGGTGACGGTAGAGACCAGTGCGCAGCCTCTTCTGGTCGAGGTAGTGGGCAATAAGACCGATGGAACGGCCGAGAACGAAGAGACCGTTGAGCACACCCATCTTGAGGTAGTCCTCGGCCTCCTCGGCAGAGAAGGCACCGCAGTTGCGGACAAGATCAACGAAGCAGACAGCGATGCAGCCGTCGACGTTCAGAATCAGGTTGTCCTTCTTCGAGGTCGTAACGCTCTCGACGGCCAGGGCATAGTCGAGCAGCTTGGAGCTGGGGAACTTGGCCTTGACGTACTCCTTGACGAGCTCGACACGGAGATCGGGGTTGTTGCGGGACTTGACACGGTGGCCAATACCGGGAATGAGCTTGTTCTGCTTGCGCATGGTGTCGACGAACTCACGGGGGCTGAGGCCCTTGTCGAACGCCTTGGTGAACTCCTCGGCGGCACCGTCGAGGGCACCACCGAAGCGAGAACCAATGGTCAGGAGACCAGCGACCAGCGAGGAGATCAGATCCTTGCCGGCACGGGTGGTGATGATGGTGTTCATGGCACCGGACACAGCGGGACCGTGATCGGCGGTAAGCATGAGAACCATCTCAAGGAACTTGGAGGCGTAGTCGGGAAGGCGGCGGCGGAACCACAGCAGAGACATGACACCACCGATACCGATCTCCTCCTTGAACACGTCCGAGATGGGCATGCCAGCGTAAAGAAGCTCCTGGCCACGGTCGTCGGAGATGGTGGAGATGAAGGCAGCGGGCTTACGGATAAGGCCGAGCTCCTGAGCCCAAGAGTAGTCGATGGGAATCTTGGGAACAACGGGCTCAGGCTGGGGCTTGATGGTGCCGTCAGCGACGAGCTTGTCGTAGACCTGCTTGAGGACGTTGGGCATGTCCTCAAAGGTGTCAGGGACGTGGAAACCAGCCTCCTTCATCTTCTCGTTCTTGGTCTTGGCAGTCTCGAGCGTGGAGTTGGCAAAGGCACCGGCGTGGCCGAACTGAACCTCAGTCTTGAACATGCTGGCGCAGGTGCCAATGGCCCAGGCAACAATAGGCTTGGTGATGACACCCTCCTCGACGGCCTTGATAACCTTGTACTCTTCGACACCTCCAACCTCGCCGAGCAGGACGAGAACCTTGCACTCGGGGTCGGCCTGGTACCTGAGCAGATGGTCGATGAAGGTGGTTCCGGGGTACCTGTCACCGCCAATGGCGACACCCTCGTACACACCATCGGTGTTGTTGGAAATGATGTTGTTCAGCTCGTTGGACATGCCACCGGACTTGGACACGTAGCCGACGGAACCCTTGCGGTACAGCTTGGAGGCAACGATGTTATCCATCATACCACCAGTGTTACCGATCTTGAAGCAGCCGGGCTTGATGCCACCGACGGTGGCAGGGCCAATGATGGTAATGCCCTTCTTGGCGGCCTTGTGGGCGATCTCACGGGCGCGCTAGATGATTGTGTCAGCGGAGTCAACCAATGCCCAAGGCCTTCCTTAGGAGGCAAGACGCAGAGGACAAAGAAGGGGGGAGAACCTACGCGCTCAGGGACACCCTCGGCAATGATGGCAATGGTCTTGACCTGGGGGAACTCCATGAGCTCCATGGTAGAGCTGTAGACACTGCGAGACGAGGCAAAGTTGACGACCGTGTCAACGTCGGGGTGCTTGGCGATGGCCTTGGGGACCTCCTGGTAAACGGGCAGGAGAGTCTCGCTGGTGCCCCAGTACATCTTGCTCACGAACTGACCACCGAAAGTGTAGATGATGCCGGCAACGGAGGGGGTCTTGCGCTTGCAAATGAAGTCGAAGTCAAGCATGCCCTGCACAGCGCGGGGCTGCAGGCCGTAGACGAAGCATCGAGTCTTGTCGTTGAAGAGGGCGTGTGAGGGGAGGGGGCTCAGAGGGCGGCTGGGCGCAGCGAAACGCTGAATCTTGTCGTTGGCGGAGAGGCCGCCGGGCTTGGTGGTAGAAGACATGATGGAGGTGTGGTCGGAGTTGAGCTCCCGGATCGGTTCGGCGGGTATCTCAAGGTAAAATTCTGGCGAGGCAGAAGGAGGTCAGCAGGGAGAAACCTGACAATTAACGCCCAGACGAAGGTATCGTGAACGGCGATGGAGGGGTTCGAGTAAGGTAGACTCGACGATGGAGGACTGGGAGAAGGGGAAGAAGTTGCACGGAGCAAAGGTGTGGGCAGCGGGTGGGATGAGGAGGAGTAAGAATTCAGGAGAGGAAGGGAAGGGGAATTTGGTGCAAGCTGAATTCGTTGGATCCCAGCCAGATTCGCAGCGAGGCTGTCCGGCGGCCGGTAGGTGCTGGGGGACCCGACGAGGGGGGGGGGGGGGGCACTTCACCTGGGCACCACCAAAAAAAAGGCGGTGGGTCCAAGCGGTACAGGGGTTCAAATCTGGCATGGGGGTTCGGTTGGGAAAGAAAGTTCTCCAGCGCAAGCAACAACGAAAGACGCCTTGTTTCGAGAAAAGAGCTGTTTTGTACCAGGGAGTTTTGAGATCGACTTACAATGGAGGGTCTCTGACCGAGCAGCAAGACGTTTGTTGCTTGCAATTGATGGTGGTACGGAGAGGAAGCAGGGTCTCTGACGTTGATGGCGAGAGTGTGTGGAACTGGAGGGGGTGGGAGGTGAATGGTGTGAGAGGGAATGAAATGGAAAGAAAAAGGGGCGGTCGAAGAAGGTAGTTGATCGGACGACCCCAAGGAAAGAAATTGTTCAATTGTTTGGCTGATGGTTGGCTGGTGGGCATTCGTTCGTTTGCGTGAGTGAGGTGGTACTTGGTAGGAGGCAAGGTAGCAAGCTAGCTTGGTCGTTCAGGCAAAGCACCTCAAGTCGATCCAAGGGGGGTGAAATCTGTTGGCCACACGCAGTGAAGGGTCAGCACTCAGCAGTAGGCGGTCAGAAAGTTGGGGAACAGCGATTGGCGATGGGGAGAGGGATGCGGGAAGGGGAAGGGGGGCCTCGACGTTCAACAACACTTCAGTTGTTGACTGACTGCCACGCAGACGAGACCTGGCCCGCCCCCAATCCAGTGCCACCACCTCACTCATGGCGCAGAGACAATGGCGCGTCGTGTCTCTGGCCTGGCTTTAGGGTGTGGTCCGCGACCGTGGCCCCAAGGTATCGGTACCTGGTCCCCACCCTGTTTCCCGTCGAGCCCGCTGCCGCTGCGCCTGCACCATCCGCGCCAGGATCCAGGGACCTCGTAATTTCTCTCGTCGAACGCCCCTAGGAGAAAAAAACTGCATCCCCAAAAAAAAATCCCCTCTCTGCGATATCGGGTACCTGAGTGAGGCGTGTTGCAGTCGAAGGAGAAGAGAGACGACGGAAGGATGAAAAGCCACACAGATGATGTGACCCTGTTCTCCCCCTCCCCTTCCCTCTACGCCGTCCCCCGATCGATGGTGGATGAACTTGATGCATACGTGATCCTGCCTGTCCACACCTCCGACCCGAGAGTGACCGCCACTGATGCCCGGCCGAGGCTCCGAGCTGCACTGTTCCTGTCGGTGGTCCCCATCCGAGTCCGCCGGCGACCGGCCTTCGGAGGAGGCAACGCACCACCTCGCACACCGCATCGAGGGGCTGTCCAGGCTGGATGCACTTGGTGACGCAGGTTGTTCAATAAATTGTCCCACCGTCGGGTCGTCCGCGGGCTGCCGGGACTGGGGGTGCATTCTCCACCCATCCTTGCCCCTCGATAGGTGGGCCCCACGAGGAGCTCCCGCAAGCATCAGCCCTCCAGAGCTTGACACGCACACACACCTCGATGACTGTGTCTTGCCTTTGCCCCTCCATGGGCGGGAGGGACCACTTGCTTAGGCCTGGGCTACCAGGATACAGAACAAAAGCTTGTCATGCCGTAGTAGGCACAATGACAGCAGCAGGGTATCCAAAACTTCGTTGACAGCAAGAATTGGACAGCAATGCTCCAGCCACTAGCTGCGACACCGCTTTGAGGCAGAAAGGGAGGTATAGGTGAAGAGGTCCAGTGGGTTGAGGTGAAGCTCCAACGGCGGGGCTGGAGGGGTAGGGGGTCTGCTGCAAGTTGGGGTCCACTCAAACCTCAACAACCATTTGGGACCTGAAGTACCGGTACTTGTCTCCACCGGGAGGTCCCTCCCTGCACCTCTTGCACATCCCCCAAAGGCTTTCAGGTTTGGCGTGGTTAGCGCATGCCCCTGTACCTGTCCGTCCCGTCATCCCAATCGCCCACCGACTGGACTGACTGACTGAGTGGATGGCCTGCTGCCCACCGCCCACCAGACCGTCAGCGCCTCAATCACCCCCTCACCCCCTCTACCCACCCAATTCAGGTCCCCCAGCGACCCGAATCCTAGACCAACACTCAGCTGCTGTGTCGGGCGACCAAATTTTTGAAAGGCTGACGATCTTCTCCCTCCACCTCACACCTCACAGCTGCCATCCTTCCACCTCCTGTGCATCCCAATCATCAAACCTGCCTCATCCTTCTTCTTCCTTCACCGCCTCGACTTTCCTGATCTTCGCTTGATACCAGGAACTCTGCTCGCACCACCGTTGTAGCCGGTAAGTCGAACTCGTCCTCGCACTCAATCTTCACCCCCTCAAGCCGCCCACCTGCCCCAACTTTGGTTCAAGACAGCCTCTCTCTCTCGAGTCGACCCGCCATAGTGCCGCTGTACTCTCCTTCTTGCAGTTGTGCTTGAGCTTCTCAACCACGCAATTCCGCTTGGAAAGCGAACAACACCAGTATTTCTCATCCGCCACTGACAAGACTTCCTGCCAGCTCGACATCGAGACAATCCAAAACCACAAACCTCAAAGAAACCCGCAAAACCTACCTCACACAACCACACAATGGCCGGCAAGTTCCCCCCCTCGTCCAGGTTCTGCCGCGCGCGAGCCGTTGCGTGTGCCTGACGTCCCGACTCTGACCTTTTCGTAGCCAAGAGCATCTTCGAGGCCGACGGCAAGGCCATCCTCAACTACCACCTCACCAGGAGCCCCGTCGTCAAGGACACTCCTCTTCCCAAGCCGACCAAGCACAACCCTCCCCCCAGACTCGCTTCTCTGCACTTCCCCGAGGATGCCAACGTCAACGACATCCTCGACCAGGCCGAGGTCACCTACCCCTGGCTCCTCCAGTCCGGCGCCAAGTTCGTCGCGAAGCCTGATCAGCTGATCAAGAGGCGAGGCAAGAGCGGTCTTCTGGCCCTCAACAAGACCTGGCCCGAGGCCAAGGCTTGGGTCGCCGAGCGTGCGGGCAAGGAGCAGCAGGTCGAGCACGTCACTGGTGTTCTGCGCCAGTTCCTCGTCGAGCCGTTCGTTCCTCACCCCCAGGACACCGAGTACTACATCAACATCATGAGCGTTCGTGAGGTAAGTCGAGTCTTCGCTCCTTTTGGCTCCCCCTAGGGTCGTGCAAGTGATTCAGTGCTGGGTGGTCCATTGGGTTGTGCATCTAACAACGGATTCCGGGCGTTTCTGAGGCGATACGAGATGTCGAATTCGAATCGGGCATCCAAAAAGTCGTACAAAAGAAAAGGTTGAAAGACATCCGTCTCAGATGGAGCGTCGTGATCTTTTATATGGCTTGGTCTGGCTGTGTGTGTCGCTGAAAAGTGGACACGCGTCGTTGGGTTGCCCGATACGGGAAGACTCTGCCGAGCCGACGGACGAACGGAAGACACGATAGCTGGCACAACCCATGGCCCGGCAAAACGCACCAACCAACCAACCACGTTGTCATATCTCGTTGGCAGAACCTGTGAATGCTGACTATGATCTACAGGGCGACTGGATTCTCTTCACTCACGAGGGTGGTGTCGATGTTGGTGATGTTGATGAGAAGGCCGAGAAGATCCTCATTCCTGTCGACCTCTCTGAATACCCCTCCAACGAGGAAATCGCCAGCACTCTGCTCAAGAAGGTCCCCAAGGGTGTGCACAACGTCCTTGTCGACTTCATCAGCCGCCTGTACGCTGTCTACGTCGAATGCAACTTCAGTCAGTATGCCCCTTCAACATAAACTTCACACTCCTGTGCTGACCGAATTGCAGCCTACCTCGAGATCAACCCCCTCGTCGTTATCCCTAACGAGGATGCCACTTCCGCTACCGTTCACTTCCTTGATCTTGCTGCCAAGATTGATCAGACTGCCGACTTTGAGTGCGGTGTCAAGTGGGCCATTGCCCGCTCACCGGCTGCTCTGGGCCTCACCAACGTCGCCGGCGGCGAGAAGGTCAACATCGATGCCGGCCCCCCTCTGGACTTCCCTGCTCCCTTCGGCCGTGAGCTGACCAAGGAGGAGGCTTACATCGCCGACCTTGATGCCAAGACGGGTGCTTCCCTTAAGCTCACCGTCCTCAACGCGACGGGCCGTATCTGGACCCTTGTCGCCGGTGGTGGTGCTTCCGTCGTCTACGCTGATGCCATTGCGTCGGCCGGTTTCGCCGACCAGCTCGCCAACTACGGCGAGTACTCCGGTGCCCCTACCGAGTCCCAGACCTACCACTACGCCCGCACCGTCCTCGACCTCATGCTCCGTGCCCCTGTCGCCAAGGAGGGCAAGGTCCTGTTCATCGGTGGTGGTATTGCCAACTTCACCAACGTTGCCAGCACATTCAAGGGTGTCATCCGCGCGCTGCGCGAGTTCGCGACCACCCTGAACGAGCACAACGTCCAGATCTGGGTCCGTCGTGCCGGTCCCAACTACCAAGAGGGTCTCAAGAACATGAAGGCTGCCACCCAGGAGCTCGGCCTGAACGCCAAGATCTTCGGCCCCGAGATGCACGTTTCCGGCATCGTCCCCCTGGCGCTGATTCCTGGCAAGTGGGAGGCCAGCGGCGCCAAGGAGTTTGTTGCTTAAGTGCGCATCGTTATGAAAAAAGGGGGGGAATGACTTTAGAGGTGGAGGACAATTAACGCGATCTAGATGAAAAGATGCTGCGTATGAGGATGCCGCGGGAGGGGGAACCCGTCCCGCCTGCGTTTGCGATGAGATGTTGGATTCCCGAAGCGAAATGCGGCGCTTGCAGGGGATGGACCAATGTGTATGTATGTGTAGCAGCGCAAGGTTCGAGAGGCATTTGGCTGCTGATTAGATGGGCAGCCAGAGTGCTTTAATGTGATATTTCCGCTACATCATCGTTCGTGAGGTGTTGTTTCCTTGGCTGGAAACGTGGCATACTAGCGAATCTGGGTAGCTTGGACCTTGTGTTTGGTCGAATAGGCAGGTAGGCATGATCAAACAGTTGTGCCGTCGTATGAGATCAAGCAGAGATGTAAGATTTGGCGACACGAATTGCGAGATATCAAGCACCAGAGACAAAGCCTGGCAAGGATCTCAAAGAGCCACAATCCAGGACTTGACTATGAAACTATAGCACGTCAAATGTTGGCTTCATATATTCTTATGTTGATAGCCAATATCAATAAGCCTCGTTGGCTTAGTGGTAAAGCGCATCACTAGTAATGATGAGATCACTGGTTCGATTCCAGTACGAGGCATCCTCTTTTGAGTTTTTTTGTTGATCACATACATTTTGAACATATACTTACTTCCTTCAATCAATTCAATAGTAGGCTGTTCTTGTCTTTTTGTTTCTGCTCGGGGGGGTTCAGACTGACTGGCTGACACCTTGTAGACGGCCCACACCTCCTGAACGAGCTTCATTCGGCATTTGACCGCAAGTTGCGGCCTAGAGGACCCGTAACACTCGGTCGGGGATGGCTCGTGGGTCATTTGAGAACACCAATTTGTGAATATACTGGAGATGAAGCACGAGCACGAACGACCATGTACGAAAGCTGCGACCTTGGTACCATACAAGCAATGTCTGCTCGTGATTATCTTCGGAAGGGGTTGACGTCTTAAATCTACAACACTTGGATAGCGTTTTCCAGTCTAACGTAGGTTCATGAGATGTCTATTCCGAGTTATTGTACATCATGGTAGTAGTAGAGCAGAGTGTCAGCGCCGTCAATGTCTTCTGAGCTCTCCTGCGACTCCCCGCCGTCTTCCGCAATATCCCTGAACTCCGTAGACCTAGTAACAAAACTCTGAGTGTTGTACATATATGTGCATCTCCCTCATCTTCCCGGTTAACCATCCCCTCAAGCAGGCCAGCCCTGGTCCAACCCGTCATCTCCTCAAGCGCTATCAATCTCTGCCACCTCGACCCCCGTCGTCCCTCGTCGGAGACGTGGCTTGAAAGGCCGGGCACGGCTCCCCCCTCCCGAGCCCGCCGAGCAGCCAGTCCGTCAGCCCGACGACCTTGGCCCCGACCCCCCTCTCCCAGTCGCCGCCGCCCTGCACCGTCTCGATGGTGTGGCTGAGGATCCTGCCCTTCTGGTCAAACTGGAAGATGAAGAGCCCGGAAAAGTGCTGCTCCTTCTTCTCGCCCTTGCCGACCTCGAGCGCGCGCGGGCCCTCGCCCTCGCGCCCCGGCGCGGCACACGTCGACCAGCGCACGACGAGCTGCTCGTCGCGGCCGCCGGGGCGCGGGGGCGCGGCGCCGGGGATGGGCTGGCGCGTCATGCGCGCCGTGTGGACCTCGAGGCGGACGTTGCCGATGACGGGGATGCGGTTCCAGGCGATCGGGGACGTCCAGAGGGCGGCGGTGTAGGCCACGCGGCCCGAGACGACGGGGAGGTGCGGGTGCGTCGAGGGGAAGAGGTGGAGGGAGATGTTGGGGGCGAGGATGTCTTGGTCGAGGGGGTATTGGAGGAGGGTCGGGAGGCGGTCTTGGAGGATGCGGAGGGCTGTCAAGAGGGTCATGTTAGCGGTCTGCTGTCAGGGCTTCGTGGACGGGCAATGCGGGAGGAGGGCTGGTGGCTCGACGTTGTCGAAAAGATGGGAGGGGGAGGAGAAGGCGTACTGCGGCCGAGGTTCACTCGGTTCTCGTCTGGCGGTTTGCCTTGCGGATCTGGGGGGCCTTCGCCGGGAACGCCATTTGATGGGTCAAAGTAGCGATTGGGCAGGTCAGTTTCGCGTCTCATATGTGGTGTGCTCGCGAGCTGGTGAGGCTGTGGCGTCGCAGGTGCCGAGCCTGGAGCTGAAGCCGAAGCTGTCGTGGGAGGGCGGGCAGTGCTAAGATGTGTGATGGCGCGGAGCTGCTGCTGCGAGGGTGACCGACACAGCCTGCAGCACCTGTGGGCTGTCGCTATTGCGAGGCGCGTGCTGGCCATGGCGGTTGGGTGGCGGTAGGCATCGACAGGAGAGTGTCTTGTGGGAGGCGCCGGTGTGTGGGTTGAACGGGAGGAGGGAAGCTCGAGAAGAATGATGTCAGAAAATTGTTAGCTGGGATGCACGATCGCGGGTGGGACCGGATGCCGGCGCGAGACGGGCAAGAAATCGAACCATCGTGTCTCTCTGCCGGGAATGGGGAACGGGAAAATAGTTGCTACGCGCCCCTGTAGTGACTTTCATTACTAGTATTTTCGTCTTACCTTCCGTCATAATTGAAGGAATAAAGCGTGCCGTCCATAGTCGCGCAAACGTCAGGTCATGGTAAACTGCATATCACCAAGTGACCCTTCTCGTGTGTACCTCTTGGCATGTTATTTCTCCTTTGAAATTCATTTATGTACATCATTCCTTCGGATGCGGGAACTCATCCTCCATCTGTAACCTCACACCGACATTCATACTGATCAGTTCTTGCACCAGTAGCTTCGCAGCATACGGCATCGTCATCTTGGTCACCTCCTTGGTGCTCCTGCACGTGTGGCAGTAGCCCTTGTAACCAAAGAGGCCACACTGCTGGCAAATGTCGATCTCTGTGCCGTCCGAGCTGATCATCAGACGCTCCAACAGCAATTGCGAGGCGCCGTAGGCAATCAGACAGTCACGCTCCATCTCGCCCAGACGCAGACCACCCTCGCGCGAACGACCCTCCGTCGGTTGTCTCGTGAGGATGGCACGAGGTCCCCGCGCACGAGAGTGCATCTTGTCCTGGACCATGTGCTTGAGACGCTGGTAGTAGATGGGGCCGTTGAAAATGTAGGCCTCAAGCGGTTCACCCGTGATGCCAGACGTGAAGTAGTCTTTGCCCTCCCATGAGAAACCGTGGTCGACGAGAGCCTCGCTCATCTGCTTGAGCGGATGCGAGCGGAAGGCGTCGCCGAAACCGTAGTCCGGACGACCGTCCAAGACCGACGCCTTGCCTGTGAGGCACTCGAGCAGCTTTCCGACCGTCATTCGAGAGGGGAAACCGTGAGGGTTCATGATAATATCAGGGACCAGGCCCTTGTCAGAGAACGGTAGGTCCTCTTGCTCCACGATAATGCCAACAACACCTTTCTGTCCGTGACGTGACGAAAACTTGTCACCCAACTCCGGCCTTCTCGTCTGTCGCGTCTGCACCTTGATGACCATGTTGTCCTTTTCGCTCTGAGAGATCATCACTTTGTCGATGTATGCCGGATCAGGAATGCGGTACGATAGTGACGAGTCGCGGAACTCGCTAGGGCCGCGGTCGTTACCGATACCAGTCGACCCGGTGTCCAGAGGGGTCTCCTTCTTCACCATGGCCTCGCCAGCCCTGACCTGGCCACCGACCATGGCCAAGCCATCAGGATCCAGAGCTGCGTGTTTGGCAATGCGCCGTCTAGGCTTGCCCTCCATTTCCTCGTACTGCGGGTCTCCGATGCGTTCTCGTTTACCGTTCGGGTACTTTTGCAGCTCAGCCGAGTACTTTCGGAACACCTGACAGCGTCCAAAGCCACGGTCGCACGAGGCCTTGTTGAGTACCAGGGCATCCTCGATATCGTAGCCAGAGTAGGACATGACAACGACTGTGGCGTTCTGTCCGGCTGGCAGCTTGTCGTAGTGGATGAGCTGAATCGTCTTGGAGATGACCATCGGCCGTTGCGGGTATACGAGGGTGTAGAGCAATGTGTCGATGCGGTTGAATTGGTTGTAGGCAATTGCGCCAATAGCTTGCTTGCCCATGGCACACTGGTAGGTGTTACGGGGTGACTGGTTGTGGTGCGGGAAGGGAATGAGGCCTGCTACGGCCCCGAGAATTGTGAAGGGTTCGATTTCCATGTGCGTGGTGCTTTGGTTGACGTCGGTTTCGTACAGAGCCACAAGCGTATCGTTCTCCTCGTTGACATCCAAATACTCGACGACACCATTCGTCAAGAAGTCATCGAAAGTGGCCTTGCCGAGCTGGAGAAGCTTCAGGTGCTCCGCCTTCAGCTTCGGCTTGCCGTTCTTGACAATAATGTAGGGCCGACAGATTCGTCCTTCGTCAGTAGCAATATGAACAGCGTTGAAGTGGTTGTTAATATGAACGCCGACAAAGGGCGAGATCCAGCCACGGCGACGCATCGTTCTGAAGCGGTTCGTGAACCTTTTCGGGAATTTGGTAAGCGCAAACGGCGTGCCGTTGATGTGGATGATATACGATCCCTCGCGATGCATCTCACTTCCGGAGAAGTTCCTGATGGGTTCGACATTGTCGTCCACGGTAAAAACCCAACGCTTGACAGGTTCCTCCTCGGCGTTGGTGGTAATATGCGTCATGAGAGCCAGGTTCTTGACCAGACCGCAAGCCTCACCTTCGGGTGTATCCGAGGGACACAACATACCCCACTGTGAGGGCTGCAGCGCACGCGGTCCACTGACCTTTCGCGTCTTCTCAAACTGACTGCTGATGCGCGTCATCATACCCAGGGCACTGATATAGCTCAGACGACTCAGGACGTGAGTGACGCCGGCTCGATTCATGTTGAATCGCTTCACTGTCCAGTTGCCCGTCTGGATCGCTCGGTTGATTCCCTGACCAATGTTGTTGGCGTGGTTGCTGATCATGGTAACAGCGTCCATGGCCACGGCGCGGTTGTCTTTCTTAAGTACCTTGTCGATGCTGGCCTTGACGTCGCCGCAAAACTTTTTGAACAAATCCTCGAAAAGAAGAGAGAGCAACTGTCCAGCAAGCTCGAGTCGCTTGTTTCCGACGAAATCCCTGTCATCCACGAGGCTCATGTTGGCTTGAGCCATGAGAACACGGCGCGTCATGAAAGCAACGTAGATGGCCTTCGGGTAGAAGTCGAGGCCCTCGACGGGTATGTGGGCAATAATAAGGTTGGATAGCGCATCCATACCCTCCTCGATGTTGTTCTTCCGGGCCTGCGAGTTGGGCTGAAACCTGCCCCTGCCGCCCATCTTGACGCGCGATCCAATCCACTCCAGGGCCTGCTGCTGGGTATAGACACCCTGCTTTGTTGCCTCGTCAAAGTTGACGGTGAACTCATCCTGGTATCTTCCGTCATCACCAGCAACAAGCTGCATAATCTCGAGGTCAGACAGGCCACCCAGAGCTTTGAGAACGATGACAATGGGTGCGGGTTCCACGAGGACGTTGTGGACGAGGGAGATGCGATCTTTCTTCAGCGTGATATTGGTCTTGGTCTTGCGCTCGTGGGTAGAACTGGTCACAGAGGCGGTGATGATGTTGTTCTTTTCATCAGCCTCGACAATGACACGGTTCTTACTCAGCTGC